TCTAAATCAATATGATATATTGTGAGGGGCTAAATCGTAGTCAGGGGGGTCAGCCCCCACTAGTTGCACCACTGTTTCTGCGAAAACCGGAAGAACCAATGACCGAACACATCCAACATATTATAATATATATAGGTAGTATAATATTATATTAGAAATACCTACCTAATTTATATAATTATTAATTATTATACACAATTATTAACGTCTGATAACATTTTTTTTGCAATGATTTGGTTAATACGCCAAAAGGGGGGGGGATAAAATCGCATATCGGTGAGCTGACCCACTCCTCAAAGTTACACCAATGTGTATATAATATTACACAGGTACTTACAGAATATATATTAATGTGGCACATACAGTCAATAACAGTTTATAAAATGGTCATAAACAAATAACATTTTATTATTAAAAAATCATCACCAATGTAAATACTTTTGTCAAAAAGCAATTGTAATCGTACTGTGGCATTAATATATTATAATATGGCATTCTTTAAATTTAGCATGAAAGTTATTTTTATAATATTCTTAAATTTTAAAATGTATCGTAGAAGATCCAAAAATATAACTAATGAAATAGTATTTAATTATTACACATGTGTTCTATATTAAAATGTGTTCGGAACAATAGGATTCAACAATATGATGTTTCGTTAATACAAGAAAAATATAATTTTCGTTCTGTGTCATAAATTTGGTTATGAAATTCGATAACATCATGATGCAGATTGGGATATAAACTATGAATATTATAGTTTGAAGTTAGTAATGCAAGCCAAATTACGCAATAAATTTCCTTGTAAAATTTTGAAAATGTGTCCTTAACCCGTTTATAAGAAGGTATACTTAGATTCGAACGAGTTGAGTGCAGTTGAGTTGTATAGAGATAACTCGGTACCTATTTCGTAATAATCGTAACCTATTTAGTGAAAGGACTTATAAGCATACCTTATTTTTAAATGGGTGAAAATTCCGTACATTTAACCCTATAGCGAATGATTATTAGAACAAGTTTTTTTATTTTCTTAAGTCAGCCTTCGCGTATTTTCCCAATGTTTCATATTATATGTAATAACGTCATCCAGGGAAGTTATTCTCATGTACACACCTATACTATGAATTATAAAATATATTATAAATATACCAAGGCCGTTTACAGATGTTATATATCGGTATTAAATTAGTATTAGTGTACTTATACTTGGGCACTGTCTTATTACAATAAAACAATTGAAAAAATACAACTAAACATATTTTCAATACATTTTAAAGGTGACCAACAGCAAAAAAAAGAAATGCGTGATTTGAAAATTAATTAAAAACTACCTTACCTTAATTGGTTATCAACTGGACTTAGGAGTATTATTTAACTGTTAAATTAATTACCTACGAGTTCACTTTAGTATTTCGATATAATGCGATCGATAATTGTTTGAACCGTCCATATCTGCTATACAGGTTGAACCACCTAGGTACCTACTAACTATCAGTTTAAATCGATTTCAGTAGGTAGGTACTTATCTAAAAATATGTCCAACTGCAAGTAGTTTAGTAGTATAATTATTAGTATTTATTACCATATTGTTTAATGTTGGTCAGAAACCCCTTTTATATATAAATAAAAAATATAGATGCACGCAATCTTTACATTATATAACAATTATTATTATATTACATATTATATACATCGATACCGTACTGTCGTATAACATAATAAAATATTTTATTATTATTATTAGATAGTATTATTGTTATTCGATACTAAGTTACCTATCAAAAGATGTTATTGTACCGGGTCAACTATTAAGTGTTATATCATAAAAATTGTTAACTGATTGGTACTTACAGTGTTATACCTAGGTATGTAATAAATATTTACGTTGAACAGCTATTATAAGTTATATTTGATTCATTTTCTATTGAATGTCATGATAAAAAATACGTAGAAAAATTGCATTTCTTTATATGAATGGACCCTGACACAGAGGCTGTTCACTTCCGGAGCACAGGTGAAGGGGTCTTACATATTAGGTAGGTACGATTTAGGCATAAAAAATAATGATATTTTGATCAAGCGATTGTATTTTCGATTGTGATAATTCTTGGTGCACACACGACCTCACTTGCCCACTAAATGTAGTCCAAGGCATTCGGAACTGGTTTTACGATCTACTTTGGTTTTTCTTATTTACCAATAATATAAATTATCTATAATTCAAATACTTCGATATTCATAATATTAAATTTGTTTTTATGAAATAAATAGGCAATTGAGTTATGTTCAATTATATAATCTACAATAAACCAATAAACCATAAAATATATAATTATTCATTGGATTTAGGCACATTCCAATATTGCAATTATTATAATTCATAATATTATTTCTAACTGTTGCCATCCGTTTTCTATTATATTATAATATTTTTTTATCACGTTTCTTATGTTTAATTTGATAATTATTTATAATATTACTTATATGATTCTCATAATTATTTAACAGTAAAGTATAAGTGGACTTTTATATTTTTTTAACACTTTCATTGGTAAAAATATTATTGATAATATGGGAAATGTGTATATAATATAATATAATATGTGAACTATGTTAAATATTGCATGTGACTAAAATACTCGGTTATACATTAAGATTAGGCCAGTAAAATGAATCAATAATTTCAACCATGGACCATGGGTTAACTGTTGTTCCAGAACACATGGTATATAATTCGAAGTTTAACCACTACGATTAAAGAGTTTTTCTTAATTTTTGTGTTCTTTAATTTATTTCGTGGCAAGTTAAGCACTCTAGCTGATCGCAGTAAATTATTGATTAGAAATATAATAATGACAATTAACCCAACTAATGAATATATTATGATTATGAAACATTTAAATATGATTATGCATATTATACTACCTACGTAGTATTTATAATAAAATATTCATAGAAACAATGTTAAATATTAATTTTTAATTGTAGGATTGATATTATATTGTAGTTTATTTTAAATTTGTTATTTGTTTAAACTAGGACTGCAACAAATGTAAAAATTTAAATGTACTTACCTATATAATATAGCGTGTGTAAAAGAAAGAATTGACCAAAAAAAAAAAAAATTGATGCTACTTAAATGTATGACAAAAATTGTTGAAATTATATGATTAGTAAATAGTTTTAAGAATATACCCATGTTATAAAATTTCCAAAATAATATTTTAAAAAAGCTATTGCGTTCCAAATTTATTTTATCAAAAAAATATTGATTTTTAAAAAAATTCTAAAAAATAAACTACTAGACTTAGATAAATGTTTTTACCATCCAAATCGTTCTTAAAATCAGATTCACAAGTTTGCTATTTTGAATTTATTCAAAAAATTTAAGTCAAATTTAAAATTTTTTATTTTCAGTATAAAAAAATAAAAATATTTTTTTCCTCTTACACGTGTAGAGCAAGTGGCTATAAAATATGTATAAAAAAAAATTAAAATAATGATCAGAACAAAAGGTATTCCAAAAGTCAGTTCTATCTGTTACACCCTGTATAGGTAGGTACATAATAATATTATTATCACATGTTAGTTATTACTTTATTAGTAAACATTAAAATTAAACATCATACGTAAAATATATTAAATATAATTTAATAAAGTTATTATTTATATGTGTTCATAAATAGTTATAAATTATAATACATATATAATGTAAGTATGTATAATGTACCTATTCACTGCCCATCGCAGCATAAGAATATATTTCCTAACTATGGTAAAAATATTTTCAGGAAAATAATAGTTGTCAAAATATTTAAAAAAAAGTTGAGTTAATAATTAGGAAATATTTTAGTTATATTCTTCAGCCAAGAAGTTCATATTTTTTAAAAAACATTTACAAAACATTTTAATTATATATTTAAAAAAAAAAAAACATTTTTACGGAAACTTTATAAAAATATTGAGTCAACATTTTTATGCAATCATACAGTACAATAATAATTGTTATCATGAAAAGAAAATATTTATAAAATATTATTAGTCAAATATTCAATATTCAAGCACTTTAAAATATTCCCACAAATGCTATATGGGTGGCCAATCGTCAATTGACCACGACTCACTAGCACAATAGACATATTCACATACACATAACATAATTTGGACATATTTGTATAAATCCTATGATGTTATAAAGTTGTATTATGTTTTTTAGTATTTATAAACTATAAGAGAATGTGTCGGAGATTATTAAATTGTATTATTTTCTATACGAGAGTGACAAGCATGAAGCAATATAGCAGTACGCCGTGCCTTCAATTAATTCGAAAACAAAGATAATTCAATAATTGTGTCCATTAATATTTTCAACAGTCTAAATTTATGCGTGTAATAGTAGTAATTACATTATATTGTTATTATTATTTCACTGAACTCGTTTGATTCATATTTGTTTTATCTCTATAAGAAATAATTGATACCTACCTAGGTATAAATGCATATCGATATCTTTTATACACATAAATAACTTATTATTTCTTTAGATACATATACAAATATATACACTATTGGTATTGTAGATTATACGATATTAATTAATGGTTAATATACGATGTCAGACCTTACTTTTTACTATAGGTATATTGAACTATATCTATTTCAAATGCAATAATTGCTACCTTCAAATTTAATTTGAATTATGATAATCGATAGTTAACAGGATAATAAATTAATATAATAAACATATTACCTATATAATAGATTAATATATGTATTTTGTGGGTTGTGACTTGTGGCCTATCCAATCCCAATATGTTAATAATATCATTTTTTTAATTGTTTATGTTGGACCTTATTAGTTATTATACATTACAATTTACAAGTTAAGTCATTTTTAAGTAGAATACGTTCCATTATAGTTGTATATTTACATGTAGGTACTAAGTGTACTCATGAATAATCATGATTATTATTTTTTTTTTCAGTTAGAATAATATAAAATGGAGTTCAAACAGTTTAAAGAATTTTCCACAGACATGATCGATTACGTGGGAAATTATTTAGAAAATATTCGAGATCGGTAAGCAATTGTACCAGGCTATAGCTATTATAGTAATCAGTAAATACTTATTTCTTAAGTAATATAATATTTATATTATAATAAATATTTCTTTGATTTTTCTTGTGTGAAAAGTTAATTAATTTACAATAAAATACAATTATGAAGTCTATTATTATTCTTATTTGTATTATTATTATTAATTATAAGAGTATATTTAATTTGGCATATCACCTCTTAAAATAAGCAGAATATAATTAATGCGTATGGTCCTAGTAGATAGACTAATTTGCTATAAAGTTACTAACAAAAATATTAGGAACCTATGTAGGTAAAAAGGAAAATATAACAATTATAATTTACATTAGATTTAGATAGGTTTATTTAACGACTTATATAAGTTACACATACCTATCGCTAAACCATATTTTAATATTAATTTGATTTGCTGCTTAAATCTATTAATAATTAACATACTATATATATATTTTATATTATAATTTTGCTAAGTATACATATTTCACTTTTATATATATATAATTAGATACCTAAGACCTACCTATCAATTTTAAGGAAACATACATATTAAAATACTTAATTGACTTCGTGGATTTTATTAACTTACTGTTATGTTAAATATTGTTAAACATCAATATATGGTGGTTACACATTTTAACCAGTATGCTTACCAGTAAAATAGGAGTTTCAAATTTGAATACGTTCTGGTGCATAGAATAAGAGTAGTTTCATTGTTTCAGTATTTTTCATAATAGGGATTTTTATGACTAATACTTGTCGACATAATATTACGATATTATTTTACTGAATTAATTAATATTTCAGGAAAGTATTGTCATCGGTAAAACCTGGTTACTTAAGACCACTTTTACCAACCGAAGCGCCGAATGATCCTGAAAACTGGAAAGATGTGATGTCTGACGTCGAAAAACTTATTATGCCAGGGGTAATTATCAATAATACTATTAATACTTAATATTATTGGGTTAATTAATTTTATATTAATTAAATTGTATGTTTGTCTGTTTTTATAGGTTACTCATTGGCATTCTCCAAGATTTCACGCCTATTTCCCTACGGCAAACAGCTACCCGGCTATTGTCGCTGACATACTGAGCGATTCAATTGCTTGCATAGGATTTTCATGGGTAAATCATTAATTAAACTTTGACAGTTAACCAGTATTATTAAACATTTTTGTAAAATAAATTACTGTGAATATACAATGACATAATTTTAAATCTATAATTATTGCTAAACGCTATTATGGACTATTGGACTATGAGTGTTAAATAGACGTATTATCAGTGTATTCATGATGAAATGCATTCAAATATTCAATAGATTTGCATTTAATTTTTCATGAATGTGAATGCAAATTTAATGCAGTTTTGCGATCAAGCTGATGATTTTAAAATAATAGTGAACAGTAGGTATGTCAATCGGCTATATTATTGTTAGGTATTAAAATCTTTAATAATACTAACACCACTGTAATAGTTATTACTTATAAGTTATAACTTATTATTATATTTATGCGTATTATTATAATATACTCGTATAAACAATCATATTATGAGGGATTTTTTTACTACAATTTGAACGCATTATTTTTGAATGAAACAAGCGAATGAATTCATTTTTAATGAATGTGAGTGAATTCATTTTCAAAATGAATGCTCCAAACACTGTTTATTAGCTGGTAACTAAATTAATTCATATTAATATATACCTACTATATGGGTTTCAGATATCAAGCCCAGCGTGTACTGAATTGGAAGTGGTCATGATGGATTGGTTGGCTAAAATGATAGGCTTGCCAGAAATCTTCTTAGCCTCAGCTGGCCTGGGAGGAGGTGGAGTAATTCAGGTGCGAATGTCGTAATGTATAAGTTTATTTCAAAACTGGTAGTTATTCCTTCAAATTTAAAAGTAAAAACATATAAATACATACCAATATATAGCCTCTTATTTATTATACTATTATATAGACATTCCTAGTTACTTTCAAATAGCTTTTGCAACTTTCGAGTAAAAATTTACTTGTGGTAGGTAATATCCTAAGTCAAATTAATTAATATTTTTTAACTTTAATTTTCCTATAATTTCCAAAATTTTTTATTTATATCAATAATATTATAATTATTATACTAAATACATACCTATTGTATTTTATCTAATATATAAGCAAAATTGTTTAGGATAGTACCGAATGGTCAAGCCTTGAAAATTATACTGTAGAATTTAAACATTTCATAAATTTCAAAATATTCAGTTCTAAAAACCTGTTTATCTGGAATCTTCACTGTCTTACTGAGTAGCTTATACTACCAACCAATACGACTATAAAAATAATACAAAAATTGTATTTTATTGACGTCATGATTGGCGTTAATTATTCAAGTAAGTACCAGTTGATTAAAAATTATAACTGATACCCAATTTATTAGGTAGATACATATAGGTACGACGAAGGTAAAGCGATTGTTGACTTTTTAAAATCTAAATATACACTTAATATATTATATTTTCAAATTTTCTTTTTTGATTTTAGTGTTTATTTAAATAATACACCTAGGGTGTTTCGTGATTTTGACCTGGAGAGTGGAGACCCACCACCAAATATAATAAATACTAAATAATCATACTTAGGTAAAATGCCATTTAAGTGTATTCTAAATGAATATATACGAATACTTGTCTCAATGATTATAAAATATGTTATTCCTAAATGCATTCTGAATATTTTTAAAATACTTTACCTAATTTAACATAAAAATGATTAGAGGTTCTCAAAAAATATGTTAATTTATTTTGACGGAAATTGGAATATAAGCTTTGGCGAAAAACGGCCACTTTGATAACGGTCGAAGGTTACTTTGGCGGAAAACGGGCACAAAACAAGCCCATACCCTACATAGGTTAGGTGTGCATGACTGTGATATTATCTTAAGAAATAGAAGCTGACACACCGTATCCCCTCAAAATCGTTTATCGTATGCAACAATTTGTCATTGAATTCCGATTTACACACATTTATTATGTCACCGAGTGCCATAGGTTCTACCTACTAGAGAACGACACAGAGCGATGCTCTCATTTTTCTTTTCAATCTTATAATGTACACGCTCTTCAAATTCTGCAGTTATGTACTTATATCTACATTTGGTTCGTATGATGCAGTAACTGTTAAACGAAATTGTTCTTTACATATTTAGGTGCTATACTGCTACAGAGATCAAATACAATATAATTCAATGGAATTTAATAAAAATAATGCATGTTTTCCGCAATATTGATGATGAATTAATTTTGTTCAGTACTTGTGAGTTGTGATAGTGTCGGTGAAACTATAGTGATAAAATAAATTAAAAAAGGATAATCGGGAATTCTCTTGTACTTAATTCCTATATCATCGATATTATCGAAAATCAGTCGTGCACGGTTTTACTAGCTACTTTTATCATGCATTACAGTAATATTATTATATCTAATTTATTAACTATTTTTTTTCATTATTATTTATTATGAATTTTTCTATTATTTTATACTATTTTATTGATGAAAAATTATAACATTGAATGTCACATAATTATAATATTTATTATTTTATAGACTATTGTATTCATATTATTTTGTTAGTAATTATTATTTATCACAAAATACAACATTAGGTATATATTCCAAGCATATAATTTTTTTCTATCATTTTATACTCTTTTAAATAATTTTATTTATTATTTGTATATTTACCTCCCCTATTTTACGGGCTATATATTGTAATCGTGTATATAGTATATATTAACATGTAAGGGCAACTGGACACTGGTACATTTAGTTGAGGGCAACTGGTATATTTTTAAAATCCCGATAACAGCCGTGGGGGGGGGGGGCAACTGGTCAACACCCGATTTTTTTTTGTAATTTTGTTGTAAACAGTATACAATTATTTAGAAATACAGCTTATTGTGTGAATTACCTAGTTCGAAATAAATAATTTATTATCTTCATGCAATAATAATATTTTTTTTTTTTTGGTACACGTCCCAATCTCAATCCCTCATCAAGCACCTGTAACCTCACAGTCAAATAATAATCATAATAATTCATGACGACGAATTTAGGGCACTGCCAGCGAAGCCACTTTAGTGGCGTTGTTGGGCGCCAAGGCACGGATACTGCAGATAATGAAACAGGCGGACCCAACGTTGGTGGACGCGGACATCGTGCCCAAGCTGGTCGCGTACTCGTCCGAGCTGTCCCACTCGTCCGTGGAGCGAGCTGGCCTTCTGGGTGGCGTGTTGCTCCGTGCCCTGGACACAGACGGTGAGCACAAACTCCGCGGCGACACGCTGCGCGATGCCATCGCCAAGGACCGCGCCGACGGCCTGATCCCGTTCTTCGTGGTGGCGACGCTGGGCACCACCAGTTGCTGTTCGTTCGACCGCTTGGACGAAATCGCCGAGGTGGGCAACGCCGAGAGCATTTGGGTGCACGTGGATGCAGCGTACGCTGGTAATGATAATATTATACATTTATACCCATTGTTGTTGTTGTTATTGTTGTAAGCATCATGACTTATGCTGGGTAGCATAAGCAATTTATTAAATTTAATGATTCACTAAAAATGTAATGGACCAATCACGGGCCACTAAATCTTGTTTAAGAGACCATTATCTCACTATTGAATTATTAAATGTTTTGAGCTATCCGGCTATCAGGGCTGAGCCATTTTTATATACAATTTTACCAAGTTGGTAATTACAGCTAGTTAAGTTTTTGATCATTAATCCTGAATGCAAAGACTAAAAATTTGTATACAAGGCGAACCCTTTATGCGCTTACACTCGCATTGCTTTGGACATTTTTAATTTACATAATTTGATATAGGTAATTCAAAAACAAAATTTCTGAATAAAAAATTATATTTTTACAATTTTTTGTCATCATTAATTTTATTATTTTTACTTTTTTGAATGACACCGTACATTTTTTCTTTTATATTTCGAATCAGTATATTTTTCCAAGTAATTAAATATTAATTAATTAAGTAATTAATTAATAAAAATCAAATTTCGAATGAGTAGTTATTTAGTTATAAGTTATATACCTACCTACTTATATAAGTTCTAACTAATAAATACATTTTAAGTTGTATTCAAACCTCTTAAGTAGTACTTTTTATAAAAAATCAAGTTATATAAAATGTTGTGGATCAAAAAGTTATAATTAACATTCGAGTTTAAACTTTAATTTAAACGAATGCGAACTATTTTAGCATTATGCTAACGTAATATTTTTATTAATTATTTCAAGAAAATAAAAAACTAAACCAGCTGTAAATTAGTCATTTTTACTACATTTTAAATTTTTTTTTAAATTAAATTTTAAAAAAGTCGGTTTGCTGTACAGTAGGTTACAAGTGGGTCGCTGCAGTAATGGATGGTGTTAAATTTGAATTCAATGATATAATATCATTGTATAAGAAAAACAATTCTGAGCGAAAACGGTCAGTTAGCCTATGATATTACTTAGTATATTTGATGATATTATTGTGAAGAAAGTAATTTATATATTTACCTATTTACGTGGACCCTAGTTTTAAATTTTCAATCGTTAGCTATAAAAGTTGAACATTTTATAAATTTGTAACTACAAAATAATTATTAAATTTTAAATATAATAAATTTAGTCAAAATTTGAACTTAAAATGGTTATAAAAAAAAAATTGTGCCTATGTATTTTTAATATTTTCAACTGCTATTGTTACAATATATCAGGAGCCTTGCATTAAATTTTCATGCTTTTTTACCCAACAAATAAAATTTTATTGATATTTATAAGAAAAAAAAACTAAGAAAATTTAAAACTGACAATGTTCGTAAACAGCTCAAAAAGAGTCGAAATATTTTCAAATTTGTATGAGGTATAGCAGGGATGGCCGGCCAATTCAAATGATCTTGAGGGCCACTTTGTAAATAAATTACAATCCTGAGGGGCCACATATTTGTTGACAAAAAAGGTCATCAGCCAGTAAAAAATATTAATATAATCACATATTTTATTGTTTATTTTATTATTATTACATATTTGATAAATGTAGCGTTCCTCAAAACTTTCCAAGGCGGGCCGCGGGTTGGCCATCCCTGGTGTATATAAAATTAAAATATTTTACATTCAGTAAAATTGTCATGTATTTACAGTTATTCGTTTTTGAATAACAATAAAATAACAAAACCACTACATGAGAAATCCAGTGACTATCCAATAGTGTAAAATTATGAACTTCAAACGCTCATAAAAATTTAATTTGATTTGCTTGTAGACATTTTTTTTTTTTTTTAAAGGTAGACAAACTTATGAGGAATCTTGTATTATATTTTCAAATCTTAGATTTAAAAAAAAATTTTTCAGTCAAAATTTCATGTACCTATGGTCATTTATTTAAGAGTTGCACCAAAAACCAAAATCGATTTTTCGAAAACAGATTTTGCGTCAAATTCCCGTTTTTCCTTAATTTTTCTTTTGTTTTTCACGGCGCTTTGAACTACTTGAAAAATTTTACTTTTGACCCCCCAAAGTACCAACTAGATTCACTTTCCTTTCAGAAAGATACTGTTGAAGAAAATCTAAGCACTTTTACTATCCTAAAAGGTGATGACAGACACAAAAAAAAAAATTTTTAAAAAAACACACATCATTGTAAAATCAATACATTCATCATTCCTCTCAAAATCTAAAAAAGGTTACCATAATATATTATAACATATTATGGCTGTACTGAAAGTTCATAAGAAATAATTGAAAGAAAAATAATCTTTGAAAACATTTTTTTTTTCTAAATTGTTGTCATCAGAGTGACATTTTTCTATAGATAAATCACGAAAGATCCAAATTAAATATTGATTTGCTTAGGAGAACCTTATACGCTGTGTCCTTCGTGAATGCGGTGAGTGCAAGCGATTTCTATTCTGATCTATGATATTTGTGATGCGTCCGATGTGACGAAATAAAAGCTGTTTTATTGTTGTTGTATTCCGGTATTCGTTGCATATAAGTTGGACACTGCATTAGGGTGTTACTGTTACGAGACTTTTAGACATACCTATGACCTACTATATATATAAATATATACATAAGCTGCTGTTTTTTTGGGAGGGTTGGTGAACTTTTGAGGGACTAAGATCCCAAATTCTTCCCGATATACATCAGTCATCAATGATCATTGACACGCAATAATCATTGATCATTATTTATTAATAATTAATGGGTCACTATTTTAAAAAAATGTGGTGGGACTTTAGAATCTTTAGACTAAATTACGCTTTTTAAATTCAATCTCAGTTACCTACGAATTCGTCTATTAAACAAATACTCTAGTCGCTAGATTTTTCGAATCACCCCGCAGGGCCCGAAATGCAGTCCGCCTCTGGTGCATCCCCAAATTGTTACACTGTAAGTTATTAAACTTTACTATCGAGATGTACCTACCTAGTGATACAAAAAAAATAACACATGAATCAATAAGTCAAAAATAATTATGAAATATAAAAGTTGTATATATTTTAATACAAGCAATTAATTATTTATTGTCTTTAATATTGCAGGATCTTCATTTGTTTGCCCGGAATATCGTCATTATATGAAAGGAGTAGAATTAGTCGATTCATTCAATTTCAATCCTCATAAGTGGCTTCAAGTTACTTTTGATTGTTCAGCAATGGTAATTAAAAAATTATAATTAAAAAAAAATGCTGTACCAATGGCTTATGAATAGGATATTATTATTAAAAATTGTTTTATTCTATTTAGGCTATAATAATAATAAAACTAATATAAATTGTCTACAAATTTTTTAAATGCAATAGTGAATATAAAGTATAGGTACTTACTCAATTATTCCACAAGAATGATGTAATTTCTAATATTTCTGTTATGAACAATTTGTATGTCGTAGTATGGGTATACTATATTATAATTTATATACTATTAATAGCTATAACTTATAACTTATTCTTTTTTATATAGTGGCTAAGAAATCCAAATTACGTGATAAATGCTTTCAACGTGGATCCGCTTTACTTGAAGCACGAACTTGAGGGACAAATGCCGGATTACAGAGTAAGTAATACTCCAACAAACTGTTGTTGTTTGTATTAAAGAACAAGCTGACATCGGGACACATAATTATGTGATAAATTGGCCGATTGCTCATACACTTGCTTTGATAATTTGTATGAATACATAATATTATAATTTATAATTTTGTAATTTTGATTAGCATTGGCAAATCCCCTTGGGCCGCCGTTTTCGTTCCTTAAAAATGTGGTTCGTATTCCGTCTAATTGGTGTCGCAAACCTTCAAAAGTCCATCAGAAAAGATATAAATCTTGCCCTTGAATTTGCCAAACGATTGGAAAACGACCCAAACTATGAACTTTTCAATGAAGTCAGTATGGGATTGGTATGCTTCAGACTTAAGGTAGGACTTTAGGTACCTAAGGGCTAAGACATCTAAATTAAAATAGTGTATTAAAATGAATATGGCTGGATGAAAATGACCTTCCTAAGAATTTTAAATATAATATTAGTTTCTCCTATATTTCAGATAATATTTACGAGTATTGGCCATTGTAAATTTGTATTAAAGGCCTTTAAAGTTAAAAATTTTAAATGCACAAATATTTAGTAAGTACATTGTATACTTATACCGTTATGGCATTGTGCAAAATCAAATTATAATTGTTATTCTTAGGTATACCACCTGTTTTTTTTATTATTATTCAAGAAGATAATGGGCCCTACTGAACATTTTCGTGTGGGTGCCTGTATAATGATATCCACCTATATAATATAAATAATATTATATTTTTAAAATTATTTTTTACAATACATTTTGAATAAATACTTGGCTATTTAGGTTTATCAATAATATAAAAATATTAATGTGTCATTTACTATTTTACTCATTTGTCCAGTCCATATAATAATCATGTATAAATACAACATGTAGCTTATACGAATAATTGTGCAGGGATCCAACGAACTCAATGAAGTGTTATTGAAAGAGATAAACGAACGAGGCACAGTGTATATGGTCCCATCGAAAGTCAAAGGAACCTTCTTCTTGCGTATGGCTATTTGCTCGAGGTACACACAGATTGAAGATATTGACGTGACATGGAACGAAGTGAATGAAGCAGGTAAAACCGTATTGAGTAAACAATAAAATCCGTCTATTAAGATCTAGGATTAAAGTTTGCAGCTAAAATGAACTCTGTTCAATATTAAGCGTTGAACACAAATTATTTTTAAAACTATTATCTAAAAATATAAAACTATCATCAATAAAATCAACACTAATAAAATAAAATCAAACATAATAAAATAAATATTGTACTCGTACAAAAGAAAAGTGGATTTTACTGTATCGCAATAGAGACTTAATTAAACGTTTTAATCAATATTGTTATAATACTAGGTACCTATTTTTAAGGTCATAATATTACGTAGGTATATGTTATTATTTTTACTTAATAAATCTACCTATATCTTTATTCCTTGAAGTGTAAGAAAACAAAACTATTGTACTATTCTAGATTTATAGCAATATCAAATACGATTATTTATTAATTATGAGAAATATTACACTTCGGTACATATTAACTACATATTATATTATAGTAAAAAATAAAAATATATACTGTACACTTTTTAGATTAATCTGTCCAGCTTACTTTTTAAGATCTGTGTTTTTCAACCAGTAAGATTGTTAAATTTATATTATTATTATTTATTTATTTTAGAGTTATATTTCAGAACAAAATTATAATATTTATACTATTGTTATTAATTGTATTATTACATACTATTCCATATTTATACATTTAGGACGGAAAAAGCTTATAAAGCAACCGAACTTAGGCCATAATATGATGGTACAAAATATTTGTATCGTTACCTAATGTATGTTAAACGCGTTTGTAAACACTATTCAGTGTTGTAAGTTATAACTTATAATTAGCTAATGTTAGTGCTTATATTATATTGTAATGAAATTACGTTTTAACTATAATAAATTCCAATAGATATCAGTATTATCCATTAGAATAAATCATATATTAAATAGTTAAACATAAAATATAATCAAATATGAATTATAATTTATAACATATTATATATTTAAATAATTGAGTGTTATTAAAAATGATCAGTATTATCACTTCACTTGTTTATTATTCACCAACATAATGACTTTTAAGGCATGTACCTATGATATAAGTGCTACGATACACGGCCATGTGTTGTCTTCGTCTTACAACTACGTAACAGTATAAAATATTAAAGCTTAGCAGATCACGTTTAGCTCCGTTAGTTTAAAAATTAAAGTGAATCGACCTATTATGATAAGAACATTATCTGTGCTTGTGTTATGTCTTACTTGGGTTTGTTCCTTCGTAGACAATTTTGAGTTGTTATCCTCTGTTAAAGAATGAGTTCGCTCTCTCGAAAGTACTACAGTACGCTATTGAAACTTATTATTACAGGAATTAAATTTTAACTCAATGAATTTAAATGATAATAATACTTTTATTTTTATGTAAAACGTACACACAGTAATCGAGTCTAAGACTATTTTACGACTGGCTTATGTACCTACTATGCATTATTCGATGGCGACGGACGTCGTCTTACAAAAGTGCTTACCCATCTAAATTCTACGTTACCTATATTATATTACTATAAGAACAAGGTGTTCCTAACACTTGTATGTGAGAATATTACGATCCGTGATTATACATTCCGGATTATTTAGTTTCCGGACATTTACTTTACCTTTACGGGTTTTTAAATTCCGTAATATTACTTTCCGGGGTTTTAAATTCCGTAATATTACGGTCCGGGATATTAAATTCCGGGATTGTACGTTCTGTATTTTTACTTTCTGGACAATAGTAGCCCCCCATAACTCACTTAAATTATCTTAAAAAACCCACATATATACAAATGGCTACAACTCATTTGCGCACAAAAACATAACTAATTTGCGCACAATTTACGAACGATAGAAACCTTTTTTCCAAGAATTTTATCCACGTATAGGGTGTACATAATCTCCGTACCACCATATTTTCGATTTGGTCAATACGGATAGTGGACAATTATTATACTCAAACAACATTTTCCTTCACCCTAAAGGCTTAGGACTTTCTGTCTCATCATATTCTGATCTTATAGACAAAAATGTTATTTAACAAAAATAGGGTAAGATATAGCAATAATATCAATAATAAAGATTAAAGCTTGTCCCACACGACTAGGGTACTTGGCTAGTATTAATGCCATTTTTGATAGATAAGAACTGATGTGAAATCACGTTATGCTTTAAGACTATATAAGGCTATATTGAAGATACTCCAATAATACCCCCAATTTATTCATTGATATCAATAATATTGAACGTTTAACGTGTTGGGCAGCTTAAGACACCCTGTACACCCAAAACTGTACCTAAAAGCTGGTTTTCATTGTTTACTATTTTGTGCGCAAATAAGTTGTCGTAAATTTAAAAAATATATTAATATGTGCGAAAATGAGTCTCCACCATACAAATACAGATACTATAGATATCTGTGGTAATACCATAGATATATATTATATTATATTTAATAATATATATATATATGGGTAATACTACAATAAATTGATAGTTATCTTATCACTATTATCACTATATCCGGCATAGCTGGTCTGCTAGCACCTAGCGTACAACACATCCAAATATTTTTATGTTTATAGAAAAGTTAAAAGAAATTCAAATAGAAACATAATATATAAAATTAAATAGCATAAGTTAACTCTTTAAATATCAAAATTCTATAAAAAAAAAAAAAACTGAAAAGTTTCAAAGTTTAAAAAGACATTGCATCCGCATTCCGCATGTATTGTCTCCGTGTTACACACTTACGACATAACAAATTTTCGTTCACTAGTTTCAATAGGATGCTGTCGGTTTTATCAAACTTTTAAGTGACAACAATTTTAGACCTTATTACTCTTTCAAGTTTAAGTTATGAGTAATTGAACATTTTATACATTTTGAACTATAGATACAAATTTATATATGAATTTTCGTGATTTTAATAAAATTTTAACTAGGTACAAACTATTATAAAAAAAAATCGTGCCTATGAATCTTTAATATCTCTCAACTGCTATTATAACTACTTATGAGTTATGAGGAACATTTTATTAAATTTTCAAACTTTTTAACCCAACGAATAAAATTGTATTGACATTTATAGAATCAAAACAGAAAAAGCAGGTAAGTCGTTAGTGAATGTTGATCTGCTGTTCAGTGGGTGTAACTGATTGTAATTGATGGTGTTAAATTTGAATTCAATGATATAAAATCAATGTACCTATACGAAAAACGATTCTGAAAGACAACGGTCTGTCCGCCTATAATATTACTAATAGTATGTATGTTTTATGATAATATGATTGTGGCAGTGGCGTTAAACGGGGGGGGGATAGATCCCCCCATGAATTTTTTTTCAATATTTATAACAATTTATAATTAAGTACATTCTATAATGCATTAAATTTTGTTCTATTTTTTTTCTAAAAACAAATTATCAAAAATATTTTCAATCTAATAATTAGGTTATTACAACTATAACGTTATGTTGTAGCTATTTAATGTTGATCATTTTCAACCATATAAAATGGTTGTTCTAACACAGTAATATCAACTATAGACAATTAGGTCTCCCAACCATGATGAATGATAGTCTGTATAGCTACCATGGTTTATGGTTGGGGTAACTATTTAAATGGTAGGCAACTGTAACTATTTATTTTTTTCCGTGTATTGTAAATTTAGACAGAATGTCAGAATATGTTTATACGTGTTTATATGACATTATCACCGTGATTCGTCTTTACTCTTTCGTACTCGTGTTTTCTACTGAGTATCCGTGTAGTGCACTAAAGTGTATTACTATTATACAGTCGGTGTCTTTTGTAATATTGACTATTTTGTCTATTTTACATTTTCCCAATTACTAGTAATAGCTATGTCTATAAAACGAAAATTACCATCTATTTTTATGCAAGTTGCTCTACTTCTAAACGCTCGGAGGATGAACAAATAAGTAAGATCACTAATATCGTTACAGAAAATCAAGTTGTGGACTTAGCGGTAATATTTTTAGTATGGCTGTTCATTGTTAGGTTATAAATATAACATCCAACGATGTACTGGACGAATAAGCAAAAAAAAAAAAACAAAAAATTAAATTTACTACTATAATATATTTATAAAGTGTCTGTGTGGTAAATGGACATTTCCCCCCCCCCCCCCCCCCGGAGATTTTAATTCTAAATAATATAAAAAGGATTTTTTTTTAAATGCAAGCCCTGTCTGTAACATCATTATTCTGGTTAGGTTAAACATTAGTTATTTTGTCATAACCGTCTTACTTCAAAAATAAAGAGTGGTAAAAGAATACTAGGACACAAGGACTCCTGAACACCAGAACATTAAAAAATTAACATCCTTAATCAACTTTATAAAAATAGTTTGTATCCATAAGTTAAAGTAGGTAACAAAAAGAATACTTATTCTAATACTTATCCTAATAGGTACTTATCTACGAAAGTAAAAACTGCATTTTTCCGGAACAGATATTTCCGGAATTAAAAACCTCGAATTTCATATTTCCCCGGAACGTATGTATTCAGAAGTTTTGTAAATTGTCCATCTTAAGCCCCTAAAAAAACAATGGTGAAAACCTCTTAATTGAATATTTATGGTTTTATGTGGTCAGATTTAAATTTTAAACTGTTAAGTATTCATAAATACTAAATAGTGTAATAGATATTATTAGTATTTGAATACTTTTCATGGTATTGAAGAGTATTATTTTTGTAATTATTAATTACAACATTGTATTATTGTAAAATAAAATTCTGAACACTTCAGAGTTCAGAGTCAGTGATTGATGTAAACTGTTTATTAATGTATCACGGGGCGGAGGATTTAGTCAAGAAAAAACTGATACTCTCCTGACATAGGTACCTATCTAATACAATAAATATTTACATACCTGTGGCCAAGTGGCTACTGGCTTGTATAATTTAGTTTCACTTTCATAACTTGATTTATGTATTTTATTCTCATATTTGCTTCATAATTTATACAATAATTTGTACTGATATTTTGGGTAGGTACCTTATATGGATATTAATAAAACTATAGGTAATCTATAAAGAATAAATAAATACAGTTAATATAATAATTACTATTACTGGACATGCAAATATCAAATTATTTTTTCCATCTATATCTTGCTCACAACTCCTGAATATTGTTATATCACTACAGTTATACCTAGGTAACTGTTTATTTTCAAAAATGATTGCCAGTTGCTGTAAATTGTCTGGTAAAGGAGGCATTGATGATCTACGAGCTAAGCGCATTGGCGATTCAGCAGTAGACCATGGATATAAGTTTGCTGCCAACGGATGTCTTAAATATATTATATAATTATGGTCGAAATAATAAATAATTGTAGGTTTGTGTTTCAAAAAACATAATATATTTAATTTACCTTCGACACTCGTCATCATAAATTAACTTTAATTGTATATTGTCTGAGGCCGCTCTTCTTTTTAAAATATTTTTAAGAGCATCCACTGACTGCATACCATTGTTTTCACGTTCATGATTGGTATGCGGTTGCATCACAATAAATTAATGTTCCATCTGGCATCTTTTTCATCGTACCTACTTGTGCAAAAATGTAGGGTACGTTTACTACATTTGTCATAACTATTGAATAAAGAACAAATTCATTAATTTCCAGACCATATATAGTCTTTTCTTCAATTAAAAATGTTCATTGAATTTTTTCAACTCTATTTTCAATACTTACCTATTACTAAAAATCGGATTTTGCATGTCGCTATTTTCAATATCATAAACATGCAGTCAAGGATTGTTCATAAATCATTAAATGATTGATACATATCAAAATTGTATACTGCATATTTTTGTATATTCTGACTTTAGTGCATGGTCTGCATATTTTTGAATATTTTACCAAAATAACGAACAAATATACACCTAACGATCCAAATAGGCGTTGAGCAAAAAAAAATTATAGGCACGTTTATATATCAAATATTTAAAAAAATTTAATTTATCAAAGGCACTTACTAGAATGTATTACCTATTTACTTGATATGAATGATTAAAAAAGTGGGCAAAGTGGGTGCTCTGCTGTATAGTTGTAGCTGGTTACAAGTAGGTCACTGTAATGGATGGTGTTAAATTTGAATTCAATGATATAATATCATAGTATAAAATAACGATTCTGAGCGAAAACAGTCAGCCTATGATATATTGATATTACTAAGTATATTTGATAATATTACTGTGGGTAAAAAAAAATTAAATATTATAACCTATTTACGTTGTTTTACGTAGGTACTAATAACTTTGTTTTAATTTTTCAATCCTTAACTTTTCAAAAATCAAACTTAAAATGCTTATACAAAAATATTGTGCCAATGCATTTTTAATATTTTTAAACTACTACTGTAACAATATATCAGGGGCCTTGCATTAAATTGTCATGCTTTTTGGCCCAACAAATAATTTTTTATTAATATTTATAGAAAAAAAAACTAAAAAAATTAAAATTTGAAATTGTCTGTAAACAGCTCAAAAAGAGTCAAAATATTTTCAAAATTGTATGGTATATAGAAAATGCTAATATAAACATTCAGTAAAATGTTCATGTATCTAGAGTCATTCGTTTTTGAATTATATCAAAATAAGAAAATCGTTACATGAGAAATCGAGTGAATAACAAATTTTGTAAAAATCTGATTTAAAATGCTCATAAAAATTTAATTTCACTTTCTAGTAGACATTTTTTTTTTGATAAAGGTAGACAAACTTATGAAAAATCTTGTAGATCATTTTCAAACCTTAGATTAAAAAAAAAAATTTTATGAATTTCCAACTAAAAATAATTTGCAAGATTTTGTGTTTTTGTCAATTATTTTGTCAATATTTGAACTTTAAATACTTATAAAAAAAACTGTGACTAAGGATTTTTAATATTTTTCAAACGTCATTGTAACAACATAATAGGAGCTTTGTATTAAATTGTCAAGCTTTTTTACCCAACAAATAAAGTTTTATTGACATTCATAGAAAAAAAAACCTAAGAAAGTTTGAAACTAAGTATATCCGTAAACATTATTTTAAAGGAACCTATTTGGTTAGGCCTCCTGAAATATTTTAAAATAAGCAGCAAAAACTTTTTCTACAAACTATGTGTTGATAGAACTGTCCACATTTTTACTTTTATAAAAATGCATATTTTTGTGTTCAGTAATGATATATATAACCCTAAAAGTTCAGACCTTAAACTCAAAACAATTTGTGTAATCATTTCAAGACTTTTTTGAATAAATCTTTATCTAAACAAACTTTATTATTATAAACCTTTAAATTACATTTTCGGGTCTTGAGAATTAAAATAAGAAATATTATAAAATGTAAACATGTATATTTATTTTGAACAAAGCACAAATAACTTGTATATTAAATTATAATATCCAAGTCTTGAAATACTTAAATTAATTTATGAAAAATTCTTCTAGCCTAATAGTATAAAAGTATAACAGTTCAAAAGTCATCCGACAAAACATAATATTATCTTAGCACAAAATAAAATTTGTATTTAGTTCTTACCCATTAAACTGTATGCAAAACTTAATTATAAAAAAAATATCATAAGTTTTTGTAAAAATGAATAGTATAAATTAGTTTATTAGACTTAATTCTATAGTGTTGCTGGATATGGAGGTGGTGTGCTTGAAGAAGCCATAAAATATGGATCAGTAGGTGCCCATTGCTTATTATATCGAGTCAATACTGGTGTTAACACATCTTTACGTAATTTTCGCATGCCATTTATGGTTGCAATTTTAATTATGTTAGCTAACTCACTATTATATTTCTCAAGGTTTTTATCTGATTCAGTTAAATTATCAATATCAATATTCAAGTAATTATCGGTGTGCTCATCATCATAAACAGAACGTAATGCTACAACAGGAACGGATTCTTTAACCTTAAATTGATTAGTATTTTCTAAATCTGTTGATGTTTGTAATTTTTCATAGAGTTTTTTGTTATACTCAATAGTTAGTATGTATTTAAGTTGTGTAGTTTCAGTGACTATGTCATCATCAATCAACAAAAAACGAAAATAACTTGTGGTATTCTTAGTAGATGTTTCATTATTGTCTATTTTATAATCTAATAGGCAATTACCATTAGAAGGGTAATCACAAAAAGCTTCGTAAAGTGCTTCTAATAGTAATTTAATTGAATTGTTATCACTGACATCAGATGATGGTTTATCTTCTTGACTATTACTGCCATCATAGTAATAAGCTTGAACTGCAGCCTGTTGCACTCGACGTACATATGTTACTGTAAAACAACAAAGAATTCATAAAATACATAGAATTTTCAAAAATGTTAAGTGTTTAAAATTAAGATTTTGTGTTGGATGACAACAAAAACAGTAGTTTGTAAAATTTAAAAGGAGATAACAATTAAATTTAAAAAATAATAAGATAGATAAATATAAATACAATTTTAATGAATTGAATGATGTATAATGAATTAATGATATATAATATATGTTACTGGCATGTCAGGCAATGTCAGTAATGCTGATGCACTCCAGTTATTGTGGGCAATGTCAAATGGGTGTATATTTCCGTAATTGGCTGATTAGCTTAGAAAGTGTCATTTATCAATATTTCCTAAGGTGGTTATCAATTGGTTATCTCAATTTATTATATTATCTTTTGATTCCGAACAACACAAAATTTTTTTAGATAAACAGATAAAAAGTCCCAGGTAACACAGTCACACGGAAAAAAAGTCTCCCGTTACAGTATAAATAAAACGATATTTCCACTTTACTTGTTATTTTATTTATAAAATAAATTAGGTTGATAAATCTTATCTGTAGATAGTACATGAACATTTATTGACATAAGCTGTAGTTTGATAGTTACACACAAGCTGATCATAACATACAAGTACCTATATGACCTATCATACATATTATAAGCATATTATCCAGTTTCGAGTTGTACGAAAGTGCTTAACCATGGAACCTCTAAAACCAAATACAGTCGAATCCAGGACTGTCATTAATGTCCCCATCAACCAGGTGTCCCCTTTAAGTGGCGTCTCCTTTAAGCGGATTCTACTGTAAAGGAAATGATAAAATTGCACTACAAAGGTATACTTAATATACAATAAAAAAGAAATGCCAAAGTATCATTTGATGGAAATGTTCAAAAAAATCATCAATAAAATGTGCAGCAATATTAATTACCGATTTAAAAATTACGAAAATCATACGTTTTAAAGAAGAACATTGTCATGCTGCTAATAAAGGTTCAATAGGAGCCATGAAAATCAATCAAATTATTAAAGAATGTTCACTTCAGACTTGTAACAATCCATGACAAATATTTCTTGAATATCTGAATAAAATAATAAATACATTTTTATATATTTTTTAAATACTATTATTATAAGATATATTTTTTTTTAATTTTGAATTAATTTACATGGATAAACCACCTATCTGAATAAATACATTGTTTATATGTTTTAAATATTATTATTATGAGATATATTTTTTTTAATTTTTAACTCATTTATGATGGGTAAACCACATATCTGAATAAATGCATTTTTATATTTTTTAAAATACTATCATTATAAGATATTATTATTATTATTTTTTTTTAAATTAACTTAAGAGGAGACTTTTTATTCTAATATCTCTTGGTTAGTTATATTATAATTTTAGAATACACGTTTAATAAAGTTAAATAAGTTAAATAAGTTAAAAACTAATACTTCACGTTAATATCTATTTAACCTCCATAGATAATTATCATTATTGATGATATAATGTTGTCATAGTACATGTTATGGAGGTAAATACAAAATATTAAATAATTGGATTTTTTAATTATATAACTAATAACTACTGAATGACAACAACAAATAGACATATTTGATTGCAGTTTTCGGTAACCTACTCGTTAATTGGTATATGTGCAAATTGTTAAGTTGTTTGATCTCACACTGTAGTGTTAAATTGTCTTAATTTTACATACGAGGGGTGACTTTGGACAACACATTAACTATGCCCAGTTCATATTTCAACAATGTAGGAAGTCGTTCATATAAGAATTATAATCCTAATGATATTAAAAATGCAGTTGAAGCTGTTAGATATAAAACAATTACAATACAACCAGTAAAAACAGAATAGTTAAAAATAAATTTTAAGTTGATATTTTTATAGAAAAGTAAAGAATTATTTTTGAAGAATATTAAATAAATTATGTTGTGTTTGCGATAAATCTGTCCGGAGTCACCCCATTTTACGATACTTATAAATATAAATTACTCACCATAATCCATCATTGTCGTGTCAAAACATTGTTCTGTTATAGCATTTAACAAAATTGCCATCATGGCTCCTTGTGGTGTCGTACGGGATAATTTTGAGCTTAGAATTCTTACTACAAACTTTTTATTTAAAGCCACATTGGTATCACCTGGTTTGGTAGCATTTTTATTACCAGTTGGAGGAAAGGTTCCTGTTACTGAAGCCAGTTGTGATAATACTTTGGTGTCATTCTTACAGTCAGTAGCCTCAGAAGTTATTGGTGCTGTTGATGCGGTTTGTTCAGATGAAACTAAACTGATTATAGCACGCATGCGAACTGTAGCAGCCAAAGTTATTTGATTACGGCGATCATCATAATTATTAATACCATTTTCCAAATCTATAAAAAGCTCAATGTTGATATCAGTAGTAGCATTACCTACTTCTGTCATGTTTAATTTAGAAAGTTTAGTTAGTTGTTTGTATTGAGTATATGCTAGGACCAGTTGTGGAGGTGGGTGTAACATTGTTGGTGTAGATTTTAACGAAATCTTGAGTTTGTAAACCTAGATAAAAATGAAATTTATTTTTAAAAATTCAATCACATTAGATTTATAGCTTAGGGTATATTCTAAAACGCATTCGGGAATATTTTGTATAGGTAGTTAAAAAGGTAGATGCACACTTGAAAAATATATTTTGTATAATTTATATTTTTATTAGTTAACTATTTTAAAAATTATGGATAAAATATCCTACGGGTTGGAGTTAAACAATCATAATTTATAAATGAATATAATAAAATATATAATATATTATTTAGTGCTGTGCTAAGAGTATGGTATACATACATGTGTTGTCTCTATCTCACAAACGAACAACATGGGAAATATGCGTTTAACAGAACCAACTTTATGATCTTTGATATAGGTACAAATGGATTAACCAACTATCAAACTTAAGGTAAGAACATTATATGTGTTATCTCCTAGATTGTTTGAAACATTTAAGTTGTTAAGCAAATTATGAGCATTTTAAAATTGTAATATTTTTTACTCTTCTTATTTATTTAAAAATTAAATTATATCTAAAAACCAATTTTCAACCAGTTTTTTTATCTTTAAGAGAGATGCAGTATATTTTTTTCTCCATCTAACACACGTTTAATAGAGTTAAAACCAATCCGTAATTTTCTATTATATTTACGGTTTTTAAATTAAGATATTACAAACTATTTTTTTTTTTTTTTTTTTATTGAACTTGAGCCCGTCCACTGTACGGATAAAAATATTAATGGAATAAGAAATCTCAAAATATATCTAACTTTTTATGAAGTTATATTGAGATCAATCAATCCACTTTACCATTTTTGCTCTCTTAAAATTGATTTAAAAATTGTAGAACGTTTAAAGAGTGATTGACAAAAAGTACATATTTTTAATAAATCAATCTTGTCATTGTTCACAAATTGGCAAGATAAGGAAGCGCTCCACTGTATCGTTTACATTACAATGACTTTAACTGTCATTTACTCATATTGTGCAGTTGAGAAAAATGCTTAGAATAAACCCTGGCTACGCTATTTATTCAATATTCATACCTGAAAATTTACATAACATTCATATAATTGATCTGCTAGCAAACAGTATTGCAATATAGATGAACTGTTATTATTTGTTTTATCCCATTTAGTTAAACATTGTATGTAAAATGCATCACTGGCCACATATTGTTGCCAATAACGTTCTTGAATAATTTGATTAGTTTGATACTGACGATGTTGCAGTTGTTGAGGGCGTTGTTGTGTCCTACGTAAGGTTGTTTCACCGTATCCTGAATTTACGGACAAATTATCTGTTTCCAGTAAAATAACTTCGGGTGCTTTATCTGGACGGCCACACTGTGCTATTATTGACCACCGTACCATAAAATTATGTCTGGATATTGGTAAATTGTCTTCATATAAATATGGTAACGCAAGGATAAACTTGTCATTGCGAGGAAGCTGTACATGTGAACTCAAATCATCTGTTGGTAAAGAAGATAAGGTAGAACTCTGAAAGTCTGATAATTGTACACGTTGTAGTAATGGACCTTTGAAAAAATAATGAAACAATATTAAAGAAAAGTACCTACCAAATTACCTAAATAAAATTGTAGTTCTACTCACCAACTGTATGACGTGAAAGAGCACTTATAGCTTCACGCAGTCGAGGGCAAAAGTTTGCTATGCCGAAATCGACAATGGCGTCTTGATCTAGCAATAATTGTTGACTTGTAGCATCATTCTGATGACTTGTAGCATCATTCTGATCGTAGTCATTACGACGGATGCGATCATGGCTTGAGTAGTCAACTACCACCATTATTACACTAGATAGTGATGAGTTTGTAGTAACTAATAATATGTACAAATTAACTGAGAAAATTGTTTAATGATTAAAAACATAAATGAATGTATTAAATCATGCAAAAATACAAAATTATGTTAAGTAATATTATTACTATTATAATTCTATGATATTACAATGGTCGTTATCAGTAATCACTAATAACCCATTATCAATAAACATGACTTGAAATTGACAAAAAATGTTATCTTTTTATCGCGTTACCAAGGTGGATATATATTATATATCCACCTTGCGCGTTACTGAACTTAATATATTTCCATAAGATAATATAGATCTTTATATCATAGAATGGATCTTGGGAATGTTCTATGATCTAAGGAATGGATAGACCATAGAGTAATATTACCACAGGGCACAGCACGGACTAAGATATACAGGACTGGACACGACAAGGTTGGAGGGTGTGGGGGGGTTGACTACGAAATGTTTTACAACAGGCAGTGTTCGGGGGGATATTTTCCTTTTAGCATTACTAGCGCCGTCTTAGTGGATACTTTTGGAACTAGATGACAATAATGTGATCTAGTTCCATAAGTATCCCATAGAGTAATATAGAGAGGCCGTTTCCCTATACTGCCTGTATGACAGGTTGAAGCGCAGTTGGCCTCCCTTTTGCAGGGTTTCCATTTACAAAGAACAAAAAAATGTACAACTAAAACTTAAAGTCAACCTGTTTGACATAACTATTAAGTGATAACTGAATAACTGATAATGTTTATCGTTATTTATTTACGGTTTACTTGATTAAATGATTACCACTTGTTAATTGTTTTACGTTTAGTAAATTGTTTATTATTTACCCACTTGAGCTAGTACGTACTACGTCCTAATTTGTATTATTTTGTTTAATTTCAATTGTTTTTATTGAAAAATGCCGAGCTGTTTTTGTTGTAATAGATCGAGAAATGCAAAATCCAAAAGTGCTAATATCTCTTTTCATAAGTAAGTATCATGAATAACAACCGTTATATTTTGAATATTATTTGTGTTTGATCATCTTTATTAATATGTATTTTATTTATATATAAATGTCTTTTGCATTCATATAATTATCATTTATTTTTACTTAGGTTTCCAGCTAAAGAAAATATTAGAGTAAAATGGTTGAATTTCATAAATGAAAATGGTTTGAATACAAATGATATCACTAAGAACAGTTTAATTTGTTCTGCTCATTTTGATTTAGCTAGTTTTACTTGTAATGAAAATCAAAACATGAGGATTCTAAAAAAAACTGCTGTTCCAACATGTATTGTTGAAAGAGTGAAAAATGTAAGTTTTTGTTTTATTGTATATACAAAAAATGCCCAAGCATTAGATTTTTTATTTTATATTAATTATTATTGCATTTTAGCCTAAAAATGTTTATCCAGAATTAGTAAAACCTCTCCTGCCAAGTTTTTCAAACTCTGATGTGTCTAGTACAAGTAACAACTGTATTGTGTTTGAAAGGACTGAAGTCAAGGTGAATAACCTATTTTAACTAATTACACATATTTATGCATTTTTGTTTTTAACTTCAAATAATTATAATAACTTTTTCTATTTTAGTCATCTTATGTGTATGAATTAAATACAGAAGAAGACATGGATATTTCATTGATATCCGTTGGTCAAGGCTTACAAAAAAGTGAAAATATACATGAACAGGTACCTAATTGGGTGCTATTTTATTATTTATTAATAATTTTATAGATAATTTTGTATTCTTGTTATATTTTAGGAATTGGCTGGTTGTAATAATAGTGCAAACGATGAAGATGAGATAGCATCATTGTTGCCAGTTGATTCTTCTTCCACTTCACCATCCATAAACATAGAAAGCACTTCTGATAAATTCAGTATTAAAAAACCTTGTGTAAGTATGACTATTTAAATTAAATGGTATAAAATTATATTTGTTGTTTGTTTATTATGCATTCGAAGTACCTGCATGATTTTAAACTCATTATTTTTAATTTAGATGAACTCCAAACATGAAATATCACTAATGGATGCTAGCAAGTTCCATGCATCAGATACTCCACGTCGTCGCTTCCTAAAACGAGGAATTCAGGCACTAAAGGGTGAACTTAAAATTAAAGATATGAAGATTAAAAATGTACAACAAACTGTTAGAAGACAGAAAAAGAAAATTGCATCAATGAAAACGATCATCACCAAATTGCAGAATGAGAACCTCATAAATGAAGATGTTGGCTTCACATTGTTGGAATCTTTTGGTAATAAACAAGATTTAATCATTAATTGGGCTAAAAAAAATATGGGTAAGAAAGTTCCTAAAAAATATAGCCCATCTGTTAGGCAATTCGCTTTATCGTTGCACTTTTTCTCTGTTAGAGCATATGAATATGTTCGACAACAATTTAATACTATACTACCACACCAGCGTACTCTTAGCAAATGGTATGCTAATGTTAATGCTAATCCAGGGTTTACACAAGAATCCCTTAAATCATTAACACTCAAAGTAAAAAATTCCACTAATCCGGTTTATTGTGCCCTGATGATGGATGAGATGGCTATTCGCCAACATCTTCAATATGATAGCTGTACTGGAACATACTACGGCCGTGTAGATTTAGGCAATGGAATGACCAATGATAGCCTCGATATAGCCAAAGAATGCTTTGTACTTATGGTTGTTTCTGTGACTGAAAATTGGAAGCTACCAATTGGATACTTTTTGGTTAGTAATCTTAATAGTTCCCAAAAATCTGAATTAATTAAACATGCTTTAACACTCTTACAACCAACTGGTATAACAATAATAAGTTTAACGTTTGATGGATGTGCAACCAACTTAACTACTGCAAAACTTTTGGGTTGTGATTTTAATATTAATACCTACCGCACGTCTTTTGTTTTTGATAACAACGAAATAGTGACATTTGTGGATCCTGCCCATATGATTAAGTTAGTGAGAAATGCTTTTGGAGAGAAAAAACAATTTATGGATGAAGAAGATAATATGATTGATTTTGAGTATATATTAAAATTATTTTGTTTGCAAGAGAAAGAGGGCTGTCATTTAGCAAATAAATTAAGAAAAGAACATATTTTTTTCTGCAAGCAAAAGATGAAAGTTAAGCTTGCATCACAATTGCTTAGCCAGTCTGTTGCCGATGCTTTGAGATTTTGTATGGATAATTTGAAGATGGATGAGTTTTCTGAAGCTGGCGCCACAATTAAATTCATAGAAATGTTTAATATTGCATTCGATATACTAAATTCACGCTCGATTCATTGTATAGGTTATAAAAAAGCATTGTGTAGAGAGAATGTGAATGTTATATCCATATTTAAAGACAAATTCACCAATTACATAAAAGGTCTTAAGGTAAAAGAAATTGATGGATTTGTACCTGTTTTAGATTCCAAAAGAAAAACGGGGTTTATAGGATTTATTGGAGGATTACATAGTGTTTTAAAATTGTATGACAATCTTGTAGACTCAGGCAAATTAGAACACTTAAAGTTGTACAAATGTAGTCAGGATCATATTGAATTGTTTTTTGGCACAGTAAGAGCATCAGGAGGTCATAATAATAATCCAACAGCACAACAGTTTCGAGCCGCATATAGAAAATTAGTGATTAGAGTTAATGATGTTCAAAGCTTTAATACCGGCAATTGTATACCTCTTGAGGATATTGATATCTTACATTATTCTAGTATAGATCCTATTAAAGTACTGAATAATAATTCTATAGGTATTAGTTCAGACACGGTTATTGATGAGGTAAATGTTCAAAATATAAATTCATTAATCATGGACCACGATTATATTGGTAACAATTCTGAACATTCATCAAGCCAGTTTTGCAAAAGAAATTATAATTTATATAGCCGGTTTTGTAGTTTACAAACTTACCAATTCACTTAAATGTGAAGAATGTAAACTTGGATTAGTGGCTGTGGAAAAGGATTGTTTTTTGAACTCATTAATTACTTTAAAGAATAGAGGAGGTGAAAAAGGAGGATTAATGTACCCCAGTGAAGATGTCATTTCAATTTGTTTTAAAACTGAACATTTTTTAAAAAGTTACAATTATAAACAAAAAGCAATCAATAGATTAGAAATCCAATCAAAAGTTTTGGCACATTATTTGTTCAGTTCAACAATATTTAAGTCTTTAATAACCCATAGTCAAGAAACACGCAGCCCTTTATCAGACCATTGTACTCTTTTAATAAAATCAATTGCAACTACCTACATAAATTTAAAAATTAATTACATTGTAAAAAAACATAATGAAACACCATCCCTTAGACAATGGTACAATAAACTTACCCTGTTTAGAGGTCAATGAATTTAAATGTTTTATAGTTGTTATCATTTATATTAAAGTAATACATTAAAAAAAAATTGTTTGTTGTAGTTTTAAATTTTGATATGTATGTTAAGTATTAAATATAAATAACTAATTGTATAATATTGTTGTATTTTAATTAAAGGTAAAGAATCGTAATAAATCAAAAAATCTGATGACGTTCAACAGATGACAGATGACATATGTCTTATTTCTACGCTGTTAATTAACAATATTTGGTAAACAAAAGTATTTAAAAAAAAAATATGCTTAGACAATTGTGTGAGTATGGATATTTCAAGTCAAGTATGTATTTAGTAGTAAGTAAGGTATTTTCTTTTTTAGACCTAGAGTTTAAACTTGTACTTTTGTTTATAATTTCATAACTTTTCACTACATTTCAGATATAAATAACAGTTAATTTTGTTTAATCTTCATTTATTTTAGGTTCTGCCATAATTAGATTAGATTTGATTAATATGCATATGCATATAATATGTATTGTAATAAGCTTTTTGAAAATATTTGTACCCGATTTAGATCATTCTTCTTAAAATAACACTGATTGTATTTTGCATATTTTGCATGATTCCAAGTGTTTGACAGAAACCGATCAGGGAATATAGATTGAAGATATAGAATGTTAAATGGCAAAGAACTTAGTGAAGACGACAAAATACTTTTTTATACCTTTTTTAATACTTATTTTTTAGGTATAAATCTAATTTTATGGACACCCTTTTTTAAAATTTTTTTTTTTTTTTAATTTCGTGTTTTTCATGCTAAAATCAAAAGTGTTTGAAAATATTTGTGGAAACTTACTGTTCAAAAGTTATAGCAATTCAAAATTGTCGATAATACAAAATATGCTAATTAACTAATTTTCACCTGATGTCCGGGCTAACGAGTGACCATGCTGGCAGTAAGTGTACTTAGAAAACAATATTGATGAAAAAAAGGGTGTCCGGTAAAATAGATTTGTTCCATTTTTTACATGATTTATTATGTTTGTAACTATTAATTAATATTTAATATCATCGAAGACTCCCTTCTTGACAAAAAAAAGTGAAAAAATACATCTAAGAAACTTTAGGTATACTTAAAATTGTGTTACATTATATAATATGAATTAAGTTTAAATTTAAAATAAATAATTAAATTATTTTTATTATTATTATTGTTATTTTATTATTTGTGAAAACCTGTCAATTTATATTTGATTACATACATTATTACATGGTTCATCTACTCATTAAACCCTAAGATTGTTATGAGTAGGGTTCAAGCAGAACAAAATATAAATATTAACTAGCATGAGTATGCACTGAAAACTTAATATATTAAATGTTTTCTTATACTATCCAAATTAGACAGACAATTATCATTAAAAGTATATTTGGTAGTCTATTACTAGGGTATAGGCCAGTGGTGGCTACGGGGGGGGAGGGGCGTTTTCCCTTCCCATTGGGCTGTCTTTTTAACGTTATCTTTTATTATTATATTAGGCTTAGCCAAAAGGTTATTCAATTTTTGAAAATTCACTCCCTTGGGTGATCCGATAGTGGTATAGGTCTTAGTTTGAATAATACAAATTTTAAATTCGAATTCGAATTCTTAAAACCTTTAATGTATTAATATGTATACTAAATGCGCTTCCCCAAAAAGGTAACTCATTACTTAAAATGGATCTAACCATACAAACAAAATTTATAACTTATAACTAATTTTGTCAACAAAATATTAAGTATATTTTCAGTGTTACCCGGACAATACATGAACAATATGTTACATGTTTGATATGGCTAACCTGTAAAAGGGAGTCTAACTGCGCTTCAACTATTTTATTGAACGGCCTCTCTATATTACTCTATGAAGTATCCACTAAGACGGCGCTAGTAATGCTAAAAGGAAAATATCCCCCCGAACTCCGCCTGTTGTAAAACATTTCGTAACCACAATATTCATCTCGTGTCCAGTCCTGTATATCTTAGTCCGTGGGGCACAGATATAAAATACGAATAATATCATGTTATCATACAGTATTGATAAGATAGTTATGTAAACATTGACCCACACGCGTATGGTGGCTAACTTCAATATCGATTACCCTAATTTAGACAAGTTAGCTATCTAGTATTTTATATCTGTGAATATTACTCTATGTGATAGACCGGCATATTAATAAAATAGAGTCAAGTGTGCCACAATGGGGAAGAAAGAAAGACTGTTTTTTTATCATATCTCTCTCATTCTGGCAGAGGTCTTATTATAAATAATATACAATAATTAAATTATATATTAGGTCTATTTGTATTAAGACCTCTATAACCTCAAAATATTTTCATGTTCGTTGCCGTATGATAAGCACACATGGCCTATCCATTCTTTACCAGCACTATATCTGGTGGAGACTTCTCAAAGTTCGCTTATGATACAATTATATTATGGAAATACAAAAAAAATAATATGCACAATTGATAATACATATTTTGTTTTTAAATACAAATCGCAATACTTTTGTTAGAAAAATCGCGTAATATACAAGTTCTAAGTTCGTCGACTCATTGTCATTATGAGCAATCGAATGTGTTGTGTCGTGGACTGCCATAATACTTATAAAAATACGAAAGGCAAAGGTGTGATGTTTTATACTTTCCCAAGTAAAAAACATGAACAACACATCAAAAAACTTTGGCTTCAAGCTATTAGGCGTGTTACGTAAGTAATTTATATAAATAACATACTTATGTGCTGTCCTTATGACACTATTTTAAATTAATTTCTGAAATTATTACTAAAAATCTTTCATTATGGTTTAAATACATAGTGTGTATTTTTCATTTTCAGTGAAAATGGTGATGCATGGGAGCCAATTCGAAGCAGTCTAATTTGCAGTACTCATTTTGTTGACAATAAGTGTTCAAAAGACCCAAAGAGTCCTTCTTTTATTCCTACAATATTCCCAGGAATATACAAAAAAATATCATTAAACCATCATCAACAAACAGCTAGGTATAAGCGAACTTGTATCCGCCAAGAAAATAATGTCACTATTGTTACTAATAATATTGACACTATTGAACCTTACATAAGTAATGATAATATAAAATCTGTTCGTAATGCTAGCACTCAAGTAGCTTTTGAAGTTAATGGCATTGATTTATTCACTTTTGATTGTTGTTTCATTGATAGCAATAATGCTAAGACACAAGTTTCTATGCCATATAAATTGAATTATCTTGTAAGGCCTAAAACTAGAGATCAGTCTTGTGGTCTAGACACTCCATATCAATCAATACCTAGATTAAAACCTATATCCTCGCCTAAATCTTTTTGTAGCTATGAATCTGTTATGAATGAATCACATCTAGAGAGTTTAACAGGGACATCATTTCAAGTTTTTAAAATATTACTGAAATTCATTCCAAAATCATCAGATAAAACTGTAACAAGAGAAAACAGACTATTTATGTTTTTAATGATAATTAAACTTAATATATCATATTCAGCTCTAAGTGCATTTTTTAACATAAGTCCTTCAACAGTTACTAGAATATTTTATGATTGTTTACATTCTTTGTCAATTAAAATTAATCACTTCCTTTTTTGGCCAGATAAAAGTTCTATTTCAACAGCAGAATCATTAAAAATAAATGATCCTAATTTCCGATATTTTATTGGTTCTACAGAAATAAAAACTGAACAACCTGATACAGTAGAGCAAAGGGTATTTTTGTACTCTAGGTACGAAGGTTGTTACACTATTAAATTTTTAGTGGTAATAACACCAAATGGTATAATACGTTTTGTATCTAGTTGCTATGGAGGAAGTAAAAGTGATTCTCTAATTACAAATGATAGTGGTATCCTTTTAGAATTTGAATCGGGAGATATTGTATATGCTCATGAGAGATTTCTTAGTACTGAAGCTTCTTGTGAAAATTCTAACGGCGATTTAGTAATTTCTCCCATTTTGCACCATGACAGGTTCACTGGAGATGAAGTTATGGAAACCCGTGATACTATAAATAGTGAGATTGAGAGAGTGTTTTCTAGGCTTAAAACACATGGTATACTAAATAAAATATCGATTGAATTAATGCCAGTAATTGATAAAGTTATTCAAATTTGTTGTGTATTAACTAATCTTCAATTACTAACATTAAAGGAATAATTTTAAGTTAAAATAATAAGTTTATGTGTAAATAAAGAGTATAATAAATATTTATATTATAAGTACAGTTTTTTACATATTATGTATAACAATGTAATAGCATAGCTTATATGTTTGAATAATAAAAAAAATTAAACCAATGTATATGTGTTCATTTAATTTACTTCAGATTTTGACAATGAACTTACTTTGATTATAAATTTAATCAAATAAAAATATTAAATATACTTTCAAACCATAAAAAAAAGAAACTAAAATAAATTTAAAACATAACTAATACAGTTAAAATAAAATAAAAAACATTACAGTTGTATTGATAAATGTATTTGTATACATTTACTGGACCAGTTTTAGTAGATAAAAATTAAGATAATAATGTAATTCTTCCCAAGAATGTTCATCTTTTTTCAATTATTATGGAAATTGGATCAATATTATAAATAAATAGTAATAATAGTATACATGATTTTAAGCCAGTACAATCAATTAACATTTGGCAATGTGTGAAATACATGGTACTTTTTTTTATTCTGGTTTTCCATTTTTATCTATTTTAATATATTTTAGGTTTGGTTTACCGTTTCTATGATGGATTTATTTTTGCATGAAATTGGACATTTTATTTCTATAACACTTTTCACTATACCAACAACACTCGGAATTATTCCATTTGGACTAGCACAAATCCAGAATTAATAACTAATCCACATTTCAATATATTTTTTCCAATCAATTTGTTTAATTAATTTAATGATATTGTTTGTTTAACATACTTTACATTTATATTACCTTTATTTACCTAAATTATTTTCTGAAAAAAATATTTGATTTAGTTTTTTTAAACCTTCTACTGTCCAGTTTTACAAGTTATAATCTTGTGTGTTTTGGCACTTGCTGATAACCGTTACACTCTTTCTTTCTTCCACTATTCACTTTCTGCCTGAGATAAAGTTTGAATAAAAATTTCAAAAATTTTTGATTTAGTTAAATATATGTTTTTATAATAAAAGTTGTGTTCTAAAAAATTTAATGGAAAAATTGCCAACTTAATAAGTTTAGAATTTTGATTTTGTTAAAAAATATTGTTGATATGTGTCTTTTATTCATATTAATTATTTGTTCAAATTCAATTTTATCTGTAATAGAATAAAAGCAGACTTTATTAACTGTCTTTACATTCTCTTTCAACATTAGTCATAACATTTTCTTTTAAAATAATACTTAAACTACGAGGAATTTTAAGTATATTATAGTCTTTAACAAGAGTTTGATGACTTATAGAATTAGTTATTATACTTAGTGGATATGTTTTTTTAGGAAACAAAGATTCAATTGTTTTACCTTTTTATACATACATTTTCCAACTTTTGATAGCTTGCCCCATTTTTGGGGTAAATCTGTTTTAGATTGCCCTTCTGCATCATTTATACAATAAATAATAGCACAAATGTGCATGCATTTACCGCCGGCACCTGCTGGACAATTGCATGAAGTGTGCTTAACTTCATGATTATTATCCACCTAAAATAATACATTTAACCTCACTTTATAATAATTTAATAATTCTAGTCTGTTCATCCGTTGCATACGTTATTTTATTAAAATGTAAAATAAAAGAAACACATGCTTTCATTAAAAACAATTAATAATTTTGTCATTAAACCTTTCACGACATTATACACATGTTTATATATTTTTTAGATTTGTAGGTAACTGGATGAACTATAATTATTATGAGAATTCTTGTTTTAAATTTTCAATTCTTATAAAAAATTAAAAATTGAACATTTCATAATTTTTTAACTACCTTTTTTTTACCCACCTTTTATTATTTTAATTCAACTTACCAGCTACCATATTAATAATAAGTACCTAATAACAATATAAATATAATATAAAATATCTACGCTGACAAACCATCACCGCTCAGAATCGTTTTTCATATAGGTACAATGATATTATATCATTAAATTCAAATTTAATACCATCCATTATACAGTGACCCACTTGGAACCTACTGTACAGCAGAGCAACATCCACTTTCCCACTTTTTTTTTTGTTTAAGATAGGGACATTTATGAGGAGTCTTCTATCAAAATGTCTAGTTAACTATGATGAGAAAAAAAATGTTTATGAATTTTTAACTGTAAAATAGTTTGAACGTTTTGATAAACTTTGTCAAAATTTGAAATTTAAATACATATAAAAATTGTACAATTGTACCTATGTATCTTTAATTAATAATAAAAAATAGGTGGGCAAGTGGGTGTCGCTCTGCTGTGCAGTAGGTTACAAGTAGGTCACTGTAATGGATGATTTTAAATTTGGATTCAATGATATAATATCATTGCATGTCAGCTTATAATATCAGATATATTAGTATTACTATATATATTTTATGATATTATTGTGAATAAAGTAATTTAGGTATATATAACCTATTTTATATTTATGCTGAAACTTGTTTTAAATTTTCACGCTTTTTGGGCCAACAAATAAAACTTTATTAATATTCATAGAAAACAAAAACTAAAAAAATTTAAATTTGAAATTATACAGATAATAAACAGCTCGAAACGAGTAAAATATTTTTAAAATTTTACCAAGCATAGGAATTGATAAAATAAACATTCACTGAAATTTTCATGTTTCAGCTTGAAAATTGAATAAAGGTAGATTAAGTAAGTATTCACTTATACAAATAATACATTTATACAAAGTATATCAAAGTAGGAAATTAGAAAGTCGAAAGAGTTATTATTAGCTATAACTTTTATAAAAATATATTATATACTTATAAAGAATATTTATTAATAATGAGTAAAATATTTAAATATTGGATCAGAAAAGCATTGAAGTTGCAGCAACATTGTGGAATAACATAACACGTTTATAACTCGAAAATTTGAAATATATGGATCAGGAACGTATGCTATAGTCGTCACTCGTGACGTTAGTTGAAAGAGTCGACCTAGCGTACTGCACTACAGTAGTAACTGTCACCACCACCGCCGAGAGCCGACGACGTCAATACTGAAGCGGCTAGCCCGTGCGACCCTGGTACCAACGACTCCGATTCATCATCGACGGTATTCTTGAATCTTGTCGAAGGTTTGTTTTTATCGGATTCGACAAACATATTTAGAGCATAAAATTTTTTTTTTAAATAGTGGGTAAGTGGATATCGCTTGCTGTACAGTGGATTACAAGTGGGTCACTACAATGGATGGTATTAAATTTGAATTCAATGATGTAGCGGTGACGGTCAGTGTGGATATTTTATATTATATTTATATTGTTATTACTTATTAGTTATTACTTATATACCGTAAGGTAGCCGGTAAGTTGAATTAATATTATAAAATTACAACAAAATAACTAAAATTATTATTATGGTTATTTAATATGTAATTTCCTCCAAATTTGAACAAAAAATAACTGCGATTTATGTTTTTGAGGTTTTTTAATTACAGAATAACCTACTTACGTTGGAACCTTGTTTTAAATTTTCAATCCATAGCTATAAAAAATGAACATTTTATAAATTTTTAACTACTAAATCATTTTTAAATTTTAAATTTGATAAATGTTGTCAAAAATCGAAATTTAAATGCTTATAAAAAAATATTTGTAAAAGCATTTGTATTTTTAATATTTTTCAACTGCTATCTAAGCAATAAATCAGGAACCTTGCTTTAAATTTTGACTCTTTTGGCCCAACAAATAAAATGTTACCTATTGATATAAATAGAAAAAAAAAGGTGGGCAAATGGGTGTCGCTCTGCTGTACAGTAGAGCCACTCCCCCACGCCACCTCTCATTTAGATAATACCTAATTTGTATAGCAATTTTATTGCGTTTATTTGCATTTTATTTAGTAGTCTTTGAGGGCGATAAGGAAGACTGATAACTTATAAGGGGCCACAAACTCGTAAATTTTTTTAGGGATTAAGGATTAACGACGTATTGTAATTATTAGGATTTATATGGATCCGATAAACGTGAGCCACTCGAGACTTTAGAAACGTCATAATAACAGTATAATATTATTAAATCGCGAATCAATGATACACGCCTAATCGTGTAAAAACTTAAAAATATTCAGTCCGACTCCGCAGTCGTAGGCATACGTAGGTAATAAATAATATTTTATTTTTATTTTGTTTAATGAATATTTACGATACGATAATATAATAATATACGTAATACCATTGATTATAAATACTATTTAATATTTATAATCAATAGTTAAACGTAAGGTACCACTGTATATTACCATTTACCACTGTATACCGTCGCAGGTATGCCGACATGCCGTCAATATAATATCTGAAAATCTTGCTACTTGCGTCGTAAAAAACAATTATAATAATTAATATTATATTTCGATACATTGTTTCTAAATTCCATCGTAAATCTCTAAATCTCTGTTTGAGCACCTCCCCGGGTTGGAATTCTAATTAACCCTTTTTAAATTAGCCTATCTTCTTTCCAGAGGTATTATCTATTATATGTCTGTACCAAATTACATCATAATCGGATGAACGGGCCTAGGAATGCATATTTAGGATACACACACACACACACACACACACACAATTACACAAATATTCATTTTTATATACATAGATATACATTTTTATATAGGTACATATTATCTGTTTGTAAAGAATTATACTGGTACAAACTACAAATACTTGATGATTTTGTCATTTAAATTCTACTGCGGTTATCATGATAAAGCCTTTTAGGATACTAAATTATCGAATAAGTCGACTAGCACGGTTAGTGATCAGCTAAGTACGCAATGTCGTAATAATCATGACAAAATAACATACCGCAGCGGTACAGGGGCGTACCCAGGATTTTTCAATGGGGAGGGGGCTAATCAGAATTTAATAAATTAACAAACTAGTTTCAATATAAAGTCTTATTGTAGGTAATTGTAATATTTTATTATTATACATTTATTATAACACATACATAATATATCGTCGCCATCATGCCAAAACTGGCCAAGTGTTAAAAGTGACCAAGTGAAATAACATGTTTAAATGTCTTATTTTGTCCCTATTAATATACGAAAAAAGTGACCAAGTGATATAATAAATAGTTTCTGAGCCACTTAACACATCATTTTGACTAACTCGACATTTAGCATTATTTGAATAAGTTAAAACTGACTATGTTACTTGGTCATTTTTTTTGCGGGTTGTAATAATAACATTTTTGTCCAAGTGTCGAGTTGATCACTTTTTGTAAAACAATAAACCTATAATTACCTATGAGGCTGCACCCCCAAACAATGCCTTTTGTTTTTTATGGACTGAAGTAAACGGACAAAAAGGAAGTTCTGAAATTGGAACAGCTTTACTAAAATGGATTGGACAGCTACCAGTAAATATAACTAATATTTCCCTGTTTTCGGATACATGCAGTGGTCAAAATAGGAATCAATATATAGCAGCTTTATTTTTATACATTGTCGCACATTCAAAAATTGATGTTATAACACATAATTTCATGGAAAGTGGACATTCGTACATGGAAGTGGATAGTATATAGCACAATAGAGTCAGCAAAAAAAAATGTTCCTGTTTATACAATGCATGACTGGCTTAATATTTGTCGACTCGCTCGTTCTAATAGGTATAATAAAAAATGTTCTAGCTACACAGTTCAAGAACTAAAGTATACTGATTTTCTTGATTTGAAAAGTTTAGCAAGATTAATAATAAAAAATCGTTCAACTGATACACAAGGTAATAAAGTTAATTGGTTAAAACTTAAAAATTAAAGTTTTAAAATATGAGAAAACTGAGCCTGGTGATGAAGGGTGATGAAGGGTTTGAAAGTATATGTGTAAGTGGAAGAGGAAGACCAACGAAATATCCTGACAATATTAAACAATTATATGACAAGCCAAGACCAATTTCAACATTGAAAAAAAAAGATCTCATGAAACTGTGTAAGACTGAAGCCATTCCTGTAGAATTTCATGAATGGTATCAAAGTATTCCATCATGTTCAAAACAGAAGGATACAATTTTAATTTCTGAATCTGAAAATGATTCTGATAATTAATAAGTTTACATTAAGACTGATTAAGCCATTAAGGTAACTAAGGTACTATAGTTTTAAATTTAATATAAAGAATTTAACAATAAGTTTTGTTTTTTTTTTAAAGTTACATTTTTACATTTTGTTTTTATGTTAATAACTATTTTAAAAGTATAATCTTTTTTTTTAATTAAACATGTTGTTCATTACTATAAATATTAAGTACTGTGATAAACAAACCTTGTTATTGATTTATATAAATAAAATATGTTAAGTTTATGTTTATTTATGCTTTAAAGTATTAAATTTTTTTTTTAAAAAAGGAGTAGGTACAAATAAAAGGTATACCTACAAATAATGTTATTTTTTTTAAAAGGTTTTAATATTATATACATTTTTTTTTTTTTAATGAGTACAAAAAATGTATAATAATACCTATATCTAATTATACTGTTGATATTATATTGATTGATCTTAATAAGATATTTTATTTATTTTAACTAAATATATTATAATGACCAAGTTAATCATTCTTTTTACTTGGTCACTTTTTACAGTGTTCAAGTGAAACATTGTCACATGGTCACTTTTTACTAAAATTTTAAGTTGGTAAATTTACGATTTACTAATTTAACCAAACATTATGATTTAAAATTTAGTACAATAATGGTAAGTATATTATTCCGGTTTTATTGATATTATGTTTGTAAACATTAGTTAAGTTTTGGATTTTTCAATCGATATTAAACATTCAAATTACCTTTTCTCAAAACTACAATAAAACACTTGGCCAGTTTTGGCATGATGGCGACGATATACTAATGATACCATTATGTAGTATATTTTATTTTATTTTTTTTTATTCTTAAAGAAGGTAATGGGCCCTGAACATGTTCGTACCGAATATACTGTGTTCATACCGATCAAATAATATTATACCGGTACCAGCTTATAAAAATTCGATAATACGAGCTTATTTTCCTCAATCGTATTAATAATTAATAATAAGAATATTAAAAATGTTTCATTAAAAGTTTCCTGAAATATCATGGTTTTTACTTTGCCTTTTATTATTCAAGATTTATACAATAACACGACCAATGGGGGGAGGGGTTAAAGCCCCCTTAGCCCCCCTCCATGGTACGCCACTGCAGAGGTAGGTGAAGCGGTAAAATGTAGCCACTAGCCGGTCACAATTGAGTATTTACCACCACCCATAGGCGCACATAGGGGGGTGCTTGGGGGTGCTTAGCACCCCCAAGCTTCAAACTAGCACCCTCAGTTTATTTCAGTATTTCACCAATCATTTATTAGCTATCGTGGTTTATTGGTTCGGAATTTTTCTTTTTATTACAAATATTGACAACTGTTTACGAATTCACGAATTCATATTTTTTTTTTTTTTGTCTGTCATCATCTTTTAGGACAGTAAAAGTGCTTGGATTTTCTTCAACAGTATCTTTTCTGATAGGAAAGTGAATCTAGTTGGTACTTTAGGGGGGTCAAAAGCAAAAATTTCACAGTAGTTTTTAAAAGCGCCGTGAAAAACAAAAGAAAAATTAAGGAAAAAACGGGAATTTTTACGCAAAATCTGTTTTCGAGAAAATTGATTTTGGTTTTTAGTGTAGATATATGAAATTTTCACTGGTTATTTATATTTCCATTTTCTATACATGATACAATTTTCTAAATATTTTGAGTTATTTTGAGCTTTTTACGGACATTTTTAGTTTCCATTTTTTTTAGTTTTTTTTTCTATAAGTATCAATAAAATTTTATTTGTTGGGTATAAAAGCTTAAACATTTAATAGAAGGCTCCTAATATATTGTTTCAAAAAAAGATGAAAAATAACGTACGTTTGGCCAGCCCCCCCCCCCCCAATGGAAAATCCATAAATGAATTGCGCCGATATTTAGCACGTAATTCGCACGTATTCGCACGCCTAGTTTTGAAATTCGCACGACTCTCCTTCCCCCTCAAAAATCAAAATCCATGGGGGGGGGGGGGCCAGCAACACGTCTTGCCAGCCCCCCCATAGTTTAAATCAACATTTTCGCAATTTTTTTTTTGCAGATATTTAGCACGTAATTCGCTCGAATTCGCACGCCTGGTTTGAAAATTCGCACGACCTTCCTTCCCCTAGAAAAACAAAAATTCATGGGGGGGCTGGCAAAACGTTTCGCCAGCCCCCCCGGAGGTCCAAATTAACATTTTCGCAAATTTTCTTCTGCAGACATTTAGCACGTAATTCGCATGAATTCACACGCCCGGTTTGAAAATTCGCACGACCTTCCTCCCCTCCAAAAACAATAAAATCATTTTTTGTCAAGAGAGATTTTTTATTCAATCAAGATATTTTCCATTGTACTTAGAATATTTTCTTATTAAATACAGTTGTCTATTAAGTTTTTTATTTAATATGGATTGTATATTAAAAATAGATTTTTTTTATTAACTGCAGGTATTTTACTAAAGTTTTTTTTATACATTTTTTATTCAACTAAGCTTTTTTTAGGTTATACGCAATATTGTAATTAAATATTTTTCCAAGCTTACCATTATAATCTTGATTGAATAAAAAAGCCTAGTTGAATAAAAAATCTATAAAAAAACCTGAGTAAATTACATTTAGTTAATAAAAAAAAATCAATTTTTAATAAACAATCTATAATAAATAAAAACTGTATTCAATAAAAAAAATAACGTATGTAGAATAGAAAAAATCTTAATCTAATAAAAAGTCTATCTTGACAAGAAACCTTAATAAAAAATCTATGTTGAATAAAATATAATCTAATTTTTAATAAAAAATTTGATTGTATACAAAATCTAAAAAAAATCCTTCGTAGAATGCTTATAGTTAATAAAAAAACAATCAATTTTTAATAAATAATCTATTTTAAATAAAAATTTATATTTGATTAATGAATCTATATTAAACAAAAAAACCATGATAAAAAATTGTATTCAATAAAAATAATCTAAGTAGAATAGAAAAAAATTGTATTAAATAAAAAAGCCTAGGTGATTAAAAAATCTATAAAAAAAGCCTGAGTTAATCACCTATAGTGAATAAAAAATAATTAATTTTTAATAAACAATCTAAAATAAATAAAAAACATTTAGTATTCAACAAGATTTTTTTCCATTATAACCGTAATATTAAAGACTTCCAATCTAGAGAAAATCTATATTTTATAAAAAAAAACAATATCAAATAAAAAACTTAATAGACAACCGTATTTAATAAAAAACTAATCTAAGTAGGACGTAGGTACAATGGAAAAAAATCTTGTTGAATACTAAATGTTTTTATTTATTTTAGATTATTTATTAAAAATTAATTATTTTTTATTAACTATAGGTGATTTACTCAGGCTTTTTTTTATAGATTTTTTAATCACCTAAAATAATCTAAAATAAATAAAAAACATTTAGTATTCAACAAGATTTTTTTCCATTGTACCTACGTCCCTTTTAGATTAGTTTTTTATTAAATACGGTTGTCTATTAAGTTTTTTATTTGATATTGTTTTTTTTTTATAAAATATAGATTTTCTCTAGATCGGAAGTCTTTAATATTACGGTTATAATGGAAAAAAATCTTGTTGAATACTAAATGTTTTTATTTATTTTAGATTATTTATTAAAAATTAATTATTTTTTATTTACTATAGGTGATTAACTCAGGCTTTTTTTATAGATTTTTTAATCACCTAGGCTTTTTTATTTAATACAATTTTTTTCTATTCTACTTAGATTATTTTTATTGAATACAATTTTTTATCATGGTTTTTTTGTTTAATATAGATTCATTAATCAAATATAGATTTTTATTTAAAATAGATTATTTATTAAAAATTGATTTTTTTTATTAACTAAATGTAATTTACTCAGGTTTTTTTATAGATTTTTTATTCAACTAGGCTTTTTTATTCAATCAAGATTATAATGGTAAGCTTGGAAAAATATTTAATTACAATATTGCGTATAACCTAAAAAAAAGCTTAGTTGAATAAAAAATGTATAAAAAAAACTTTAGTAAAATACCTGCAGTTAATTTTTTTTTCTAGGGGAAGGAAGGTCGTGCGAATTTTCAAACCAGGCGTGCGAATTCGTGCGAATTACGTGCTAAATATCTGCAAAAAAAAAATTGCGAAAATGTTGATTTAAACTATGGGGGGGGCTGGCAAGACGTGTTGCTGCCCCCCCCCCATGGATTTTGATTTTTGAGGGGGAAGGAGAGTCGTGCGAATTTCAAAACTAGGCGTGCGAATACGTGCGAATCACGTGCTAAATATCTGCAAAAAAAAAATTGCGAAAATGTTGATTTAAACTATGGGGGGGGGGCTGGCAAGACGTGTTGCTGCCCCCCCCCCCCATGGATTTTGATTTTTGAGGGGGAAGGAGAGTCGTGCGAATTTCAAAACTAGGCGTGCGAATACGTGCGAATTACGTGCTAAATATCGGCGCAATAATTGCGCCGCAATTCATTTATGGATTTTCCATTGGGGGGGGGGGGGCTGGCCAAACGTACGTTAAAAAATATTAAAAATCCTTAGTCACAGTTTTTTGTTATAAGCATTTAAATTCCAAATATTGACAAAATACGTGAAAATGACGAAAAATTGCAAAGTATTTCGTGTTAGAAATTCATAAAAATTTTTCTTTTTAAATCTAAGATATGAAAATGTAATGCAAGATTCCTCATAAGTTTGTCTACCTTTATCAAAAAAAAAATGTCTACAAGAATCTCAAATTAAATTTTTATGAACGTTTGAAATTCATATTTTTACAACATTTGATATTCTCTCGATTTCTCATGTAACGATTTTCTAATTTTGTTGTAATTAAAAAACGAATGACTGTAGATACTTGAACATTTTACTAAATTTGTATATTAGCATTTCCTATACACCATATAGTTTTCAAAATATTTTGATTCTTTTTGAGCTATTTACGGACATTTTCAGTTTTCAATTTTTTTAATTTTTTTTTCTATTCATATCAATAAAATTGTATTTGTATGGTAAAAAAGCTTGAAAATTTAATGCAAAGCTCCTGATATATTGTTACAATAACCCTTGAAAAATATTAAAAATACATAGGCACAATTTTTTTTTATAATTATTTAAAATTCAAATTTTGACAAAATTTATCACATTTAAAATTTAATAATAATTTTATAGTTTGAAAATTTATAAAATGTTCAACTTTTATAGCTAATGATTGAAAATTTAAAACAAGATTCTACGTAAATAGGTTATATATAAATTGCTTTATTCACCTTAGTATCATCAAATATACTTAGTAATATCATAGGCTGACTAACCGTCTTCGCTCAGAATCGTTTTTCTTATACAATGATGTTAGTATATCATTGAATTCAAATTTAATACCATCGATTATACAGTGACCTACTTGTACCCTACTGTACAGCAGAGCACCTTTTTTTGTTTATCAAACTTAAATAACTTTTATTTTCGTTTTGATATCGGAAATATAAAAACAAAGTTACAGAGTAAATTTTCTCATTTTTATAGTGTGAACATTTAGTTTCTTAGCTTAGAGTAGAGACTGAATGTTTTTTATACCCGTGCAAAACAGTTTTGCCTATGTTGTACCTACGTCTGTAATACGGAGACAACACATGTGGGTGTACCTAGCGTCTTCTTTACAATCATACAGACTATTTGATACATTGCACTTTAGAAATTATTATATACACTATACAAATTAAATCTAATGCAATGCAGAAATATTAGGATTAGGGGGGTGTGTCTGTGAACCATAAATTATCCCAGCACCCCCTAAATTCACACCCTATGTGCGCCTATGCCACCACCGCGGGGCACCACCGAGACAATAGAATTTTACCGCCACCGCTGCGGTGTGAGGAACCTTTACGCTATTAATTAGCACTTAAAAGGTTTGGTAAAATGAGCAATGTGGTTTAATTACAGTTTAAAATTCAGAAATATAATTGATCAAAAGTTAAAAGTTTAACGTAACGATTTAAAAAAATTATTTTCGTTATCTTCAAAGATAATTATCAACAAATGATGATGTATTACTATTTTATTATTTATCACTTGATAACACCATAGATAATAAAGAAATTATCTATGGATAACACGTCTGATAAATGATAATTTAAAACACTTTGATAGCGATCGAGAGTTCCTCAGTATTTCGTGCGCAAAAATATATCAATGATGTACGGTTCTGTGGTTGTCGTCTCCCGTCCGACGGTCGATCGTTATTCGGCGGTTTGCTAAGTCCCAACAGTTTCACTTCACTCTGCTTTATCGGGCCACCGTCATAACATATTATATTATCGTCATCGTTTATCGTCTGTCGTGTCCCGCGCACCACCGATGGACCCGTGTCACCGACTTCGGCCGACACGTTGGATCGATCAAAAATAATGTTAGAACTTGGCGTGCCGAAAAATGTTTAGTAAAAAAGCACAGACGGACGTGAAGAAATCCGCACACAAGATATTGGACCCGAAAAAAGACACAGCCACCAGATTCAAACATTTAAAATTTTTATTGGGTACGTTTTGTGTTTTTGAGAACATCGGCTACCTATATTGTGCTGGTTAAGTTTGGTACATATCGTCGTTTTGTGATCAATACCATCTAATGGCTTGCACGTAATTTTTTTTTGTTGCAGATAACAGCGACGAAAATGAATCTAAACATTTGTTCGAAAGCAACTACAGCAGTATCTATCAAATATTTTATGAAAGTTTCATTAGTGTTGAAGCCAATTTGAAACAAAGAGGTAGATAATGAATTTTTTTATTTTCTATAAGTAGTAGGTGATAATCTACTAACCTAATATTGTGGTTTTATAATACCAACAATTATCAATTATTTATTATAATTTTTTGGGAATTTCTAAAATATTTTTAAATTGTTTACGAATAAGACGGTAACAAAAAGCAATTACTTTTAAAATCAAACTCATAATATAATTTTGTATAAAGTTTCTTTTGACTAAATTAATGTTTCCAGGATGAGTCACAAAGCATCGAAGTAGTATAATATTTTGAAATAATCTAACAACTTTTGAGTACCTAGTATGTTAATTTTCAATCTCTAATATTAAAAAAACTAGGTACTTGAGTTGTGTTTTGTTCTTTTTATTTATTTACTTAAGTAGATTATTGTTAGTGTTAATGTTCATATCTTTTATTCTGTTTTTTTACAGTCACTAAAATTCATAGAGATGAACTTGATACTATTCTAATTATCTTAGAAAAAGTACTAACATTATGTCCAGAAATTGTAGCACAAAGATGGCAATGTCACAGTATGTGTATGATCATTACCAAACTATTACATCCCGAAAATTCATGGCGGTTGAGACGTGATGGGATCAAGTAATTATTATTTGCATAAAAAAATCAATTTATTAGAACTATTTTTTGTGTCTTACTTATTGTGTTAAATGCTTAGGTTTTTTATTTTATGGTATCAAATTTTGGGACATAATGCACCTGACTCAGTACATGCAATATTTGCAACACTTGTACCTGGATTCTCCAGTCCAATACCCGAACATCCCGGATTGGCCGCACTCTGGAATAACCATTCATCTTCTATTAATTTGAATGAGAATTTGTTGAGTAAGTCACTTACTAATAAAATTAACAATATTATTTGTACTAAAATTATTATTATTTTTAGGCCCAGTGGGTACTGTAGAAACTAATCTTTTATATGCACCACAAATGGGTGAAAAGCAGCCAGACGATGTAGTCAAATACTATTTAGAATCCCTTCTAGAATTAATGGTTAATCAGGTAATAATTATTAATGTATTTATCATTTGTCTGGTGTATAATTAAGTATTTAGAGAAATTAGAAAAAAAACAATAGTAATAATAACAATTATTTACAAATAATTAGAAATCAGTGGTACAGTGAGGAATACAAATTATTTTGGTTGTTATTATATATGCTAACAATACTTATTGCCTTACCGCACCTCAACATACATACTTTTGACGTCTTAGCCAAAAGTTACTAATTATTATTTTGTTTTGATTGACCGACACAATTCTTCATTTAATTACTCATGAGTCGTGAAGCAATAAATTAGTTGTAACTTTAGTTATATTATATAGGTTTTAATGAAATTTCAGAGTTCTACATAGTTAGTTTTTTATTTTCTGTGATAGAGCTAGAATTGGGAATTTGTGTTCGTTAATTTCCATAATATAGATGGACTAGGGTATTTTACTTTTTTTAGATAAAGGAATAGTAAATTTAGATTAGCTCACATCAAATTATGTTAGTCCTACATATGGAATAAATTATATCAATCAACAATCATTTTACATATTCAATCAGTTAATAATATAATTTTACTTGCTGTTACTAGATTAATCCAAACATACACTATTAATTCAAATTCCTTGTAAATGTAAGAACAATAGTTATTTCTCACAACTTCACTTGCTTATCAGTTGTTGCTTATTAGTGGTTTTGTTAATATGATAAGTGATGTGGAGTAAGTATTCTAGTAATTTTATTAAGTAATCTGGGTATATTGTGATGTATCGACGTATGTCTATGTAAACTTTACATAGGAAAAAATTAACAAATATAAAATACAGCATTATATTGTATCTCAGTTTTAATTGGCCTTAGACACTGTGGTTTGGCCAAATCAGGCCTTGTAAATGTTTTTTCTGTAAATTGGGTAAACAAATGTATAACCTCAGGTTGGTGTGGTGCAGGCTTATTTCAATGATTTTTGGAAGTTCAGACTCCGATCAGCTGATAGAGTGTCACTTCTTTATAGTTTTATGGTTTCAGTGTATTTTAGTTCATGGGCCTGTGGTGAATTTGATTACGCACTTACTATATTTAAAAAAATGTAAAAGTTGTTAAATTGTGAATGAAGTTTTAGTTTATTGCGTGTTATAATATTGTAATATAATTAGAACTCTCAAATTTAGCATTCTTGCATAGTCCGTTTTCCTTATTTGTTTATATATAGAAAATTCCACTTTTTATTTGTTTCTGGCTGCCATTAGTAACATAATAACTATTTTATTTTCTCTAACCTAAATCACTTGAAATGATGAAAAAAAATGTCTATCCACCCAGTTGACTACATTTACATTAGAGTTGTTATTTAGTTTCATCCCCTTTGCATTGATATAAAAAAAAGTTAACTATGTCCTTCTCAGGGTTCAAACCATCTCATCTCCATACTAAATTTCATCAAAATTGATTCAATAATTTAGTTGTGAAAAGATAGAGTTACTGTTGCATTTATTATATTATATTATATTTACTAGTATTTATAAAGGTATTTGTTTTACAGTAATATATATTTTTTTTTTTGCAACATAATTTATAAGATAGTGAAAAACTAAAAAATACATACTCTAGGAAAATTGTACCCGTTCGATATTATTTTTAATTTTCTGTATAATTTTCTTAACACCTTTCAGTGGTCTGTCAGTGTGAGAGCCATTGCAGGTATGTTAGGAAACCTATAAGCTTAATTTTTTTTTTACGGAAAGGACAATTAATAGTTTAAAAGTTATTTGTAGTCCTTTACATTTTAAAATTTTTTAATGGTTTGGGGTAATTGTGAATTATAAATCTTTATGAAATAAATTGAGCTCCACATAAATTGGTTTTTCATTGTTGATAAAGTGTTGGAAACAACACGCTATTGAACTTCCCTGTGAAATTTACAAGGTGACTCTTTTAAACCTGTTTGTTGAAATAATTTTGTCTTTGATACATAAGTATAGAAATATATTTGAATCTATTAATTTAGTCCAATAACTGTGATCAATTTTATATTTATTTCTAAACAATATGATATTGTTAAATTTGATTGTCTTGATGTTAATAAGTTATAATTTAATTTACTAATATTTGTATCTCAGTGTAGGATAATAGTATTAGTAGACTGAACCACATATTCCAATTCCCAGGACGGGAAGTGAGTTATTTCAGTCCCAGTCACAGTTTCCCAAGTCTGAAATTGCCTTACTACACCAGCTACACAAAATACTATGTAAACCACTTAACTTAGATTTTCGTTAATAAATTAATATATCAGTTATATAATTTTTATTAGGTGTAATGAGGAATTTGTTTGTTGTTCAAATTGCCCATAACATTTATACATATATATATATATATACAATTTCAATACTATACAATTGTCTAAGGTTGTGTCATTGTCACTACCTATCTATTAGATTCTGAGCAAAGCGATATTGTAGTGCATTGGCTTAACATTGATGTTCTTTTTGGGTTGAAGTCACCTTTAACGTTTAGGAACAGTAAAAATATACCTGCCATAACTTTGAGGGTCATTTATGGTTGCAAATTTTATCTAGTTGGTACTTTAGGGGTAAAAAGTAAAAACTACTTTTCAAAATAATAGGAAAACAATATACTTATGCACAACCATTTTTTAACAAAATTTTTTTTTTTTTGTTATTCAATAATTTATGACTGTAGAAACTAAACAATATAACCTAATATTTAAATTAGCATTTTCTAAACATGATATAATTTTCAAAATATATCCGGCCTTTTTGTTCTATTTATATATGTTTGAATTATTCTGACTTTTAGTTGTATTTTGATTTATGATAACATTTTTGATTTTAGCCGTTAAGCTTAAAAATTAAATAAAAAGTAAAATCATAGTACCGATTTTTTTTTGTGTGCTTTTGAAATTAATATTTGGAAATCCAAAATCACGCATATTATTTTATATTTAAAAAATCGTTGAATGTTTGATTTTAAAAACCTAAAGCTTTAAAATATAGGAATTCTCATAAACTGTTCTTACTGGAATTGAAACAACTATATTATTTAATAATATTGTTATTTATTTACATCATATATTTCAGCTTAAAGCCTTAAAGGCATACACAACCCCCCAAAAAAAAAAAATTGATGCTTGGTTTTCATACTCAGTAGTATGAAAAAAAATATCATGAAAACAGAATGTGAAAAAAAAAATTATTCACAGAGTTAAGGTGAAAACCAAATATACCTGTGACGTCATTGCGTCGGACGTCTCCGCGCGGCACTGGCAGCCGGTCGCAACAAACCGTATGAAGAATATACGTATAATAATATTCTCGTCGCCTGCCGATCGCTAATCGCCGATTATTTTTTTTTTATTTCCATAAATAGGTCCTTAATTATTTATAAATTATAAATATAACACTATTCCTAAATACTTATAAATGATAACCAAGTCTTACTGTTGATCGAACAATTTTAACCAATTGGCAATTCGTCAGTATTCACTTTTCGCCTAGTCGGTATGTAGTGCACTGAATCCCGGAAAAAAAGTCCGGGGAAAAAAAGTACACGGAAAAAAGTCCGGTTTTCAAAATTAATAATATATATGATTGGTATGATCTAATATAATTTTAAACTATAAAGAATTAAAATTTCACGTCGCTATGCAATCTACAGAAATAGAAGGTATTACTAGTGCGTCGCGTAATATCATTTTTGTTCCATATGTGTACTGCAATAATATAATATACTCAAATACTCAACATTTGAAGAAAATAATGCCGTATTGTAGTGTATTTGGTTGTAGTAACAATAAAGGAACGCATAGATTTCCTAATCGCGATAATTCACCTGTGCGTTTTAATAAATGGACCAATATAAGTTTCGAAAACGATCGATGTAAAGTAATACATTTCCCTTCTTGTTCTCGTATTTTTTCTAAATTTGGTAACTCATTGCAGCATAAACAATCTATGTCACTGAGCATGCCTTTACAGTATCCACAAGAACACCAATTGGAATTATTTAATCTACCTTCATAATTGACAGCCGGATCGTCATCATCTTCTTGTAAGTAACGGTCTATACCTTCAATGTCAGGATAAAAATTGAATGGTATTAAAGACATTATAATTCTGTGTATAAGTAGTGAGATTTATAATGTAAATTTATTAAATTTCACTTGATATTATATACTAAATTAAATAATAGCAAATAAAAATGAAACAAATCATGAATCTGCGACAAAATAATAACAGTCGACATTCGACGATAATACTAATAATTTTTATACGTTTGCCGATGCCGCTTGAAAACGGCCGACGCAATGACGTTTATCATTTATAACTTTATAAGTATTTAGGAATAGTGTTATATTTATAATTTATAAATAATTAAAGGACCTAATTATGGAAATAAAAAAAAAAAAATCGGCGATTAGCGATCGGCAGGGGACGAGAATATACTTAATATACGTATTCTTCATAGGGCTTGTTGCGACCGGCTGCCAGTGCCGCGCGGAGACGTCCGACGCAATGACGTCACAGGTATATTTGGTTTTCACCTTAACTCTGTGAATAATTTTTTTTTCACATTCTGTTTTCATGATATTTTTTTTTATACTACTAAGTATGAAAACTAAGTTTAATTTTTTTTTTTTTTTTTGGGTTGTGTATGCCTTTAATTTAATGATAAATATTTTGAAAATACTTTTATGATGGTTTTGAAAAAATATGTTAAAAATAAAATATTATAAATCTAAATTATTACAAATGTACGATTTTTATAATACATATGATCACTTGTTATCTTCGTTTTTCATGTAGATGGAAAAAAATTCAGGCAAAATAAATTAAAATAGTTTGTGTAACCATTCATATGTAAAAATTTAGATAATGTGTTCAATTGTTTATCAACATAATATTATGTATTATTCTGATAATTTTTATTAGTACTATGGTTTTTGAAAAAATAAAGTACTATAAATAAATTATTAATTTTAGGTTCCACGTATAATGTGGAAAGATCTAAAAAACTGTCAAAGACGATGTTTTAATTATTTGTTTGAAAAATTCAAACAATTTTATTTACCTGCTATTTTTCCGGATTATTCAACAGCTACTAACGTTTACAAACAAACAACAGGTTAGCATAAACCTAATTTTAATTAATTAACTTTAACAAGTAATAGGTTTAAATTAAATATGTTAACATTACTTTTATTTACAGACCTGCCAGATTGTTCTAATCAAAGCAGAAATGATACTAATAGTAGTTGTCGAGTATGTGTTATAAAATGGCTTGCTGGATACACTCAAGATATTAAACAAAAACACTACCCAAATATTCCTTTAATATCAAAATTCATTGGGTATATTAAAAGATTAAAATAAATTATTTGTTGATTGTAATATTAAGACGAGGATGTCTCATCTGTATGGTTGTATCCGCCTTACAATTGTTGAATATAGAAATTTTGCATTCAGAAGTTCCATATTTTTTTGTTATCTTAAATAATAAAATGATTGGCCTAGTTTAAAATATCAAACCTAAATTTTAGAACATTATCAGTATTCTATCGTTGGATTTTTTTAGATATTTTTATTTTTAAACAAATTGTGGGTTTTTTTAAATTTTAATAATTTATATACTCATAATTTGCTTAAAAATTAAAATATCCAAAAAATCCAACTGTAGAATATTGATAATATTTGGCTGCATCCTAATTCAGACTAGGTAGTTTTTATTAATTCTAATATTAAAGCTAATGATATAAAATTGGAAACTCTAATTTGTTATGTTTGTAAGAGGGAGATTACAAATGTTGTCATATTATGTGCGTTGTCTTCTAAATTGTTTCCTAATGATAATTAATTTAATTAGTTAAAAATAAACCAATTTAAAATCTAAATTATCATGAAGAATTCCGAACCCAAATCATGTTTTACCAATTTTCCTGTTAATAATGATAAAGATTTGTTACAGGGACAAAGCTCAATTAGTAGCTTTTGAAATCGTCAGGGATACTTTATACAAATCAAGAGAAAACGTAAATTTAATACATGAAATATTTCGTCAGGCGTTTTTATTGAATTTTAGTTGGGCTATGGCAATAAGGAGAACTATTGCTGTGTACAAAGATTGGATTCAATTAAGTGTATGTATATTTAAGCCAATAGTATGTGTAATTATAGGTATATTAATTAAAACAATTTGGCACAACTAACATATAGGTGTCTCAACAACCTCCTTTCATGTTGGATCCAGAAGGAACAAATGCACAAATGTCTGGTTTAGATGTAAGTTGAATCATTGTTAATTATTTTAATTTAAAAAAATGTGGACACTTCATATATTATATAGTCATATTTTATCTAGCATAATGCAGAAGAAATTCCACCAGTTAAGTATGAACCAAAATATGGTGATATTAGAGCAGGGTTTCAGGTAATTTTTTTTAAACTATTAGGTATAAATAAGTATAATGTTATTACTAAAAAATTAATTTCATCATTTTTATGGTTAAAAATGTTATTCTTAATTAATATTACGTTCCAGAATGTCATTCAATTATTTATGACAAATGCACTACATGTATTTGTGGCCCAAAGTGGTACTGAGTATCCAATGTTGTTGGAAGAACAAGTGGATACCTGCAAACGAGTTTTGAATATTTATAGATATATGGTCATGCATACATATATGTCTTTAAAAACTTGGTAAGACATTTTACTTATTTCTTTTAATTTATAATGTCCTTAGATATTATTATACTATAAAATACATTTTTACTTATAAGTTTGGAGTGTGATTACTTAATGACATAAAAAATGCATTATCTTACTGAATATTATTGTCAACTGAAATTATAAATGTACCCTTTTATTTCATGTAACTTCTGATGAAAACAAAATAAATGTTAATTTAATGCTTGACTTCATCACATTGAATAATCGTTCAACTTTTTACCTTTTTTAACTATACCTCATTAAGAAACAGTTATGTATTACTTTTTTTTTTTTTTGGATTTGAACTACTACATGGAAGCCGCACGTTTATCACATTACTTGGCTTCCATGCAACATCGTTTATTTATAGTACATAGTATGTGGTTCCGGCTCGCATGGGCCGTAGTATGCCTTCTCAGCTAGGCTGGTGTGTATGCACATACTACAAGCTCCCTTATATAATTTACATTAGCGTAGCTACATAGGACGGCCGAGACCTGCGCCGGACTGTCCCTTTACATAATTGTTTGTTGAAATAAAATGTATTATTATTATTATTATTATTATTATTAATGTTTTGTTCGGTGTTTTCTCGGACCGACCAAACCAGCCATCCTAGACTTATCGCCTCCGTATCTTTTCTTGAGCCGGCCTAGGCCCGCCGCTGTCGAGTCTCGTTCTGTGAATCATTCGTCCGCAGCGTCTGCCGCCTGACGAGTCCTTTCTTCGACTTCCTTAAGATTCAGAATCTCTTCTACCAGTTTGTAGAAGAGTCTAAACGTCCCTTCTGCCTCGTTGAGGACTGTAGCCTTCTCTGTCTGGGAGGTCCTCGAAGAGGGGGCCGCACAGGATGCTCTCACCTTTCAGTGGCCTCAGGAGGGCGGCCCAGGCGAGCGCGTAGCTCGTCTCGTAGGCCGTCCCAGTTCGGGCAGTGGAAGATGGTATGTTCCGCTGTGTCTGAGCCGCACTGGCAGTGCATGTAGCGAGGGTTGGGGGCCCTGCCCGTGCGGCGCAGATACCACTGAGAGCATCCGTGTCCTGTTAGCGCCTGCGTCATGTGGTATGACCAAGGGATCTCAGGGGTCGTCCTATTCTCCCATCTTCAGTTGTTCGGAATGAGACATGACGCCTTGGTGGTTTCTGTCCATTTCTTATGCCATTCGGCGATGGTGACCATCCTCTCCACTTTCTTGATCTTGCATCTCGAAAGTGGAGGGTCGCCCGATGCAGGATCTTCAGATTGCCTGGCTTTTATCCTAGTCCTTTCCTCCGCTATTAGCTCAACTGGTGGCATGTTGGCTAGCATAAATACAGCCACGTCTGAGACCGTCCTATTGGCCCTTATGGCCCCGAGAGTGGCTACTCTCTGTGGCCGGCTTAGTATTCTCCTTGATTTGGCCGTGGCGCTGGCAGCCGTGGACCATATCGGTGCGGCGTATAGTAGGCGGCTCTCAACTACTGACCCCTGGAGTCTCTTTTTCCACTAGCAAATGCTGCTAATGTTTGGCATTAGCCTTGAGAGGGCTAGAACCGACTTTGCTGATCAGCTGGGACTCGGTAGTACTTCCATGCCTAGCAAGTAGTCCTAGGCTACGTTTCACAGGGTCGGCCCAAAGATTGAACCCTGAGAGACGCCACACGTCACTGTTTATGTGATCCTCTGATCTCCGACGAGTAGTGGCCTTTCTGATAGCTATGATCGGATCATGAGAACCAAGTACTCTAGAGTGTCCTTATTCCTGAGGGCTTCATCGATAACCGGCCACTGAAGGGAGTTGAAGGCGTTCTTCACGTCCAGTGTTACCAAAACGCTGAGCTCCTTCTGTCTCCAGGTGCTGGAGGCCGCCCGAGTATCGAGCTCCGTTGATATGCCCTTTCGGAAGCCAGACTAATTTGAAGCCCACCTTGACCGACGGAAGTCCAGGTGTGTGTCAAGCCTCTGAAGAAGAATCCTCTCTAGCAGCTTGGCCGGAGTGTCTTAAGAGGCAGAGATTTTGCGGAAGGTAGAAAGAGCTTTGACCGGTTTGCCAGGACCTTTGTGCAGTAGGACCGGCTTGGTCTTTTTCCAGGTGGAGGGAAAAGTGAGCGCCTTGAGACAATCATTGTAGATTATCAGAGTGGTTCCGGGACCGTCGACGATGATCCTCTTCAATATTTCGTTGGGTATGCCTGACGGGCCCCCCCGCCTTACCGGCAGACATTTTCTTAGTGGCCTTAGTCAGCTCATCTATGGTGAACTCGGGGATGACCTTGTTGTATATCAGCTCATCAGCATCGGGATCGAAGTTGTCAAAGATGTTCCCAACCGCTGGCTCTGGCATGAGGTCAGTGACTGTTGCGGCGGAAAAGTGATGTTCTGCGATCGCCTGTTCACGCCCTTTAGAAGTGAATCTAGAGGAGCCGGTGCCGAACTTTTTCATGACTAGCTTGTAGGGCTGACCCCAGGGATTAATGTCAACTTGTGCGCTAAGGTCCATCCACCCTTGTTCCTTGGATTTTTGGATCTCTCTCCTAGATCTCTCCTTGCTGCTGCGAAGTTGGCCTTCTGGTACTTGACTTCTGAGATGAGACTGGTAAGTCCTGCGTAGGGAGAGGGCCGTTGATCTGAGGCCCGCTATGTGATCAGTCCACCAGTACATTGGCTTTCTCCCCCCCAGGAGGTGGTGTCCTCAGGGCATTGAAGCTTCGCAGGCTTCAAAGATGTAGCTTCGAGTGACTCGGCTGCTCTGACCGCAGCATTTCCACCCTCGCCATGGGCCTTGAGGTGACGTATTGGTGGAAATCTTCGTGATCGAGCTTCTTGAGGGCCCATCCAGGGGTTATATAATACTTGTATTCTACTTTAATACTAGAATCTGGATATTTTCAGAGTAGATCATGCCCCTTGATTATATACTATTTCATCTATTTTAGATACTGAGAGGAACGATGAATGATTTTACAGTGATGTGTGTGTGTGTGTGTGTGTGTGTTTTGTGTATGTTGTTACCTTTTGGCATCGTAAAAATGCTTAGATTTCTGGTAGAAAAATGAATCTAGTTGGTACTTTGGGGGTCAAAAGTAAAAAATTTCAATTAGTTTTCAAAAACGTCATAAAAAACAAACCAAAACTAAAGAAAAACTGAGATAATTATGCAGAACCAGTTTTTTAAAAATTTGATTTTGTTTTTTATTCCAACTCTAAAAAATAATAAATAACTAAAACTCGAAAAATTGATATTTGCTTGTTGTGTGGTAAGGGTGGGAACTGGGAAGTGAGCTATTTCGCCCAACACTGAAATTTCTTTCCCGTACGAGCCACACATACTATTTTCTGTCTCGCCATTGCGTTCATCGATCAGTGTCTGGTTGTGCAGAGGATACGCCTCACACTTTTGGGTGTTTCCAGTTTATTTCCCGGCACTTTTTGAATTTCCATTTTACCGCCTGGAACTTTTTGGGATTTCCATTTTACTGCCTGCACTATGAGGATTCCCACTTTACCGCCCTCTGGATGAAAATAGGTCGCCTTCCAACTAAAAACTAAACTAAACTTTCTGTGCAGGCTTGACAAAAACTTGAAAATATAATACAACGCACAATTTTTTTTTATAAGTAATTAACGTTCAAATTTTGATAGAATTTATCAAAATTTCGAAAATATTCAAGTTTTTTGTAGGTAGTTACATAATTCAAAAATCTTCATTTTTTAGTGTTAGAGATTGAAAATTTAAAACAAAGATTCTCATAAATAGTTCATACTATAACCAACAAATCTAAATAATATATAAACAGTTATTTTTACAGACATTTTAAGTTCAAATTTTTACAAAATTAGAAAATGATATTTTGAAATGTAATTTTTTTGGCGAAAATGAATTTTAGTGTCTAATAGATACTATTATAGTAATAGTAAAATAAATCACTTTAATCAAAATAATATCATAAATTATTCTTAGTAATCTTATAGGTTAACAGACTGTCTTTGCTCAGAACGATTTTACGTATATATAATGATTTTATATCATTGAATTCAAATTTAACACCGTTACAGTGACCCACTTTTAGTTGTAACCTACTATACAGCAGAGCAACACCCACTTACCGACTTTTGTTGTGATTACTTAGTCATCATGTCAACTTGAAAGTAAATTCTCTTAATATAAGCTAGAAATATATAAATTAGTATATACAAAATTGTCAAAGATCTATATCTTATAGCAGGGATGGGAAACTGGTGGCCTGCATCCAATATCATCAAACTTGCAACAAATCATATAGTGAACTGACTATATTTGTAATGGAAAATACAACCACGGTAACCTTTGTCGGGTTTTTAGATTTTATAATTCCATTGTCGACGAAATTATTAAACAACAAATTATAGTAGGATTTGTTTTTATGTTTTAAAATGTTGTAGTATCAGTAAATACCTGAAAAATGACAAATGTTATATTAAACATTTTTACTTTGAATAATCAATAAACATTATTATTTGTTGTGTATACAGGGAGCAATTACTAAATGTTCTGTTAAGAATTACTACACTTGTTTTAAATAAAAAACCACCGAGGCGAAAAGAAGACACTTTATCTGGAAAATTAGCTCCAGCAATATTTCAGGTAAAAATAATGGCACATTTAGAAAATGTTGTACTCGCATCTGTTGTACTTGGCATCTATTTAACACACGTGTAAAATATCAAATCTATGTGTAATATTCTTATTATAGTTTATTTATAGCTAATATTAAAGCAAATTTATCTATGATTGAATTTGTAGTGTATATTGTTTATATATGATAAGCTGTGCTTGTGCAGGGTTTTTTTTATATTTTTATTTTAAAATGAGATATAAATTTGAATTACTTAATTATTTAAGTATTTATAACTTATTACTTTTATAGTTTATATTTTTCTCTTCAAGTTCAATTATAGGTAAATTTAGTCTAATATTAACTATTAATAAATTTTGGTACAAATATGATACTTGAATTTGATAGTAAAAATCCTATACGCGTGTGTGAAAGAGACAACACATGTGGGAATAATGACCTTTTACGTTATCTATGGTATAATAATAGTTAAAAGCTAACAATTAAATTTAATCAAGTTGTATTTTTTTACGGTAAATTTGTTTATAATGTATAGGTACATAATGCTTTTCTTATATTTAAATATTTATAAATGCTAGAAAAGGCAAGTTGCTATCAATTTTTGATCATCTTGAATTAAAAATTTCTTTAGGCATAAAAATAAAGTATTTTGGTAGTCATCCCTGCTGGAATTTCAAACAAGCAACATTTTCAGGTATTTTCATTTAAGATGTTATTGTCGAATAAATGTTACCAGCATGAAACTATTTGTTTGGTATAAATTAAGAAATAAATTCATTATTAATAATTAATTGATTTATTTTAGTAAAGTAACTTTACTATAGGTATTATTTACTTTTTACAGTTATTATGTTTTATGATTACCACAAAATCCTGTTCATAATAATAATAATATCATATAACCCATTAGTAAATTAATTGATCTGACTAACTCAATTGGTTTTAATTTTTATGGAAAACCATTTGTCTAACAAATTTGCCTGTAAATGTAGCATGACATTCAATATTTATATAAATATATGGTTTTTACGTACACAAACATTACTGCAATATGAATTTAATGATATGATACTGGTATAAAAAAAATTGGCAATTTTAAACGAGCATGCTCTTGGCCACATTAATGTGTATAACTTTGTTTTAGCTATGAGTGAATGCTTTTAAATGTATATGACATACATGTGTGCAGTGTTATAGCCAAAGTGGTGGACAGGTATCAACTAACCACCACGGGAGTACATTTATCGGGTTAAGCTTTTTATAATAATTTTAAAAATGTTTAGTCTATTAATTTACCTTTACTGTGTACAGTATACATCATAATTTACTATGGTTCATGTTACATTATTTAAACTCAGAACTCTCATTAAACTATTTATATACTTTGGGATGAATTAATAATTTTTTTTTTTTAAAGTTAATTTGCAAGTGTAAATTTATTTTACAAGCAAGGTTATCTAGAAATCTTAGAAATTTTATATCTTGTTAAATGTTACACATCTGCATGCATGTATGATATGGGGAACAATTTCAGACCTGAGCATGCTTGTGCCAAGTGTTAAGGAATTATAAAATTAATCACTTAATGTTTTTATTTAATATAGACTTTGATTGTAACTTGGATAAAAGCTAATTTAAATGTACCTATTTCTGAGAAATTATGGGATCAGTTTCTAACAGTACTTTGTTCACTCACTCAATGGGAAGAACTCATAAGGGAATGGTCGGTAAGTATTTTTATTTAATTGTATTTTATTTGTACTATTATTTGTATTATTATTATTTTGAAAATATATTTATCTTAATATTCATAGTGTGTTGTTCGTTAGTGATATTTATTGCTTAACAAAAATAATATTTCTATCACTTTTATTTTATACAAACTACTTTATTTTTTAATTGAAAGTTAAAATAATTTAGAGCAGAGATTTTATCTTATATTAAAACAAAATTTAGATATATCTGAATGTCTGAGCAGAGATGACCATAATTTGTCAGCATGGGCGTACTTACAGGGGGGGGGGGGGTACTGGAGAATGGTGTAAATACCTTAATGCTAATCTACATATTTTTGAAATTTCGTTATATAATGTAAATAATTATAAATATAATGGTAAACTTTCAAATCCCTATCAATAATAATTTTAAATTACAACAAAATAACTAAAATTTAGGATGTATAAATTAAAAATTGTAGACGTTTTTTATAAGTACAAATGATTTGCTATTTTTTGTAATTTTGACAAATGTTAATGAAATTTGAACATAAAACGATTTAAAAATGTGTTAAATATGCTATTTTTAATTCGCTTCAAATGCTACTTTGAACATTCTTATATTAAATTTTCAAACTTTTTGACAAGGCATTAATCATTTATCAACATTTAAAAAAAAAATAAACTTACAAATTATAATAGAAAATAGATAAGATAAGATGTCTTTTTATTTTTTAATTATAAAATTGATTTTGTTAAAAATTAGTGTTGCACAATTAATGTCCCTGTTTATTTCATACTTATATTTTATTTTCCTTAATTATTAAATTAAGTAGATACCTTCGTAAAAGTACCTTCTTCAAAGTTCCTACTAAACTTAATTTGCTTCTATAACCTCGAAGATCAAGTTGTTTTTTCAAAATTCTTTCACCAATATAATAAAGTATCTTAAAACATAAAATTAAAAAAAATAAAAGACCCCTAATGTAAAACCAATACATTCATAGCTATAATTCACACTCCGTTCAAAATCTTAAATCATAATGTATTGTAATTTTGAAATTAATGTATTCTTTTATAAAGTATACATTTTGTTTTGAGTAATTATTATTTAAATTGTAATAATATATTGTTCACAGTATATTATTTCACCTTAGTATTAAATTCCATTCTTTTAACTTTAAAGTATAAAAATGTCTAAATCATTTAGTTTTAAAATATATCTTCATTAGAATGTCTACGCAGATAAATATATGAACTTCATTTGTTTGCAATTAAGTTCAAACTATAACTAATAATTTAGTTTAAACCATTTTATAGTTTATCATACCGTGTTTAATGCATCACAAAAAAATTATTATTTATAATTACATAATTGCTTAATAGATCATAATTACTTATCATAATTTTAAATATTCTCCTTTGTCTGATCATTTAAACCTCAATTAAACAAATTAAATTAGATAAACGTTTATTAATATTGATTTATCATATTATGATTATGATTTTTTTCAAAACATATTATTTCTTAAAATTGATCTTTATAAAAAATTAATTGTGCCTATATCCAGAATTTTATCAGATTACCTATAAACTTTTCTTTATTTTATGTGATTTGTAAAAATTATAAAAATTATAATAATAATAAAATTACATAGGTGGTGGGTTAATCTAAATGATCAAACACATACTAAAATAATTTAAAAAATATTTTTATGCATGTACAGAAATAAATAATAATAATATATATCTTATGGGTGTATTCATTAAAGTTAATTTAACAAAATTACTATTTATTAAGTGATAACATAATCATAAATTACATTATAATAATTTGAATAATATGTTTAAAGTATATTTATTATTTCTTTATGGTTTTTTTTATCAAATAAATACCTAGAACAAAATTAATTTGATAGATGTTTTTAAATTCCTAATTATTTTTTCCCTTTAGAAAACATTAGAAACTCTAACAAGAGTATTAGCCCGGCATGTCTATGGTCTGGACTTAGCTGATTTGCCATTAGATCGTATTTCGGATAAAAAATCAAGAAGAAAACGTGGAAGTACTACACTAAACTCTGCTTATAATATGTGTAATTTGTCACACACACGAGCAAATCAACAACGAGGTTCAGTGACAGGTAATTCATTTATCATATTTTTTTTTTTGTACCTTTTGGGGTACATACTAAAAGGTAAAACTTAGAGTGTAAATATTGATGTATAATGTATATACTTAGAATAATCTTAATGACATATTTTGTCTGTTTGAAATTTAGGCTTAAATAATTTAATGTCAACTGAGAACATATTATCATTAAGTATAACTTTTTAACAGTTCATAAAATATCTCCCCTGATTTTATATTTCACAGATAAATAGATGTAGTGTGATTAATTTCTGCGGGAATAGAGGTTATAATGGCTAAATAATATTTTGAATAATATAAGACATCATATGTTCTAAAAATGTATCTCAAAAATTATTCGGGATTTATTTTTGGTTTGTGATTCATACAAATTCTATGAAGTGCAGGGAGTAGATTTGAATATTTAACATGAATAAATAGTATACCAATTTAAATTTGATCTAAACATTTTTTAGATATGTAAATTATAAAAACAACTTATTTAGAAACATTCTTTAACCAGTTTTACCTTTATGGTAAGTGGTAACTATATAAATTTACAATAGAAAACTAAAACACTTGTTTAAAAATAGTTAAATTACATTATGTGTTAATATTTTTTAATATTTTACTTAAACTTCAGTACTTAAATTACGTATACCTAATACCTAAATAAAAACAAAATAAAATAAAAATACTAAAAATCCAGTTACTAAAAAATGAGGTTGTCAATCAACACAATAATTTTCAAAGGAAACATTTAATATGAATATATTTTATAATACCTAATAAAATAATTTTGGGAGACGGAGTGGCCGAGCGGACTAAGGTTCAAAACCTCGGTTCACGGGCGGCATTTTTCTTCGGGGAAGTCACGGTGTCCGGAGAGAAGTGCCGCCATCCCCCACCTGAGCATGGCAGATACTCACGAATGCCCACTTAAAAATCTGCCCAAACTACACACACGTGTTTACACTTACAGTTCCCTCCCCCACAATTTAAAAACCACCCAATGGCTTAAGTTAACGGGTTAGTCAACAAATAAAAATTAAAAAAATAATTTTATTTATGAAATTATTTAATGCATATTAACTTAATAATTTTAATTTATAGTTATAAAATATATTAATTGTATAATATTTGCATTTTTGATAAAAAAAAGATAAATAATAGAAAACCGTTTCAGTTTTCATACTTACGGGCATAGAAAATGGTACCATAACTCTCCCTCCTTCTATGGATAAGTATATCATCTATTTCTTGTACAATTTTGAGTACTCATTCTTTAATTGAAACTTAAAATTAAAAATAACCTAAACCATTCCTTCCATATTTGTATACAAAAGCAAAGTAATAGGTATTTAATTTTTAACAAAAATAAAAATGGAAAATGTTTTGTTTTCTTCTGTTTACTTATGTAGTTATGTGTTTGTTTAGTTGTATTGGATTATTATCAACTTGGTTTTTTTTTACCTAGATAATCAATCAGATAATACAATCAAAAAACGAAAATTTATAAAACGGTCAAATAGTGATTCAGACATAACATACAGCTATTTATTTCAAAAATATAGTGAAACTGATACGGTCTTCAATATTACAGGTATATTATTAAAAATCAAGACATTGATACTTATTTTATATGCCTTTTTCTCTGTATAGAAACACCAACAACAGATGACCTTAAGTATAGCTGGAAGGATGAAAAATCATCAAAGTGTTTGTTTAATATACGAAAATGTCATTCTTTAGAAAATTTAACACAATTATTAAGTAAGTACTTACTTATTGTGAACAACTGTTAACTGAACAACTACAAAAATTGTACTACCAATTTAAATATTTTAACAATGCAATGATGTATTTTTAGTGTTACGAATGCGAGACACACATTCAAGGTCCCCCTCTCCAGTACCTTCAACTGGTATGGAAAGCAGCTTATTTAAAGAAGCACACATGCAAATAGAAATTATGTCTTCTCAACATCCTTCATCAGGTATAGTTATATAGCTTAGGATTTCAGGATAATCTAATGAAGGTGAAACATTGTATTGAGATATTACTTACGTATTATAGAAAAAGTAACCAATAAAAAGTCAGTTATGTCTGGTGGTGATGTAAGGGGATGGACACCCGATGTTGCTGCAATACTATGGCGTCGAATGCTCAGTGCTCTTGGAGATGTAAATACTTTAGAAAATCCATTACTTCACGAACAAGTATTTCAATACTTACTGGACCTCAGCACAACTATGACCAAAGTAAATCAATAGAAGTTATGTCATTCATTTTTTAAATGAAAATTGTTTACAAACAAAAATATTATTTTTATAGATATATCAAAATCAAGGTATGGTAGAAGAAGAGACATTTGTATCTCTTGAACTAGTACCACCAATTTCTGTGATTTCACCTTGGTGTTTTCAGGCAAGTTTAAAGTGTTACAAAATTGCATTTTTACTAAAAAAATATTTGTTTATTATTAAAATGAAAAAATTATCATGATTTTGTCAATATTGCTTTTAGGCCCTGAATTTACCAAAAGCTTACAGAAATGGTAAACTTCATGCATATAAATTATTGTGTCAGATGACTTTGAATAATAGAGATATGCCTCAGGGACCAAAATATGTCACACAATTTTTTAAAGTTCTACATTATGGTTTAACTTCTAGTGATCAAGTAATTATAATTACACATTTATAAATATTATAATACTATGTTTCAAACCAAGTAAATTAATATACATTTTATTTTATTTTACAGGAAGTCGTCAATACTATATTAAAAAATACTGGTTCTGAATTTTTTTCTCACCAACTTCCTGGTTTCACATTACTTACATTAGATTTTGTACATGCATGCAATGAAGTTCTTAGTGGAACAAACGTTGTCTTGGTAATAAGTAATAACATTAATTTGTTATGCTAATATATTATATTATGTGTGTGTGTATGTGTGTCATTTTTAATTAGGTTAAAATACAATTTATATTTATTTTGGACTATTTGTTAATTATTATTTAAGTGTCTTGTAATTGTTCATTGTTTTGCAGGCTCCACGTGCTGAAGCCGTATCTATATTAGGCTCTCTGTTAAGTTTTCCTTCAAACCTTACCAAAGTACCTTATCTTAAACCAGATTGTCATCAATTTGTTATAACATATTGTCCCGATATAAAAGTTAGTTTAAATAATACTTTGAATCATGTTGAATATAAATTATGTTATTATGTTATTTTGTAGGACACAGTTATAACAATTATGTTGAAAGTAGCGAAAAGAGAACCATCAGGACTAGCAAGATGTATTTCTTTGTCGAATTTAGGTATTTTTTTATGCCAAGAATTGAGTAACGCTAGTAAACATCCCTGTATTAAAGAAGCAATCATCACATTATTACATGCCTTACAAGTAAATGTTAACAAATGTTATATTATACTTTAATTGGGTTTGATCATTATAAAAATGTTTACTTTCAGTTTAAGAATGAGAAAATTTCCCAAGTAGCTTGTGATAATGTTCTACTACTCTGTGACTATATACCAAACTTGTTGAAACATTATCCTGACATTCCATCAAAAGTCCTCGAGGTAATTTATGATTGTCTATAGTATACATTTATTTTATATTTACTACATCTCAATGTATTAGATTAATAACAAGACATTTTTATATAATGGTTTCAATTTGAAGATTTTTAATTACTATTACATAATTTAGGTGTTATCTGCAACACTGGCAAGTATGTTACCAATTGGTGACAGAAATAAACGTTTATTAACATCTCTAGTATTTTGTTTGGCGGAATGGACAATGTGTATGCCTGTACCACTTTTGTTAGAGCTACGGTCTAAGCAGAGCTTATCAATGACTGTATTCATGGTATGGAGTATATACATTTTTGTAATTTATTATTTTTAGTGATTATTACCTTATAACCGGTGTTGAGTAAATTACTTTTGAAAAGTAATGAGATAACGTTACTTGTTATATTAAATATGTTTATTTAAATTACATTTGCTTTTCCAAACATTATTTTTATCACGTTACTTTTTCATACTAAAAGTAGGTCATTAAAAATAAATTTACTTTTTTAAAAATTAATTATAAAATCAGTCCATAACGATTAATAAGTACAATGTATACAGAAATATGTATACTATTAATTATTTTGTAAATTATATAGTAGTATAAGTATAACATTGATGATCTAGTACATTTTTAATAACTTAATATTATATACATGAACAAAATTTATGAGTATTAATTCCTGGGATCTTTATTATCTAAAACTTTTGGAATTGTAAATAAATTTTATTGATTTTTAAATGTGTTTTTTGAATATCCTAGCCCCTAGTTTTTGTCATACACTACATTCAAAACTTATTTTAATAACGTGGAAAATAACATGTTACTCCATAGATATCACTTTGAAAAAGTAATTTTGTTACAATTGTGTTAATTTAAATAAAATATAATGAAATTGCTACAGCTTTATTTCAATAGTAATTTGTAATTTGTGTTACGTTACTACCCAACACTGCTTATAACTATATTATTAACCTTAAAGGATTAAAGAAAACAAACAGATTAATGCATGACAATGAATATGTGTTGAATATTTCATTAAAACTATATTGTTTCTTTAGGTTATTGATGCTTTGAGCAGAACATGTAATGATAAAACAATTGAACGTTTAAAAAAAGCAACAGAAGTAAATTTAGAATATTCAAATGAATTCACATTTGATATAACACTAGACAATTTAAAGTCTAGTGAGTCAAAAAACAATAATAAATTTGGTGATCATATTATGACACCTACACATTTAAATAGTACCCGACACTCGCTTCAAATTGCTACTAGAATGGTTTGTATTTAAATAATTGATTGAAAAAATATAACTTTTGTAACATCAGATATTTTTTAATACCATTTGACAGATAATTAACCATTTGTTAAATCATTTGGGTCAATTTCCAATGCTAATTGGGCCTGCAAGGTTATGTTCCATGGTATCAGAACACGATGACACTTTAAACTCTATTTCTGATCAATTAACGATTGACATATTTACTGTCCCCAGCATACAGGTGCTTTTTTACTTATAAATGTTTAGATAGACCATTATATTATAAATATTATAAACTTGAAATATTATTTATCTTATTTATTTTCCAGTTATTTATGTCTGTTACCAACATGTTGGTCATGTCTATAATTGAACTACCCGCATTGGAAGTACCAGGCGGAGGAATCACAGCTGGTCTGAGAACTGGTTTAAATCAAGTGCGAGTTCTACAACGAGATTTAGTTGGAAAATCATGCTGGGATATTTCACCACTGTATTGTACTCCTAACTGTGAACATGAAAATGGTATACCTAGGATTTTATTTAGGTGAACCGAATTAAAATGTTCTATTTATATCTAATATTTGTTTTAGATGATAATTTGTTTGTAACCAGCCCTATCCAAAAAAATAATGAAGCTGAAGAATCGATTGTAGTAACATATAGTACAAACTGTCAAATTCAACATACCATACGTCACCGAGCTCCCGATGTTTTGCCAACTTTAGACAATTCTGCAGACGATCTTGATAATTTAGACGACGTATGTTTGATGCTCCGGAGTATTTTTTGTTGATTACAAAATGTTCAATTAATCTCATCTTCATGATTACAGTTACTCCAGTACATTGGTTATACGAGTTCTGAATGCTTAGAAGACATGGAAATTTTGCTAAACAACCCTGCAGTCAAGTCTCCAATGACTTCACAATTAGAACAAGATATCATGAGTACAATTTTAGGACAACAGTTCATGGACAACAGTTACACAGAAAAATTGAATGCTGTACATTATAATCAGTAAGTTGAATATCTATATGTTCACAAAACGTTAATTTTTAATATTGTCTACATTTTTACAAAAGTATGGAGAAACGACCTCAATGTAGTGTACATAAGTCTCCGTTTCAAAATGGCCGTGCTCTGTTTTCGGAATTAGGTTTTACCAGCTGGGACCAACGGCGACAAATTTACCAGCTTGAACGCAACGAAAAGGTCCTGAGAGAACTTCGCGTCCTTGACGCTCAGGTATAACTTTATGCTCAGTACAGTTAACATAATGTATTATATAATATGCACATTGTTTTAAATAACATGAAATAACCTGTTACATAATGTGTGGTTTAGTGTTGTAGAGACACTCATAAGATCGCAATCATTTACGTGGCCGAAGGCCAAGAAGATAAGGTATCAATCATATCAAACACTGGTGGTAGTCAGGCGTATGAAGATTTCATTTCAGCACTAGCTTGGGAGGTATAATATTGGTGTCTTGTAAACCCGTTCTAGAGTTAAATTGTTTGTTCCCTCATGCAATAGGTGGAACTGGAAACTCACAATGGTTTTATGGGCGGACTGCAACGAAACAAAAATGCCGGTACGACAACCCCGTATTATTCAACGTCGTTTATCGAAGTCGTATTTCACGTGGCCACTAGAATGCCGACTACAACTACCCAAGAAGCATACATACAAAAAGTGCGTCCATTGTCATCATATTGATTTCACTCCTTTCGAATGTCCAACATCTTAATCTTCACATAAATTATTTTATGAATTATAGGCCAGACACTTGGGAAATGATGAAGTGCACATTGTATGGTCAGAACATTCCAAAGATTACAGACGTGGAATTATCCCAACAGAGTTCTGTGACGTTTTAATTATAATATACCCTCTACCAAACAATTTGTTCAGGATTCAAGTCTCTAGAAAACCAGAAGTGAGTAAAATAATATACATATAAATATATAATACATAATATATTATTGTTGTAATAAATATCCAAAATCTGTTAAAACTAAAATATACTATAGTAAAAACTAGGGTATTATGGTCGGAGAGTGACCAGTTAAATATAAGATATCCTAGGAGAGTTGTTGGACTTTATAGATATAATTACCATACCAAAGAACTAGTAGAAGGATCTTAAGTATATTTATATAACCAGGACTGAATTTCAGTAATCATTGGGTTCAATTCCATAGTAAATACTTATAAATAATATAAATTACGTTAGACAATAGTAGGTGGCTGTATCGTAGTCATGCAGAGTTCAGTAATATATTAATATAATAGGTGTGAATGTATTTAAGGTGTACAGTGATCTGGTGTTCTTACATGGTATGTATTGACAATAAGTCTTACAGTTATTTGTGATAGTATATTATTATATCAGATAGCTGTTAGTCGTATGTATCTGTACTGTAGAGTCAATATAATAATAAATCTTATACATAGGTGTCATGTAACATAATTGTTACACTAGTTATATCTAACGTGTTCATTATCAGTAGATAGTATTTTTAACAGTTATGCACTTAGTTTTGTCTTTGATCTCAGTTCAGAAAATACTAATTTTATTTTCATTTTCAATAATATTAATTATTATTGATTATTAGTAATTTGAAAAGAACCTACAACTAATAACTTTAATGTTTTGCTATAAATATTTATTTAACTAAAATATATTCCAGAATAATAATTAATTTCGTAAAAAGAATATTGAAAGATATAGGTACATTAAAACTAGAAGCTAATAATAATGTCAATTATAAAACTGTTTACCATGATGTGTGTAAAAATGTACTTAGTTTAATAACCAATGGAGCATTAGTCAAAAATAGGTGTACCTACATAGTACATAGCCAATTTACGGTCACCTTTTGGTGTAAATAAACTAGTGTCTATACTCTGTTCAAAATAAGATCGTGACCCGGCGTCGACCAGTTTTCGTTGGGCGGCGGTCAGACATATGGCCAGATGCCGTTCCCACTACAGCGACGCATCGGACGCAGCCACTGAACAAAGCCACGCCCATGCGCACAACTCGGCCGCCGGGTCACGATCTTATTTTGAACAGAGTATAGTAAATTTTAGCTCTAGGTATTTACTAAAAAAATAAATTATATACTGTTTACCCACATGACCACAACGCATGAGACATTTGCTTAGAATGAATAGAAAATAAATTCAATATGACCACGATAAAATTGACAATGCGGCGTTTGCTGTTAATGTTTTTATTGTTTACCTACTATTTATTATATTTTTTAATCTATAATAATTAATATTTTGACTAGGTACCATATTTCGGGCCACTTTACAACGAGGTCATTGTTCAAAAATCAATATTAGCTAATGTTGTGCGTTGTACGGCAATAAATGCATCGTGTGCCAAACGTAGCATGATACCTTTTTACCAACAATAGTACGTTGACCATTTCTTAACCTATTTAAACGATATATATAGAATATATATAACGATATAATATTGTGATTGTCTAAACCGTCAGTGAAATTCAAAATAAATACATTTTACAGCTACGAAGAGAGATGGCGGTCGTTAGACATGATCATGAAGAATTACAAACACTCCAGCACCTTTGAAGAGTTTATATCGAACGTATACTCGCCTGTCCAAACCACATCGCCATTCCAACAACAGCCTTACCTTAGGAGCAATTCAGGTACATGTATATTTAAAAAAGCGCTATCAATAAAATAATGATAACAAGTTTACATTTTTTGGTGTATTTTGAACAAAAATTCATCTTTTAATATGTTAGAAAAATACAAGTCCGACGATTACGTATTGTCCGGTTCGTCTTCGTCCAATTTGGCCGCGGCACTCATAGACTCATCTCACCAGAATAGGAACTCTAAAGGTAACTCTTATGCGGTGGCCAGCAACGCAGAGTTTGATTTTAGTATTGATTTACAACTGACTTCCACATAGACACAGCATAATAATATTATGCTGTAGTGTGCTAACTCCCCGATGATCACGATATATAATATACTTGGTGATTATTTTATAAATCTATTATAACCATTATAACTATTAACATTTTTGAAAATATATTTTTTACATCGTTTTAGTCATTATATAATACTATAACAAAGTATTTTTCTATACATTTCAATATATACAAATATAATTCTAACGATGTTTAAACGTTATCTAAGTCTTGCGTTTATTATTACACAGAATTCAAATGTTATCTAAGTTTATCGTTTTTCGTTATTTTAAACAGTGTTAATACCTATTAAATTTAAAAATAATAACTAATACTGGTAGGTAATGTCCCGGTTACGGAATATAATATTATCAATTCTTAGATTCTTAGATTGCTTGCACGAAGTAAATGTTTCTACGAAACCAATAGACCTTTTAAATAAATAAATTTTAAAATATTTCGTTTTGTGTTATTTTTTGTTCAATGATGTTCTATAAATTATGTTTTGCGTTATTTTCCATTAAAGATATTCTATAAATTATGTTTTGTGGTATTTAACTATTTTTTATTATCGCTTTCCGTTAAAATAACATTTACAAATTTCAATCGTTTTTTGTCAAATATAACGTTATTATAACGTATGCAAGCCCTGTTAAAAAGTAAAAAATATAATATTTTTTTTATGTGTAATAACGACTTAAAATTATGTGTAAAAAATATTTTTTAAAACGTTAATAGTTTTTGAAATAATGAGTATCCTTTGATAACCTTACTTAATCACCATGTAAAAATGTATCATGTATCTACAGTCGACAGAGACAATGTGTTATAATAATACATAATACAATTGTATCTAACAATATATGTGTATAGGGTTGTCAATAGATTGGTCTAAGAAGAACGGGTCTGATGTAGATGTGTTAATATCAGCTGGGATATCGCCTAGGCCCCACAAGAAATTAACTTCACATCAGAATCTCATGCGATAGCGTTATTGAAATTAATGGTACAAACATTTTTTAGTTTACCGTGTGCGTTGTACATGTCCAATTTAATAGCATGCACTTATAACGGTCTACCGTCACCTGTATTTTAGTTTCGTTTCGTTTTGTTCCGTCATAGATTTGATTAACAATGTCTACTATTGGTACTATATTGTCTACTATTGGTATTTGATATTCCACTATAGTATAAATGTAATATTTGATATTTTGATATATTCCGCTGTCATATTGCCAATATATTAGCTATATTCGATTGACACACTTCAGCAGTTTAGCACGTAGCAACAATATATTATTAAGTACCTATATTTTATTTTATTCGGAAGTAATCTTTATTATTTTTAGTATTTATTAATTTAATTGAACATTAATAGGTATTTTACTATGTACCTACTGTGACTATTGATTATTGAAAAACTATGATTGTACATTCTGTGAGTATTAGTATAATCATATAATGAGTTGTACGAATAGTTTTAAAAATCCTAATACCTTTCTTCTGAATTTCTTCTACATAGTTAGATGCTATAATGCTAAATACTAAAAAAAAAAATCAGAGGACCTGAAAATTAAGCATATTTGTGCCACTGTTATGGAATGACTGCATAAATGTAATTCAATTTAAAAATGAATGTGGAATCCTAAAAGTTTCGTAAACAATCATTATTCATTATTAGTATTTACCTATATTATTAGATGTATTTTATTCTGCTTTCATAAAAGCTTTTAAAAGTAAATATATTAAAAACTATTAGAGTTTTTGCCTTTTGCGGTATCTATAGTTGTAGTCGATATCTTTAGATATTATTTACATGCTTAAATATGCCAGTGTGTGTCTTTGTGCATGTGCAAATACAAAAAATAAACGTCTGCTTCAAAAAACATGTTGTATTTGTAGTTTAGTAACCTAACTTAAGTATAAAATGTGAATGTTAAATTCTGAAATTTATTAACATTGCATACACGTAGTTAAATTTAAAAACGAAAACTAAAAAAGCGGGTAAGTGGAAGTCTCTTTGATCTACAGTAGGTTACAAGTAGGTGACTGTTAAATTTGAATTTGATGATATAATATCATTGTATACAAAAAACTATTCTGAGCGGAAATGGTTTGTTAGCCAAGGATATTTTATATAATATTTAAGTATATTGTTATTATTAATACTGTAGCCGGTTAAGTTGAATTATTATTATTCGTTTATTATCATATTTGTATATACCAATATACTTTAGAAGTTTCAAGTACTTACGAATAATATTATTAAAATATTACACAAAACTAAAAACGTTCTTCTTCGTTTAAATATCTAATTTCGTCTAAATTTGAACATTAAATAACTATAAAAAAAATTGGGCCTATGTATTTTTAATATTTTTTAACAGCTATTGTAACATAATATATCAGGAGCATTGAATTCAAGTTTCACGGTTTATATGATCCAACAAATAACATTTTATTGACTTTTATAAGAAAAAAAAATTGAAAATGTCTGTAAACAGCTCAAAACAAGTCAAATTGATAATATAAATATTCAGTGAGAATTTCATCTATCTACGGTTGTTTTTTTTAAATTTACACCAAAAACCAAAAATGATTTTGCGTAAGAATTCATGTTTTCCCTTCATTTTTTTTCCGGCGCTTCAAAACTACTGGGAATTTTAAATGTTGACCTCCAAATGCACCAACTAGATTCACTTCCCATCAAACTGGATACTGAGGTTGAAAATCTAAGCATTATTTCAAATACTTATCGTGTACACAGACACAAAAAAATAAAAATAAAAAGCTATTATCAAACTATAAAAGTATGATGCAATTGGATAATGATGATAATATTTCCATTGAACTATTTTTATTATTAAGTTAATTAAACATAGTATTAACCATAGAAACTTGAACGTTTTGCTTTACATAATTAATTTTCTATAGGAACACAAAGAAATTTTCAAAATATTGAGACTAGTCCTAACCTATTTATGGGGGCTAAAAGTTTTTTTTATGTAGGTTTCTACCATAAAAATGTGAAGTTCAAATGTCAACGCAATTGAGTAAGTAGGTTACCTACCTACCTATTTAAACTTAAAATAACTATTTCCTTCCAACGATTTCAATTATTTTTACGAGATTTAAAAATCATTAATCTTAAACTTTTTCTATTACTTATATTATTAATATACGTATTAATTATTGATTAGTATATTATTACGACATTTTTAAAATATATTTAGACTTGTTTTAAGCTATTTACACCATTCTACAGCATTTACTTAGTTATTATAATTTACAGTTAATAACAATATTATAATAATGAATATTTTGTGATGGTTATGCCAAAAACTAAGTATAACCTACATACTTCATGCATTATACTAAAATAGAAAAATAAACTACCTTGCAATGTAAATATATATTATAAAATATAACTATAGGTACTTAAAATCAGATAGGCATAACGACCAGCTCAGCTTAAAATGGTTTTTGCATAGAATGCGGTTCAACATTGAAATCAAAATTTAACACGTCAATACTAGTGACCATCGCTCTGAGGTACACTCAAAATCTATACTCTACAACAGTGAAAGTATCCTGATTCTCACTTTGTGTAACTTCAGTAGTGTTGGATAAAACAATAATATTATTAACTGATAGATATTATAGGTAGCTTATAAGGATTTATCTATAAAACTAAAAATTCATAAGTTCATTAAGTAAACACTCGATGAATTTTCAATTATGATAGAGATGATGAATATTTGATGTTAAATAATTAATATAATTTTGACTACTAAAAATTAATTAGGGAAATTAATATAATATTATTATAAAATTATGTTTCAACGTACATGAATTTGCCCCCCCCCCCTTTGACCAATCGACTCTGGACCAATTGTAAACAATTGTAAATCCATTGTAAATAATTTTAAATTCATTCCCCAAATTTGTAAATCACCTGAAACCTTAGAAATCGGGTCCATGACAAATAATAATTCATTTTAAATTTTGGTATTAATTTTTCTAAATTATTACGGATTTTAGAAAATTAAAAATAGTTGGAGTATTTATTTTCCCTAAATTACTTGGAACCTCCACTTTATAACATAATTGTTTATCACTTTTCAAATGAAAGCGTTTATTTATTGATACTATTGACGATGCGTATTGTTACGATATTATTCAACAAAAGATTTTTATAGACTCGTCATAGATAAAGTATTTACTTAAAGTTAATATTGACATATTATTATATACTATGCATATTTAAATTTAATTTATTATGAATAATAAAACGGATATCCCCAAATTAAAATATCCTCAAAAAAATCTAATAAAAATAAAAATTCTGTATTCAATAAGTAGTATTATTGATAAAAAATATCTATATTTATTAAAAATATGTGTAAAAAAATCGATATATAATAATTAATACATTTTTAATAAAAAATCAGTTTGATTTAAACTCCAAATTAAAAAATCTATATTTAATAAAAAAATAATCCCAGATAAATTAATTAAAAATCATTGTTTAATAAAAATCCAAATTACACAAATTCTATATTTTATAAAACTCTGTTAGAAAAAAAATTTTATTAATAAAAAAATCTATATTGCATAAAAAATATGAATAAAAAATTTAAATGTAATAAAAAACCAATATTAACAAAACATTCATAGTTAATAAAAAATCATTGTTTGATACAAAATAAATATTTAACAAAATCTATATTCTATAAGAAATGGGAATAAAAAAATCGATATTAATAAAAAAGTCATATATTATAAAATCTAAACTGTAATAAAAAAGAATCCATAATTAATAATAAATTCATGATTTAAAAAATCTTGTTTTGATTAAAAAAAATCCAATTTACAAAATCTATATTTAATAAAAAATTGTATTTTACGAAAGCTATATTGTATAAAAAATATGAATAAAAAATGTTGAGGTCCGTGAAGTTGGCTGCACAATGTGAACATTTGGCTCACAATTCGGTAATTAGTAACTACACCCTTTTTTCAGCTATCACTCAACAAGTTTAATCACGGCTAACTTCCTTGAAACTTGGCGTTTTGGCAATTCAAGTTTTTAACTAGCCAAAATGTCGTTGACAATTGTAAGTAATTGTAAGCACGAATTTAAAATGTATAAGTCATCCCTACCTAATTCATTCCCAAAAAGAAGTTGGTCGGTAATTAAGATAAAAAAGCCTAGTTAAATTAAAAAATATATCTTAATAGGATAAAAAAATCAGCTAAATAAAAATTAATATTAAATAAAATTTTATTCAATAAAAAAATGTTAGTTAAATTAAAAACCCTAGAAAAAAAAACTAAATCTAAAAAACCTAAATTGGATAAAAATCAGTTAAATTAAAATGTATCTTACAGAAAAAGTCAAATATTAATAAAAGTAGTCAATTAAAAAAAAACATAAGATCAATATACAAAGATAATAATATAATATTAATTTAAGATTTTTTCGATTTTCTCTCTAAATGACCTCTCTATAAAGTACCATCTTGGTCCAATTTGCTAAAAGATAAGGTACTATATGTTGAAATCAAAACACTCCTTCTGGTAGAAATTTTGTATACAGGATATAAAAAAAAATAAAAAAATAAACACCATTGTAAAACCACTAGCTTCCTTGCTCCGCTCAGAATCTAAAATATCTGAATTGGATAAAAAGACAGCTGAATAAAAAATAAAAAATAAAAATTAATAAAAAGCTTCTCTTATTATTTTATATATTGATCTTACATTTAGTTTTAATGTAACTTGCATTTCCAATTGTCTACAATTGGTTCTGAGTCGATAGGTCAAAGTGGGGGGGCTACGTGAACTTGGCCCCCCTCATTTTGTTTTTTGATTTATAAGTTTTCAGGTGATTTACAAATTCGGGGAATGAATTTACAATTATTTACAATGGATTTACAATTGTTTACCATGTGTCCGTTGTCGATAGGTGAAAGTGGGGGGGGGGGGCAAATTCATGTGCATTATGTTTCAAAATGCAATCATTATTCATGATTAATTTCACTATACATTTTTTTTTTTAAATACCTATTATAGTTTGACACCAATATTATTACATTGTCTTAATACTTAAGTATTGACAAATGCAATGTTTAACAAAATTCATAAATATTTTATTATACATAGATAAAATCCGTAAAGACATAATTACAGCATTATTTTTCCCAACACTGCAGAACTGCATTTAGGTATAAATGTCGTCCGGTGCCTACATGCAGTCCTAAGCTAGTCTTTTCCGCATCTTCAACCCTTCCTGCCGAATCATTGGCTTTTCGTATTGCATAATATAGTCTATAACCGACATTCGTTTAATAATTATTGTTAACGTTACAGTTGATGCGGAAATGCAAACCGTCCGCCTGCAAGTGAAGAAATCACTCACCCAACACCGCCTGCACTTCTGTCCGTCCATACACAATATTATAATAGTATAATAGTAACCTATAGTATGCCATATAAAAGTGTCTGTTCGATCCGTCGCCGCCGGAATAAGAGATCACCGACCGGAAATCCTCCGCGGCCGCTTCCGGGCGGCTGCTGATTGCGGGAACATCCCCCGCGCTTTGTACTCGAGTGTTGTACGAGACGCGTTCAGAAAACGAACCGCGGAAGACGATCGACCGGTACACGTCGTGCGCCAAAGTAACAAAAGTAATTCAAAAATTCACAGTTTTCCTCGTCTATATCCACTCACGACTATTTTCGCACCACATATTATTATACTAATAAGTTACCTACTATTTTCGTTTTTACTTTCGACTACACGACGTCACGACCGTTCTCTCATAATTATTATTATTATTATTTAAAACTATTCTATTATTATTATTTCTACCGATCCGTCCCTGTGTGTACTTAAGCCGTTGTTTTATTTATATCTACTCTCGGAAACCTAGACTGACTCTGTTCTATTCCGCATATGATATGCGCCCCAAACTATACCTACCGTACTAAGACTATGTCCTATATATATATTAATATGTATGTGTACAATTTGTGACACGACAATATACCTTAATATCTGCGTTTTGTTTTTTCGACACTTGTCGTGCATGTCACCAGGAGGTACGTTTCTACTACTTTACAACGAAATAATATTAATTAACACCTGTTAGATGTGCCGGCCCCCCCTTACCTAACCCTCTAACGGGTCGTGTTTATGATATTTACAAACACATGATAATATTATATATACATTATATTAGGTATAAAGTTTTAAACGGTTTGTGGTACTTGATAATATTAATATAATAATATTATGATCGAATCGGTATTATCTTTAACAACATGCAAAATATATTATATTTTTTTTATCCTCGACAAACCCCGCGCTCGCGGTAGTCGCTCTGTCAAATTCTTTTATTTTTTCATTCGTTTATAATGTACCTAACGACTCCTTATTTTATTGTTTCATATTATTATTGTTATTGTTATTATTACTACATGACAACATGCCTGTGCCTCATAATTGTACACGTTTATTATTGTATTATTAATAAATGTATAATATTTTAATTTTTTATAAGTACGACGATGAGTCTGGCGTGTGTGTAATATGATGACAAACACTGTCGGTTCAACGTCGCTCCGTGTCCAAATAACAATAATAATGATAATAATAATAACAATAATAGTAACAATATGTCCTTTCTGTATTATTTTGTTTTATTCGCTGCTATCGTATTCATTATGTCAATACTAGCCACTAGGTATTAAACTATTGTTTGTTTATAATGTTTATTAATTTTTATTTCACGTTTTATTTCGATCTCGTATATTCCCATATTAAACTTAAGTCGATTCCATTCAACGGATAATCCCTACTGTGCATTAATGCCAACGGTACAACAATTGTTATAGTTTGAGCATAATATTCTTTATAATATAATGAGCACTAAAATTCTTTCATAAAATATGATATTATGTTTAGGTACTTTTTAACACGTTTTATACTCTACGCCTTATATTAGATATTATATATATATATATATTTATATTAAATTATAATATTTGAATGTAACTCGTGGGTATATTTAATTTTTTCCAATTTTTAATCTGTGATTTTTTCTCTAGTTATTTTTATTTATTTATTAATTTATTATTATTATTATTTATATTATTACTATGTATTATTATTTTAATTTTTTTCTGTCTAATTCTTAACCATTATACGCATTAAGTCAATCACACTTTTCGGTACGCTCGTCGCGCACAGTATTAACGCTACCTACACAAATGACGAGTGTACCACTACCACACCAGTACCTACCTACTTTCCTATCCAAACATCTTTAATAATAGCAAATAATATATCACGTTATAAATTATAATGTAATGTCAACGCGATGACCGCACTCGTCGTCGTCTTGACAAAAGGGTTAATATAGTTAAATCATTTTATTTTTTAAATAAGTAATAATATGTAATAAAAATTATTGTTTATTAAAAAAAAAAATTATATATATATATTTACTTATCTTATTTTATTTCATTATAATATAATATGACAAATTTTGTTTTCTAGCTCACATCGAATAATGATACACAAAAAAAAAACCAAAAAAACAATAAATCACACAAAAACGATACCTATATAATATTATAATATATAAAGTTCGACATATCGATTTAACGAGTTGATGGTAAAACATAATAAGTAATTAAATATAATATATATGGCGTAAAAACAAAAAACAAATATAACCTATACACGGAAGTTTGTTAAACGCATAATATATAATAATCATAATAAGTAATAACTAATAATATTGTTGGAAAACTAAGGAAAAAAAATTGTTTAAACGGCGGAGATCGGTGAAAAACTTCCGTATGTGATTCCGACAGTTTATCTGTGTTAGTCGGCCGAAATACGCATTGGATTTGAACTGCAACTTTTTCAATAATCTTTAGGTATACCTACACGACAAATTTTTTTTATGGAACATTTCAAATTTTTACTTTCCGTCGGCATGCAATGGCCTGAATGCCAGGGAGGGGGCATGTTTTAAATTGCAACAAGCCATTTTCAATTCAATTTTTAAGTAACGATAATTAATATTTATATTTTTTACAATTAATTTTGACTTGACAACTATATGCAGGCTCTAATATCAAAATTTACCGAATGGCAGCCATTTAAAATTTAATCATTAATACATTTTTTTAAATTATTTAAAAGTTGAAAATCGAACAATTATTCACAACATATCTATACATATATTATTATATATTATTTAATATTTAAACTGTATTAATATTATTATTCAATATATTTTGTTGTAACAATAATTGTAATATCAGGTCCACACATAGTAAAATAGTAAACATAAATATAACATGTCCCGCCTGTGTGGTCAAACATACCATTGGTTATTTTTTTAAAAACTTTGTTGTGTTTTGCGTGGACAATGGATTAATATTTTAATAAAATATGTAATAATAATAAAGAACGGTATTTTTAAGTAATGTAAAAAAAATATTTAAAAATAAATATAAATGGATACTTTAAGTAAACATCCATACAGTTAATACTAAAATAATTACCAAATTATAAAAACTAATTTAAAAATGCTGTTAAATGAAAACAAAATTAATTCATAATATTAAGTTTTAAATGTTTTTTAATGGTTGAATGTTGATATTAGAACTAGTCGATGATATATTAAAAAAAAAAATTACAAAATGGCATTTCCGCAAATATTTCCGAAAAACGAATTTTAAAACAGTTGTTGCTATAATAATATTACATTTGAATAAAACAAGTTAATAAAAAATACAAGTTTCAATGCACACGCACCGAAAGAGTGGCCAATTTGTGATATTCCTATAAACGTGTGTTCAGTAACTACCAAGTCTAAAAAGTCGAAAAAACTCCCCGTTCGAATCCGGCCCAGAAATTAAGGAGGGCAATTTCTAATAATTGCCGACACGTACAATATAATATTATATTATAATATATTTATGTTCAAAAATTCAACTTGGACGGGAGACGGATACGTTATTCACCGAGTCGTCGCTTATATAATAATCACATAATAGTATAATATTTATCTTTCTTTTATATATACAACCTACGTTGTCCGATACTGAAGACTTGACCTGTATATTGGGTAGGTAGACGATTAAACCTATACAACATATTATTATTTATTATATACTATTAATAATTATTAACAATCTCAGCAGTCGTTAAAAGTGGTAACAAACAATTGATTGGATTTATTCTTCTATAACGCTTTCGTCCCCTTGAACCCATCGGTTAACAAAATATACTATATGTGGGCGGTATTCGATAAATTCCGAAAAATCTGTAGCTGTGTACGGCTAAACCGGACTTGTCCGACATTACAGGTATAAATAGGTAATGATTGCTAAACGACGACCTCCTCCTCTAAAAAAACGGTTTTCCGACGGCACACTTTATTTTCCACGGCATCATATATGGGTAAATCTTGTGCAGTTGTGCGATGTTTTTATATAGACCGGTGGCAATGGACGACACCAAAAGTTTGCGAAAAACCGTTTTCACAGTCGCCACGACGACGACGTTAATATCATCATAATTATAACCTACTCATCATGGTGTGGTAAATTATTAGGGTACTATATACGTGAACATTATTGTGAGCAAAATTGATCGTAAAAATAATAATATTAACGATATAGAACCAATTATATAATTGTGAACAAATAGAAAATATAACTGTAATGAATATAAATGGTGGTGTTTGGTTGAAACGCGGTTGGGGAGAAAAAAAAAAATGATACAAATAAAATAATATAGTTTATAATATAATATAATAGTTATTGTTTATCGTCGTCTTGGTCGGTTATTTTTTGGTCACGAGCACTTCCTCTTCGTCCGAACAGTCTTCGTCGTGTGTGTGCGTCACTGACGACGGCACTTGGTGTGAACGTGGGTGCGGAACGGTTTGTGCCCTGCAGCATCTGAGTCTGTGATCGGGAAAACACGAATCTTCAATAAAAAACAATAATAATAATCACATCAACGTGTGAAGCGGGAGGGAAGGTACCTACACGGGTGGAGTGGCGCCATGTTCGATCCCACCAAAAAAAGTATTGTCCCCGAAAAAAGATCACATTACATACGATATTATACTGCGTAAATTGTAGCTAGAGTATTTTAGAAAGGTACGTAAATTGCGTCCAGGGAGATTTAAAAAAAATAAACACGCGCACTGATACACTGATAGTTAGACAAGTTAGGGAACGAAAAGTGGACAAATTATGGAAAAAGATCTGGTTAATTATGTATTTAAAAAAATGAAATAATGGAAAGCAAAAAAAAATTATTCGTTTAGACATATGCAGGAATCATCCTACAAATGTTCACCGGTTACTTAATATTACTAATTTTAATTAGTACATATTTAATCATAAATAACAGCAAAACCAATATTTTTTATAACCATACCAATATTAATAAAATTAGCCATTAGGTTATTCCTAAGTCTGAAGAATGGAAGGAAAATATTGATTTTTCAAAAATATCCCGGGCGTAATATACGTAGGTATGAATAAAAAAAAAATTGGCCACATTTTTCATGTTAATACTAAATATACTGGATCTCAATTTACGTAAGTATTATAAAATATAGCTAGCTGGGGCTGCAATTTTTGTTATACATAAAAAATTTAAAATTTACAGCTCCCGGTGGAATTGAAGGGTTTCGATTGTTGGATATTTTTTCAAAGGGTTTTTAGGGGTGTGTCTGGGGATAATTCGGGTGAAAAGGCCCAGCCCTGCGGTCACGCTCATGAAAGGGGAAGGCGGGAAAACCCCGTAAAAGATTCCGAACTCGCCTCGTCCACAGTCGTAGTCGCAGCGGCATTTTTACTGGCATTTAGCACCGTTTCGCTAACGGACTTCAACGTCGCCGCCGCCGATGCCGCCGCCGCTGCGCTGTCTTCTTTGCTCAGTCTCTGTTCGTGTTCGTGTGCCACAGTGGACTCGTGCGGCATCTGCAAGCACATTAGAAATACATAAATTGAAGGCGTAAAATAATATTTTATTAGCACGCAAAAAATAAAATTCATTGTGATTTGTGACCCATCGTCGTATTTCCATAACTCATAAGCATATATAATATCCATTTACTGAAATTGTTTTTTTTTTTTCACGAACGGGTGTCGACGAATTATACGGATCGTGAAGAATAGGTGCAATTATTACACGATGTAGACGATTATTTTTCCCCATTTCATGGAACCGATTAGGTATTTGTTTTGGACATTTTATGGAAGAATCTATAGTTTTTACTTTTTACACAATATCTACTTAATTACCTATATGGAAAAATTATTATCGAATTTTTATCAGGACACGATTATGACTCCATCTTCTCTCCTCTTAAACAATCTAAACTTATTTCAGTGCATACCTTATAGATACTGGTACAGTAGAACTGTGATAATACCTCGTAATTATTTTGAAAAATGTTTAGTTATTTCTAGACGTTAATATTGTGATTTATTTTATTTTATTTATTAAATTAATATTTTTAATTTAATTATTATTTTATTTATTTATTTCACCACGATGATTACATTTTTATTTAATACACACTATACATAAATATATAGAATACATTATAATATGATACGCATTATAAGGACGAATGGGTTTTTTGATAAACAAAATATACAATTATCAAACTCTACTAATAAGTAATAAGCAATTTTTATTTAATACGTAAAAAATATTTTATTTACAGGCAATTAGTATAGTGACCCATCTATTTATTTTAACTATAAAGCTAATAAATAATAATAATATTATCAAAATGTTAATAAATATTACCTAATATTTAATAATAATATTTACAACTTATATTGTTTTATTGAATAATATTATCTTTAATATTTAATAATAATATTTACAAGTTATATATTGTTGTTGATGAACAATATATCTTTAAGATTTAATAATAATATTTACAACTTATAATGGTTTATTGAATAATATATTTTAATGTTCTATTGAATAATATTATCTTTTATTGAACGAATATAATTGTGTTCTTAGATATTTAAAATTGTTAAGAGGATGTCACCGCATTATTTGTTTTCTCTCTCTGGTCCAAGCACAATATATAGACAAAACGCATTTACCCAGAATCATTTTTTCTGTGTTTTTAAATAACCTATTACATAAAAGATAGAGAATAATATTTTTGAGGGAATAACATATCGATTTGTCTAAATATTGTCTCAAAACAATTAAAACATAATTTAAATTTACAACATTTTTTGTTTATTTTGAAAGTCGAATACAAAGTCAAATAACAATAAAATATAAAACTGATGTCATTCCCTCAAAAATATTACTCTCTATCTTTTTCGTAATGGGTGATTTCACTCTAAGAATACTTAAAAACATAGAAAAATGATTCTGCGTTAATGCGTTTTGTCGATGTTGGGCGTGGGCAGCTAGAGAGAAAAAACAAAATATAGTGCGCTGACATCCTCTTAATACCTACTTTTAGTACTTTAAGACTTTTAAGATTTTATTTTCAAATCAGGTGCATTTCTATAATAAATGTTGTTACATTCAATACATAAAAATGTACTTAAATTTTCTTGTTTTCCATAATGGAGCAACAAAATAAACGTCGTAATTATATGCAAAGATGCAATGCGCAATATGTGAGACGAGAGCACGACCGTGAGTCCGTGATTTAAATTACTATCATAATTTATTATGCAATATTATATTTATGTTATTATTTTAAGCTTAATCAGTGGCGGCGAGGCGCATACCATTTTCACTGTAACGCACGACCTGTCTAAACCAAATTCTTTAAACATTTTAAGGAATTTATTTTTTTTAATTAAAACAACAAATAAATTTTTTTTTTTTGAAAAGTTATTTGACATTACCCCCCCCCCCCCCCCCCCCCCCATCCATAGTATAAGTGTTCCCAGAAGTTTTAATAAATATACATTAAACAAATTAATATACAATACTGAAACAGGGATATTGTTAAGAAAATCGAAATTTTTAGAATAACTTAAAATTGTTTTCATTTTCGTCAATTAAATAAAAAAAAAATTAATCGAGTTTACTTCCAAGTACGCTATACTAAATCTAAACATTTTAAAAACACTGGTTTTTTGAGCAGGGGGGAGGCTGATTAATGACACTAGTAAATTAACACTGCGGGCTTCCGGTATATAATTTTAAGTATAATATAAATACCTATACATAATAATAGTTCACATCTATATAACGTGACTATCACCACAGTATGGTCATAATTTCCACCTACGCGGATGTATTATTGTACTTTAAAAATTATAATTAGCTAACTTATTATTTTATAATGATTTTAAATATTTCGATACATTACATTATTATAAATTGTTATCTGAAAGCACAAATTAAAACGTAAAATATAATAATATGGTATAGGTACGTATATTACTATTACTGTTAATTCTACTGGCCTTTTACCTTAAGTTTTTTCCTTTGTTGTGGTTTAAATAATAATGAACGAATAGAGATTATTTAATTTATGCATAGTATCTATAAAAGATAACCTATTCGATCGACCAACAATTCGGCGTAGGCAGGTTGGTACTTTTAAAAATCACATAGTTCAATTTAATTTTTATTAATTTAAAAATATTAATATCACAAAACCATGTATTTTTACCTATATTATAATTTATAACTATTCAATCATTATTGTAATTTATATTATCCAACGTTCGTTATATTATAATCTTCAACACATTGAACGTTTTTGTAGGAAATTTGTGCACGGTTCACTGTACCTCACACAGTTACACTGCAAATAGCTACAAATTACAATGCAATATTTAATAAAGTACCTATCACTATTATAATTTTTATATAATTTAATCCTGGTTGTGTAGATTAGTACACTACTATACTATAGTTTATAATATACAGGAAGTAATATTAATAGCCTATTTCACGTTTATGAGGAGGGGACTGCATTGGCCATAAACTTACTGGCTTACTCATACTGTGATGGTATCTAGCACAGTTTACGCGGTAAACCTAACAGTATAAGTAATATAACACAACCAGAAATCGTTAAACATCATACCACAATTTATTTTCTCGACACTTCCGACCGACCCAACAGTCGCCAATGTGCACGCGAGCAGTATGCCTCACACAGTTACACTACAATAAGCTACAAATTACAATGCAATATTTAATAAAGTACCTATCACTGTTATAATTTTTATATAATTTAATCCTGGTTGTGTAGATTAGTACACTACTATACTATAGTCTATAATATACAGGAAGTAATATTAATAGCCTATTTCACGTTTATGAGGAGGGGACGGCATTGGCCATAAACTTACTGGCTTACTCATTCTGTGATGGTACCTATCTAACATAACAGTATAAGTAATATAACACAACCAGAAATCGCTAAACATCATATCACAATTTATTTTCTCGACACTTCCGACCGACCCAACAGTCGCCGATGTGCATGCGAGCAGTATGCCTTTCGTTTTACTATAAGTTGTTTTTAAGTATGAGTCACAGGATTATGGGACTTTGTAAATAAAATAATAACTGAACTTTGAATTATGTGGGCAGTGGATGGATTCGTAAATGGTTCACGGCGAACTGAGTTTTTCAAATAGCCAGAGTAAAGTTGAAGTGGAAACCAGGATGTCGAAACAATGCTTACAACGTGGCTCCAAAACGCAAATAAAAACAAAATAATGGAGCAATGGCTTAAGATTCATACGACTGATGAAAAATTAAGTGTTTATTACGCTTAAGAAACATTCACCATATGAAATTAAATTTTACACTACCTACCACTAAAATCGGGTAGAAATCTTATTTACTTTATATAAACATATAATTTCAAAATTAAAACCGAAGAACTAAAAATAAGCCAATCAATCAGCAACAAGCAAAACCAAATAGCAAAGTGCATTTTTTGGCTTAGGTATTGAAAAACGTAGCTTGAAAAAGTATGAATGTTGTAACAAAAGTTACAAATTCAATTTTAAAATTTATTTTTTTTTTTATGTTATAGGCCAAAAGAATAAAAAAAAAAAGGTACGCATCGAACGATATTTTACAAAGCCCGTAATATATACCTCAATAGGAGGTAATAATTTCAAATTTGTAGCCGTTATATAATACTTCCTAAAGGCTTATATTAAGAACGCAGGATAAAATCCCCACCCAGGGCAAGATACGAATTACTTATAATCTATATAATCCAATATTAATTATAATGATATTAATATTAAAGTACATGCAGTTAAAAATTCCCAGAGGGGCAACGGCCTTTTTTGCTCCCCCCAGGGGGCGCACTTGTATATTAATGACCATATAATAAAATTAAGTAAGAATTTACATACTTAATAATTATTATACATTTATCATGTTTAGGATACTATAGTATAATGCCTATCAGACTATTATTAATTGATACTATTATTTGTGGAGAACTGGCGAATTATAATGAGATAAGTAGATTCTACATTGTATGCTACTGACTGATATGCAGTGACTATAACGCTGTGTCGCTGTTTATCTAGGCCCATACAAATCACTATTTACTGTTTAGAAATATATATAAAATTATAGCTAATAATAAAAAGAAATACAATTTTTACTTAAATATTTTAATGGAAATGGTGTTTCATTTTCACTTCATGAAATTTTCAAAGTAGATAATTATATGCAATTAATAAACCACAAACTGTTGAATACAGTTCTAAGGTATTGACTATGATAAGTCAATAAAAGCTATATAATGGCTAGTAATATTATAATAATAATTATGGAATATAATATGCGATTTTTTTTTGGCCAAAATTATTACAATCTACCGTATTTACTAATAGACAAGTAATATACTATAATAATAGTAATAATACCTAATACTAATATAAATAATACATATATAATTTCTCCGCTAAAAATAATCTTTCATTATGTACAATGATTCAAGTTTAACACATATATTAAAGTGATCTACTCAATGTTGATTTCGACACCTCCTAAACAGCAGAGCTAATTATCCAGCTTGTTTTATTTTAAACTTGTATTTATGACATCATACAACACAAAAGTCAAATAAATTATAAAATACTACTAGCCCATTAACTCTGAACCCTATTGACAATTTTTCTCTACTCATTATTCTATTAATGGGATGACATTTTAAAATGTAGTCTATAGTAATAATATAGTAACTAACTGCACGTCTTGCAGAAGTAGTTATAGTTTAGATAATTCCTCGTGATTATTATGAATACGTGTTTTTTATATATATATTTAATCAATAAAGATTTACTTAAATATTAATTGGGCACTAGAAATAAATTAACACGGTTTGAAACTATAATAATATGATAATTGAAGTTCAACGGATGAAATGATTATAGTGTTTATTAATTAAAGTCAGAATAGTAAGATAATATTTCCTATTGTCAAGATTATAGGTAATTTATATTTAATATTGCGTGTAATCGTCAAGTTCGTCACACACAAAACAAAATAATATTTATTCGTCTACATTACGTACACTTTTACGTTTTGGTTGATATAACTAAACGTTCATAATGTTTTTGTGCATATTGTTTACAAGGTTTTACACACGAATGCCTGAATAGTTTATTCGGGTTTTAAGTGTTTGGTATAAAATATGATAACGGGCTACGTGCGATTATCAAAAAATATTTATCGATAAAATTCAAGTACCTATACTTACTATACCTATACTCGTAAAACAGAATTCGTACGTAAATATGCAAATATACGACGAATAAATCAAATAGAAAATTAATATTGGATATAGGTAATGTTAAAAATATAGTGCACTATATTATAACATCATAGTGTTAAAATAAAACTTTTTACTTACCAGCATAGCCGGTGCTCGGAACATATAGGAAAATGGATAGTATATTAGATTTAAAAACGTCGCTGCGTACAAGTCTGCATACCGCGTGACCTGCGACGAGAAGAAGGTTTGCCTGGACCCCGATCGGAAGAGACTACCCATCATTCCGTACGATAAGTCCATTTTGTGGGTAACATCGCGCATCGCCATTCTCAGTTTTGAAATGTCGGGCTTTTCGTTGGTACTGCTGTCTAAATTCCTATAATCAAAAACCAAAAAAAAAATCATCCACATTCATGACGCGATGTTAAACACTTAACACATCAAATATATATAAGTTTTCATTTTTTATTTTAAGGCATTAACTGCATATGGTTATATTAGCCTGTTATTACTGTAGGGGGTACGCTTGGTTCAGAACACTCGTGTATGTGTGGCGAGGATATCACTAAAACCCTGGTAGTCACCCATCCGGGAACCAGCGACACCAGCTGATGCTTACCTCAGAACACATTAGTGACTGAAGCCAACCACATTAATACACCAGGCCACCAAATATATTAGTATTCTGTAAGTACGAGAGAATTTATGTTACATCGTGACAGTGTTATTTGTTATATATTATATCTAATCCGGGAATTTGTTTTTAAACCAGAGCAAAACCTGACACTAAGTATACACAGAAATAATTAAATTTTAAAAAACATGAGAGAATTATAAACAATTGAATTAGAATTGATTCTTTAAATAATATTACATTATTTTAAAATTAGATTTTTTTTCAAATTTGTTTTTAAGATCATTTATATATCGACGATCAACATTCAAAGCAATCTGTTTTCCTCGCAATCAATTAAACAGCGATAAATGTGTCTGCGATTTATTCTTCGAGGTCCGGGGATCAATAATAATTGTTCACAATTCCAACTCAACGACCATTCACTTATCAGTCAGACCGCCGTTTTACTCGATAACTTCCTTTCGTCATATATTTTATTAGTTAGTTATAATTATTATTATAACATTTATATAGTTATAAATTTTAATTAATTAATTTACCCTAATAATTTCAGTGCTGTTTTAAATCACTAACAATGAACCAACCAAATGTTCTTAAAATGTATGAAAAATAAATTGTAAGCTCGATAAATATTCACGATAAATAAATCACGTCCTATACAATGTAAAGTGCGACATTATTTTTATCGATATTATTAAATCACATAATATTATAGACGTGACGTGTGATAGGTACTATGATTTGTATATATCGTTGCACTCAATTAACTCACTTGTACATGTTTCCAAGAGCTATATCGAAATTTTGCAGTTCTGCAAATAGCTGACATTTGTCTGTCCACACGTGCAGCTCTTGAACCAACTCGGGGACGACTAAAAACGTTCTCCAACCACGTATCTTCTTTGACTTGAGAATGTCTCCAAATATATGATCTCCCACATACAGAACGTCTTTTCCCTTTGCGCCGATGAGCTTGGTGAAAATGTCGCAAGAGCCTTTCCGTCGAGCGAGACACAATACAAATGATTATAACATCTACCAATTAGTAATACTAATGAGTGTCAGTAAAATTTACCTCCCGAATATACTTGGCCTTTTAGCAGAGGCCCAATGTGCGTGCCCATTTTCAGAGCTCCAGTTTTGGTGTCCACTTGTCGCAGGATCGTGCCTTCACTGAAAAACAACGGTTTTCTGGCATCTACCACCACTATGTCGAAATACGATTGCCAGTCTCTGTGTGGCTCGCTGGGCTACATCCGGTGAAAAAATATTGTTGTTATATTATTATTTTTGTGTTACATTGTAGACGGACGACAATGCTTACTACGAACTGAACGACTTACCGAAGCACCGTGTGGGTAATCGAATAAATACGTCATGATCATGTTGGTGAACCAGTAATCACTGTTGGTCAACAGAAACACCTTGGCACCACTTTGCCGGATCCTAGCCAAGAACATAGGCAGCCTCGCGTCTTTGTTGACGTAATCGGATAAGTTTTGGATAGTTCTCTCTTTCAAATCACCCTATAGTTATAACCGTATAAAACGAAATAATCAAAATACACTATTGAATATATTTTGGTAGGTATATTATAGCATAAACTATTTTAAAGCAATCTATAACCTCGAGGCATAGGTGATATAATTGATTATGAATATCTATAATCAATGGTTAATGGTTATAGCAGACAGTGGCTACGTAACATATAAGACACGACAGTACATGACGGAAAATTTTGCCGACAACGCTAAGAACAAATATGTTTGGGTATACCATTTTGATAATAGCAATAATAGTCACACAAACATTATATATCTTATTAGTTTTTTAATCTATCGACGATTATACAATTTGGACTTTTGTAGAAAGTTTATGAAATATTCAAATTAATAAGAATATTAATATTTTTCACTCGTGATGAAATTGAAAGTAAGTTACCAAGGTTTTTACCGAATAAATTTCGGTTTATGCATTCAATCATGCAAAAATCATTAAAATAATGGTCGAGGACAATTTAACGTGGCGTTTGAAAGCCAAGCCATTTGAGCGACAAAAATTAAATTTATATTTTCACAAATTATAGCATGGTGTATTTTTAAGATTTTTTATTGTATCATATTTAAAAACAATAGGTTTTAGAATAATATTATATGACAATCATATTTTGGCTTGCTATCATCGAAAACGAGATAGCTGACAACAGTAGAACAACACATATAAATATAATTCCAATTTGTAGGTAGGTACTTTGATAAAAGTGACTATAGTGAGTGAGGTACGTTAATCTGGGGAATATATTTCTGGCCGACAGCAGACCAGATAAAAATATAATTTTAATTTTTGATAGATCTGGCAATCGAATCGCTGTCGGAACATCTGCCAGATGATTTATAAACATTATTAGATTGGTTTGAAGATAATTAATACGTGCAGGGGACGGTTAATAGAATAGAAGGGGACGTTAAGTTGCGTTATTTCCTCCCAACATTCGGAACGTTCACGAGCTAGTTTTAAATAGAAAAATTGCACAAATAACTATGGACAATTCGTCAAGAGACTTAATATATAGAAAACAATGTTTGTGGTGATTTATGTCATTCTGTATTGCCTTCAACGTGTACTTGGAGGGAGCGTGATTTATATTATAATTATCGGGAAGGCGAAAATAATCTAGCTAGAAAATTAAAAAAGAACTTTGATGTAAATTAAAGAATATAAAAATCCAAAATATAAATGATAGCCAACAACAAATTATTTCACGAGCATACCTCGCTACATTAAATCAAATAATTTTTTTACTTAATTATATTTGGTCAATGGTTGGTTATACTATAAACTAAAATTATGTTTATTCATTTTTATGCAGCTCATATTATTTGTATTGTTATGCTATTTTTGAAGTCCAAATATCCTATAGCATTTAAAGATCGAATCCAATTCATTGTCCATTTGCATACCTATACATGTCACATACACCTCCTATATTATATAATACATTTCTAAATGGGGACGGTTAGGTTTACCAACTATCAGTTCGCGGTTGATCTGATACGTTTTGGAAGGACGGGCTAAGGATATCACCTAACCTAACCGGTCATTTATATATATTTTTTTTTTTACACAGACTTGGTAAAATGATCTCTTGAAACTTGGGGTAAAGTGTAATACTATAATAGTATTATTATAATATAATATGCGTATATATTACATGTATGTGCATCCAGTCCACGGCGTTCCTCACGTCTTGGAATATAGAGTTGAACGACATCAGCAAATCACCACTGCGTACTCCGGTTTTTTCCCTGTGTAGCACAAACGATAACATAATAATATACTACTTTGTGTAAAATATATTTTACAGAAACAAAACGGTCCGAATTAGGCTGTGGCTAAGTAAATATTTTTAACGAACCGACTTAATTATGATGGAAAATGTTATTATATTAATATATAATATGTATAAGCTATAATACGTATATAAGCTCAAATACACACTATGAATCTTGAGTGGGGTAAATACGTACTAAATAACTAATAGAACAGGATGGTAAATTGTATTTAATTTGTAATATTAGTAAATGAAAAATTGCAGGTGCTGAAAAGTGAAAATGTTCAGCAAATAGGTATTTATAATAGCAGTATTTAGTCATGATATGATTTTCAAAAAATATCTAGGTTCTTTTTGAGCCATTTATAGACATTTAAAATGTTAAACCTTTATCAGTTTTTATAAAATTATGTTGATACATTTTTTTAAGTCAAAAAGCTTAAAAATATAATACGATAGGTTCCTCATAAGTTGTAGGTACTCGTAATACTTGGAAATAATCGAAAATACACAGATACAATTTTTAATATTAACGTTTGAAATTCAAATGTTGTCAAAATTCGTTGAAATCACGAAAATGTGCATGTTGTTTTGTAGTTAAAAATTAAGCAATTTTAAATTTTAATAACAAGAGCTTGATATTTTAATACATTTTTTTACTAGAATTTATAAATAAAGTTTAGTTTGGATACTATATTGGCTTCTGAGGTCCAATTTTTTACGACAATGGATATTCAAACGTATAAAAGCGATAGTATTTTAGCCTGTGGTAAAACTAAAAATCCATAAGGTAAAATTACACTATTATTGCCCTCTTAGTTAATTATCTGAGGGGGCAGTTGCCCCCCCTAGATTACGCCAATGTTTATAAGTTATATGATATAACCGTATATAATACACATCAAATATTTTATGTACGTAAATAAGTAGAATGGGTGACATGTAACAAACCTCGAGTAGTTTGGCGAAGTGGTAAAATAGTTTATTAGACAGGCCAACAAATACGTTTCTGGCAAATTGAACAGCGTGTTGAGCACGTAGACGCGGGACTCGTCAAGGACCAAGAATTTGTTGGGATACAGCTCGTACACCTGAGAACTAATGGTAAAAAACACACGTTGGTATAATACTATAATGCGTTTAGGACATTTAATGTTTAAAAACTGACGTATAGTCAGAGGTTACTTTTATAGAAACCACATTATCACTGTACAAGAAAATAATATAAACTTCACAAAATAATGTGTAACTGGTGATTCTTTTAACAGTAAACACTCATTTTTTCGAATAGCATTATTTTTTTACATAATTTTAAGTCATTATAATAATTACGAAACATTTTTAAAAGAAAATCATTTTTTAAGTTTTTATTTTTTTGAACGACAACATACAGTTAATTAATGTAAAGCACAATATTTTTCTGAGAATTTTGATGTGCAGCAATCAAATTTTGAACCACTAACTAATAAGTAATACAAATACTTATATTTAGTTATAAATATTTTAAGTATGGATTATGGATCTACTGTAGTAGACAAACGGTTATGCGGGGTACACATTTGGTATCGCTATTAAATCATGTGTCACTTTACTCCACTCATTAAAACTTGACAACACATAATTAGCTTCTATTTGTAAATCTGATTTTTATACATATAGAAAATCTGCTTCAAAAATTATAACTAGAAAAAAAAGTATTATTTATTTTCAAAAACGTTAGTAATTTTTTGAAATGTAAGATAATGAATGTTTACTATTAAAAGAGTCATCCTGTATTATCACTCACTGTTTTAAAAACTCGAAACCTTGTACGCAGACGAGTATGTTACCGTAAGAATCCACTTTGAGCAGAGTGCCGTACAAAGAATCGAACCACAAGCCCCTGGAAAAAATAATTCGTTTTGATATGCTTTGAAATAAATTAATAGCTAAATAAAATAAACATTTGTTTAACTCTTCTAATCCGCTTTCTGCCGTTTACACTTTCAAAATTACGTAACGATTGGAACCAGTGGCGTATATAGGGGGGAGGCCCACTAGGCCAGGGCCCATAGTGAAATTGCAGGTACAATTAAACCATTTTATGTATATGTACACTGTTTACAGGTTTTCACCATGATTAATTTAGCCGGTTGATTAAAATCGTTTTGAGGAATCAACAAAGAAATGTTAGATTGTCAGGACTTGCTTTGATGACTTTTATGTGTTAAATTCACAATAAGATAACATTAAAATATATATGTATATATGAAATTATCTATATTTTTTAAAAAGAATTAAAAATTAATTTTAAATAATAATTATAAAATTTAATTTGCGCAATTTTTATTAGTATTTATAACCACCCTGCTCCTTAAAAAATGTATAGTTATGGCTATTTTAGTCCGTTTGACGCGCTATGTTGACTATAGTGATAAATTGGCCCTTAGTGAAAATAATTTGTATATACGCCACTGATTGGAACATATTAATATAGTTGAAAGTTTTTTAATGAACAAAATATTTTTATTTACAATCTGTATTTACATGTTAATATGTTATACAATAAGTAAATTTGTTGAGGTTTGATTGACGGGAGGGGGAAGTCACCCAGAACATAATAAATAGTTAATTGAGTTTATAGTTAATTATTTATAGTTCTACAATTGAAATATGTGCTTTTACATCATAAATCGATATAAATCTATAAACTTAAAATTATATATTATATTACATTATTATATTTCAGGTTTTTTTGTTTTTGAAATATATTATTATGTAAACAAGGTGGTAAATACAATATACATATTAATATATAAATTATACCTGGATTAATTTAATATTATATAGATTTTAGATGTTGTACACAACTGTAAAACTACTTATAAAAATAAAAATATTTTGATATTCATGAAGATGTCCCCTCACCACAGGTGCTCACATCGGTGCCAATATTTTATAACTTATTTAAATTAAATTCTTATAATTGACAACCGAATAAAATAGACTGAGAGCGAAACCATATGAATTTGGCCCCTTACTTATTAAAACATTTATTACGGTATTAACATATTTGGTTGCAAATAGCTGAAAATAAGTATCAAAATATTTACAACACCTGCAGTTCGGAGCCGATGTCCTACCCCCCTCCCGGGTAACCACCCATGGGCTCCTAGTTATTTGTGACGAAAGTAGCAAGTTACATATTAGTATGTTATGCAACTATAGTTGCATATTTAGTTGAAACATCAGTTAAAAAATATAAACACCGATTTAGAGATAAGACAAGTTGAGCTCATTAGGATATAGGGACATTGTGATGTTGGAAATCCATTTATAAGAACATTAATTGTGACATAAATATTAGGTTGCAAATTATAAAATTTGACGCTGATTTGGAATCGACTTGATGACTTAGGGAGGGGGGAGGGCAGAAAGGAAACTTCACGGAAGTAAGTTTTCAGATGTTATTTTTGAAATGTCGGTGCTTGAATTACATATTTAGGTTAAATATCTTTGCGTCATTATAACAAACAAGTAGGTATTTAAGAGGACGTAATACCCGCATGTGTTGTCTCCGTGTTACAAGTGCAAGACATACCAAATTTTACGCTCGGCAAAACACGTATTTAAAAATTAGAGTAAATTGACCTCTCATAAAATCTAAAGGTAACATTATTATCTAGACAACCTCATGGGCTTTTTATTATATTTTAATTTTTAAGCAAGTTGTGACTACTTTAAGATGTACAAACAATTTACAATTTTAAAATACTCATAGCTCGCTTTAAAATTAAAGGATAATAAAAAACCCATGACGTTGTCTAGATAATAATCTTAAATTTAGATTTTATAAGAGGTCAATTCACTCTAACTTTTGAACTAACGGAGATACAAGGGTTCTGCTATGTGTAGAATTTGCTATGTTATCAGTGGCGCAACTACGGGGGTGCTAAAGCACCCCCAACTCTATTTTAAGCACCCCCAAAACTAATGTCTTTATAATTTAAAATATCTATAGTTTTAAGTTTTAACAATGTAATTTTAATTTTTAAGATATCATTATGTCATTTTTTTCTTATATTTCAATATATTATTATTACTATTATAGTCATAGACATGATAATGGGTCTATGATAATAGAGAATAAGTAACATATTCCGTGTGTTCCTAAATTCATCACCCGATCCAGCGGCTTATCTAGCGGATTGATTAGAATTTAGGAACACATTATTTTGCTATTGCGCTTCAACCACGAACTTAAACTTAAACTTATGGTTAACCTACGTAACCATGCCCTAATCATAATAATGAGTGATTATGATAAAAATCAGTTATCAAATTTATCAGTTAGATTAATATTAAATATTTAAATTTAAAATATTAATAAAATAATAAATGATAATTTATTTTTTTAATTAATCTTAAAATGGATAATAGTACATCCTTATTTGTTTTACCTCCCCTCAAACGGATTGGTCATCTGCTGAAATTAGGAACAGTCAAATCCAGCGGCTGACCAATCTGATGAGTTTCGGAACACACGGATTATCGTCATGTTGAAATTACTGAAAGATAATATTTAATTGTAATCTTTTATCATAGACATTACTACATTTAGGCGCATGGTTCATAGATAATATTATCTATAAACCTTGCATTAGACGGTCGAGAGCACGGACGTATATACAGCCATACAGGACTGGTCTCAAGCGCGTGAAAGTGTTCGTTATTTCATTTAGTGCAGTTATTAAATTTGTTATTCGATATTCATAATGTTCAGCATTTTCAAAAAAAAAAGTATTCAAAGTAAGTCAGACCATTCAGACAGTGAAACCGTTGATGATCCCGGTCCAAGCACGTCACGTAGTTTGTGTGAACAAGATCAAAATGTTACCTACGTTAACATTGACAATGAAAATGTATATAGCTCTCAAATTTTGAATTTAGGATTAGGAGATATAGAAAATGGACCATACCGCCCTATATTGGCAGTAAGTACCTAATATCTTAGTTTTATTTTACATTAGTATAGGTAACTGCTTAGTGCTTACAACAGCGTTTTACCAACTTAAGCGTAATTAATATTGAGAGAGATCTTGCAAACAAAATTGTTCCCGAAGAAATACTAAACACATTTGCTAAGTTTGACAGAAGATTATGTTTAACACTTTAATACTTTAAAAACATAAAATACAATAAATAAAAATAAAATGTGTTAAAAATTTTAAATTTTTTAGTATTTGAATATACCTAATAATAATAGTCAAAATAAAATATTTTAAAGGTGTAATGGGGGGGGGGGTGTGGGGGGCAGAGCCCCCCACGGCTATATAACGGTTTACCTTTTGTAGCACCCCCAAGATTTGGACTCTAGTTGCGCCACTGTATGTTATGCACTTGTAAGACGGAGACAACACATGCAGGTATCACGTCCTCTTAACAAGTTTTAGTGAACCATTACTAAACGAATACATTTTAATGCAACTTGGTATACATTTTACTATACTATACTACCTACTGTTGTAACTTAAAATTCGTTGTTTATTAAGGGCTTTCAACGTATTCCAAACTTTTAGTAAAATTTTGGGCCTGTGGATATAATATATTATGGTCAAAGTATGAATACCTTAGATATTATATTGATTCATGTGACATTATAATATATACTAATAGTGTGTACACAACAGTAGAATCAGTTGCATCGCGTGAAACTTGGTGGCCCTAGGGAGGTGGAGGGCTCATTGAACACAGAAATTAAATGAAATTAAATTAAATAGTGATCTAATAGTCTAATATAATAGAAGCTAATAAAAAAATATATTAAATAATATAATAATATATTATTCTACTTATAATTATAAATGTATTTAAAACAATTTATCATTGCACCAACTAACCTATACTTAAAATGAACTTTTCGATCCTTCATTCGATTAAAAAATAAATAGTTCCTCAGTTGTTTTTATGCCATGATAAAAGTACCCTGGCTCCCCAACTTGGACGTACCTGCGGGGGGCTTAAATACGCCGCTGGGTATAATATTGTTTAAATGCCACTAATTTAAACTGCAACTATTGGAAATTATTTTAAGCTATATATTTTGTATTATTACATGTATAATTCAAAACGTTTTATCGATAAATAATTTAGAAATAATGTTGTACTTAATCCGTACAAATCAATTACTTATCAAAATCGTATAACAATGTTCAATTATCAATGTTACAATCATACAAATTATACAACAGTACCTAGTATTGAATTATTGTTACAGTATTAAGTCTAGTATGAGAAGTATATAGTATATGTATAGATATGAATATATGATTCAAGTACCTACTTATTACCTATCTACAAAAAAAAAAAAAAAAAAATTAAAAAACCCAACTTCAATACAAAACCAAATATAATATACCAACATTTGCGGACTTATTGTGCATGTTAAGTTTCAAAGTCATTATTCACATAAGTAATGATTTCAAAAATCACACCGTTCTCAAAAACCTGAATGTTATAGGTATGCCTAAACTTGAAACGAATCACAAATATCATAGAAGTATACTACTCGTATTATACTACACCATATAAGTTTATAATAGATAGCCAAATAGGCTAGGTTATCCATGTAAAAAATGTACTTACCTCACTGGGAACGTGGGATCGTACTCGAACTGCAATATCTGAGTGGGATAACCGAGCGACACGAGCCTTTCGACGGCTAGTGCGAATCCCAGTCTCTCGTAGGCCGGTGACTTGTACTCTGCCAACACAATAATGATAACGGTAATGATAGTCTATAATAACACCATTAGTAAAGACAATACAGCCCTACCCCCCGACCCATCCTGTCATATAGATCAGCGTCAAGATCGACGATTATGGTATAACAAGGTGCCGAAATAGACAAAGCATAATATTATAATATTACTAATGTACAGGTAGGTTACCATAATAATTTTATGGTTTATTATATTTATATATTATTATGTATACAGGCAATTAATGCCATCGATCGCGTACCGGCCAACGTATAGTCCATGTCGAATCCATAGAATTTGATGTTCTCCAGGTGCAGACTCCTGTTGACGAAAATTCTGGAATGAAAACGATTAATTGTTTGCATTAATGCGGGCGGTCTAGAAAACGGCCGGCGGCTGCATTTCATCGATAGCAAACGCCGTTCCGTGCGAAGAGTGTGATAAATCATTAATTACGATCGATTGATTCGGGAGCTCGTCTAACTGTATCGTATAGTACTATTATAGTGTATAATAATAACATAATACCTGTGCATGAAAACACGCCGAGCTGAAGTGTGTTCGTTACGACGTTACTCGTACATATACGTTAATAATATATGGGACACATGCGCACACATGGGTTAATCAATATTATATTGTATAGGTAACGATATTATAATTGACGATTTTTGTAATCTCGCTGGGCGTTTGTCGATAAAAGTTTTTGGTATTTTGTTTAATATAGTTTTAGATACATACAGATAATAATATTATATTATTATAATATTATAAAGTTCGTTCATATTATTAATTATTATAGTAACATTAATAATTACATGATAGCCAATAGGTATTTTACTATGTTTATTAACAGTGTAACTATTAATAATATTTGTAGGTACCTATATAATAATATTTATGTATTAAACATGATAACATTAAACACATTTAAGTACAGTACAATGTATATAATAAAGTATATTCATTGGCGTAATATGTGTGATGGAAAGGGGGTCATCACATGCAAGCAGATTTTTTTTAGAACGGACCTTTGTATCATTTTGTCCCTTTGGTCGTTATAAGTAGGTACTTTAGAACGATTGTTTAATCTATTAATGACTAAATATAGTTGTTGATTTTGTATTTATTTATTTCAGCTACCCAATTTAGTGTAGGTACCTATATATTTTAGATTTGAGCAATGAATGTATTGATTTTACAATGGTGTGTGTTTTTTATTATTGTTTTTTTGTGTCTGTCATTACCGTTTGGGGCAGTGAAGCTGCTTCGATTTTCTTCAAAAGTATCTTATTTGATGGGAAAGTGAATCTAGTGGTGCATTCAGGAGGTCCAAATTTAAAATTCCCAATAGTTTTCAAAAACACCGAGAAAAACAACATAAAAATTAAGAAAAAACGAGAATGTTTAAGTAAAATCGATTTTTGTTTTAGGTGTAACTCTAAAACAAATTACCGTAGATACATGCAATTTTCAATGTTTATATTAGCATTTTATATACACAATACAATTTTCAAAACTGTTTAAGGACATTTCCAGTTTCCAATATTTTTAGTTTTTTTTTTTTTTTATTATTATTATTTCCATTTCCTGATTATATTTTTAACACGTTGTATAATTATTTATAGTTAAGAGTTTCAGATTTAGAGGTTTATAAGTTATAGTTATATACATGTACCTACTTCTACAAAAGTACATAATAATATAGGTATTATTAGTGGCGCCAAACCTATAACCCAAGAGGGGGCGACCGCAACCCCTTATTTCGGTGGGTGGGGTCGTGGGGGGTCCGTGGGTACCCCAACAAATTATTTATGAATTATGTTCCGAACTCCTTAGCTATTATAATGTATACACAATACACATGCAGCACATATGTAAACAAGGGTGGTGGTCCGTATAACTTTTTACTTGCCCCCCCTTTTAAAATTTAGTTCTGCGTCACTGGGTATTATATATATTATTATTATTAATTAACATATTTAGATGTGTGAGTTCTGACTCGGTCTCACACTATATTTTAAGTCAACCATAGTTTACGCCCTCCTCACACAATAATCGAACTGGAATAACTATTTATTCTCGTAATAACAATATTGTTATGTGAATAAATTTGGGCTATTACCTATATACTCATATAAGACGTGTTATAAATAATACATGGTGTCATTATCATTGTGTTGTACAATAACGCTATTAAAAATCAATAACACAAATATAGGAATGTACCAATAGGCATAAAATATTAATTAATAAGTTCTGTAATAATATTATATAATCTCAGACCGTACAGTAATAACATCACGTTTCTACGACGTGACGCTGGAATAATCAATATTGTAATGTAGGCATGTAGCATAGGCAGTAGGAACACGCAATCATTTTCTTATTCTTCCTAGTCATGGAAAACTCCCAGAAACTATAATTATTACGGTTGACGTGTTTATTGTTGGCGCTAAAGGTGCTTATTTATAGCGCTCCCTGACCCCAACCAATTACTAAACAACCACCCCCAAATAATACATAGTTTTCTAGTTAAAAAAAACAACTTATTTGATGATTATAAGCAAGGTCTAAGTGACATAAAATCCAATGTATCTTTGCGGAGAGAAGATCAAACAATTACTAAACAATATTTTTAAAAAAAGCACACATTGTATAACAAATATTCTTTTCTGTGCTCAAAATCTAAAAGGTTAATGAGGATCTATCTCCCATATTTTCTGTGGGTAGGCCTTACGGTGAATTTTTTTCACCGGGGCTTAGGGGGCGCCAATTTTTTTTTGAACCGGGGTGCAAAATGTCTAAATGCGGCATTGGATTTACCATAAACCTATTCAGGATGAAGTAAAATTGTTGAACCAATAATCATAACTATGAACATGAATAATCTATTATTATTATACAATAAAATTGTCAATTATTTGATACACTCGTTCTTGGAATTTATTGAGTTTTTCCATTCTATGATCGTGTTTTTCGACAGGACTCAACCAATTTCAGGTTTTCTGTAGATATTTGTTGTTGTTTTTATTTGCTTTAACTAAGTGTGAAATCATTGTTTGCTTGTAAATTATAAATAAAGAAATATTTTAAAGTTATTATAAAAAAACTAGATTATTTTAATTTGTTTACCTACAAATTTTGATACGAGGATATTTATTCATTTCACGGTGAAGTTGTATTATATTATATTATATAGGTTTTATGTGACAAATTTTAGTCGTATTTTAGTCTATTATTAATATACATTTTAACTATAGTGTATATATGTCGGAAAACCAAACAAACTTGAAATTGAAATGATATTCATAGTTTATTCGACGTCAAATACGTGCGGTGCTAAGAACAAACTGTACGTCTGTACACTCTGCAGTGTTTCGGTCATCAAAATAGCCTATTTCAAATGTGACATTTATGTCGCACTTCCAATAAGGCCATTGGTGCCTGAATGGTTTTATATTATTACCAAAGCAGTACGTACAATACCTATAACAATATAACTTTTAAAGAAACGCTGGTTCTTCTACAACACACCCTCACCACGATATACAATTCAACAACTACCTCAGCCACGCGGCATTATTGTTTTACCTACAATTTAAATTATGTATGTATACGTACATAATACAACAAATGTCGTAGCTTTTAATTATAATGGTTTGCTTAGCGAATCGACTTATTACGCAATCTTTGGAATACGTGGATTGTTAACCTTGGGACTATAACAGTACCGTAGAGAAGGCGGTTTACAACGGTGTACATTGTACAATATCGAGCATACTTCCATTGTTCGCCCACATTTTCACCTTTAATAATACATTTATTCAAAATCTAATTTTTAGAGTTTTCTAACCTAAAACTTAAAAACCATATTTCTAAATAATAATTAAATTTTTATGACGTTTAAACATTGTATCGATGCAAACTTATTTTTTTTAATGGAAACAACCCTTTTATACTGCAAATTAATAAACAGATTATTTTAGATTCTGAGAGGAACGATGCATGTATTGATTTCACTATGAAATTTATTTTTTGTGCAGCTATCACCTTTCAGCATGTTTTTTGGTAAGAAAGTGAATCTAATTGGTACTTTAGGAGATCAAAATTAAATTTCCAATATTTTTTAAAATAGTCAAGAAAAGCAAAAAAAAATTAAGATAAACTGAGGTTTTTATGCAAAGTCAGTTTTTGACAAATCTATTTTGATTTTCAGTTTAACTCTAAATACAATAACGGTAGATACATGAATGTTTATATTAACATTTTATACGATATACAATTTTCAAAATATTTTGACACTTTTTAAAAAATTTATAAGAAAATTTCGACTATTGTCAACAAAATATGTTCACTTGGTTTGTCAAAAAACTTGAAAATTTAATCCAAGGTTTCTAATAAATCACAATAGTTGTTAGAGAAAAAAATTTGTATTTTTATAAGCATCTGAAGTAAAAATGTTGACAAAACTCGTCAAAATCACGAAAATTTGCAAAATTATTTAGAGCTAGAAATTCATAAAAATATTTATATTTATATCTAAGATTTGAGAATGCAATACAAGGTTCCCCATAAGTTGTTTTACCTCAACCAAAAAAAAAGTTTACCGGAAATCAAATTCATTTTTTACGAGTGCCGTAAATTAAATAATTCTCGTCAAACGATTTTGTTGAATTTAAAATAGTTGTATGACTGTAGATACTTGAAATTTTCACCAAATGTTTATTTATCGTTTTTTATAGGAGAATGATAAAATGTTCTAAATTGTTTAACTCGTTTTGAGCTATTTATAAATATTTTTAATTTACAAATTTTTTAGTTTGATGTTTTATAAATTATTTTATTTTTATCTAAGATTTGAAAATGCAATATAAAGTTCCTTATAATTTGTTATAACTAGCAGTTGATGGATATTAAATATCTGTAGGCACGACTTATTTATAAGGATTTAAAGTTCAAATTTGACAAAATCTCAAAAATATAAAATTTATTTTAGTTAAAAAATAATAAAAATTTCATTTTTCATAGCTAAGGATTGAAAATGTAAGTATTTTCATAAATAGTTCAAACTGTAATCAAAAAATCAAAAAAAAAAAATGTTTAAACAGTTTTATTTTATAGATAGAGATTATTTAAGTTCAAATTTGGACAAAATTAGATATTTAAACGAAGAATAATGATTTTAGTAATTTTTTTGTAATTTAAAAATATTATTCGTGGATACTTGAAACTTTTAAAGGGTATTATTTGTAACCAAATGCAATTTTTTTATGGAAAATTAATTCATCCTACTGTATTACTATTTACTAATGTCTAATAAGAAGTAAAACAAA